TTTTAGGGTTAATAGGCATGTTATGTAGATTTGCGGAATCAAGGTCATTTTGCGCGCACGTGCATGCACGTGCGTGCGCGTGCAATGCGTAAAATGACTAATATACTTGATATAGCTGTAACTTTTATATATTTTGATGAAATGCTTTGATACTCAAAATATAAGGATATATTAAAAGTGTAAACAAGATGACATGGTCAACATGCACATGCATGCACGTGTGCGCACGCGCAAAGCGTAAAATGACAAATATACTTGATATATTCGTAACTTTTATACTTTTTGATGAAATGCTTTGATACTCAAAATATTTATATATATTAAAAGTGTAGACAAGATGACATGGTCATCATGCACATGCATGCATGCATATGCATGCACGTGCGCGCGCGTGCAATGTGTTAAATGACCAATATACTTAATATAGCCGTAATTTTTATATTTTTTTATGAAAAGTTTTTATATTAAGAATATACAGATATATTAAAAGTGTAGACAAGATGATGTGGACATCATACTCATGAATGCACATGCGCGCGCGTGCAATGTGTTAAATGACCAATATACTTAATATAGCCATAACTTTTATATTTTTTTATGAAAAGCTATGATACTAAGAATAAACAGACAAATTATAAGTGTAGACAAAATGGCATGGTCATTAGGAACATGCATGCAGGTGCGCATGCATGCAATGCTAAGATGACCAATATACTTGATATAGCCGGAACTTATTTATTTTTTGACGAAATGTTTTGATACTGAGAATATAAAGATGCATTAATAGTATAGATGAGATGACATGGTCATCCTGCACATGCATGCACGTGCGCGCGCGTGAAATGCAAAAAACGATCAATATACTTCATTGCCTTATTTAATGAAGCTTACAGGAAATAAGACACCAAGAGGGTGTTGGGGAGCGTTTGGGGAACATCTGTAACGGTCCCCGTTACAATTAATACTAGTTAAGGTCTTCCGTCTCCAACAGAAGACCTTATTGTTTTCGTTCGGTTTCTTTTTCCCTATTATTATTATTATTATTATTATTCTTACCGATTTTGTGCACGCAAGTTCTCGGTAACGTCTTGGCCGATTTTCATGAAACTTTCAGATCTGATAGGTATTGATCTGAACCTTATTGGAAATTTTTTTCGTTGATGACGTCACTTTCCATCTCGAGATATTTAGGATTTTCTGATTTTCAGAGGGTCGGCTTGTCCTGGAAACTCCTCCGAAACGACTTAAGATATTGAGTCAAGATTTTCAGTGAAGGTAGGGGAAGGTTTGTAGATTTGCAGGCAGGTGTCCAAATCTCTCTAGCTCAAAAGGCGCCGAAGCTCGGTAGGGCTCAAAAAATGTCTCAGAAACATCTCACAAAATTTTACACCTTTCTTTCATATCTTCATACATGTTAAGAATTTGTTAAAACATATAGAAGAAAAGTTGTGCAGAATGATACGACCTTTCATTTGATATCAAGAAAAAGGGGCTGACCCCTCAAATTAGGGGCTGAGAGGGGCCAAAAGTCTTTCATCTATAACTCTTTAACCATCAATAATTTGTAATACATTACTGAAGCAAAAATGTTTATCTTAACAATTTACAACAATATATGATAAGATTTTGATCATATGTTACGTAATAAGGGGTCACAAGGGGCCAGAATGCAAAATCTTTGACGCTTTATATTTCGAAAAGGAAGAATATTTTGATAAGCAATACTGAACAAAAGATGGTCAGAATAATGTTCTAAACAACATGCACTCTTTCAATTTTTGTCAGACGGCCCCATTAAGGACCTGAAGGGGTGGCCCCTAAATATTTCCATTCAGTATATCTCCACAACGAAAAGAAATCTCTGAATAGTTGTTGAAAAAAAAGTCTTCAAAATCACAAGACCTTTCATTTGATATCAAGAAAAAGGGGCTGACCCTTCAAATTAGGGGCTGAGAGGGGCCAAAAGTCTTTCATCTATAACTCTTTAACCAGCAATAATTTGTAATACATTACTGAAACAAAGATGTTTATCTTAATGATTTACAACAATATATGATAAGATTCTGATCATATGTTATGTAATAAGGGGTCACAAGGGGCCAGAATGCTAAATCTTTGACGCTTTATATCTCGAAAAGGAAGAATATTTTGATAAGCAATACTGAACAAAAGATGGTCAGAATAATGTTCTAAACAACATGCACTCTTTCAATTTTTGTCAGACGGCCCCATTAAGGACCTGAAGGGGTGGCCCCTAATTATTTCCATTCAGTATATCTCCACAACGAAAAGAAATCTCTGAATAGTTGTTGAACAAAAAGTCTTCAAAATCACAAGACCTTTCATTTGATATCAAGAAAAAGGGGCTGACCCTTCAAATTAGGGGCTGAGAGGGGCCAAAATTCTTCCATCTATAACTCTTTAACCAGCAATAATTTGTAATACATTACTGAAACAAAGATGTTTATCTTAATGATTTACAACAATATATGATAAGATTCTGATCATATGTTATGTAATAAGGGGTCACAAGGGGCCAGAATGCTAAATCTTTGACGCTTTATATCTCGAAAAGGAAGAATATTATGATAAGCAATACTGAACAAAAGATGGTCAGAATAATGTTCTAAACAACATGCACTCTTTCAATTTTTGTCAGACGGCCCCATTAAGGACCTGAAGGGGTGGCCCCTAAATATTTCCATTCAGTATATCTCCACAACGAAAAGAAATCTCTGAATAGTTGTTGAACAAAAAGTCTTCAAAATCACAAGACCTTTCATTTGATATCAAGAAAAAGGGGCTGACCCTTCAAATTAGGGGCTGAGAGGGGCCAAAAGTCTTCCATCTATAACTCTTTAACCAGCAATAATTTGTAATACATTACTGAAACAAAGATGTTTATCTTAATGATTTACAGCAATATATGATAAGATTCAGATCATATGTTACGTAATAAGGGGTCACAAGGGGCCAGCATGCTTAATCTTTGACACTTTATAACTCGAAAAGGAAGAATATTATGATAAGCAATACTGAACAAAAGATGGTCAGAATAATGTTCTAAACAACATGCACTCTTTCAATTTTTGTCAGACGGCCCAATTAAGGACCTGAAGGGGTGGCCCCTAAATATTTCCATTCAGCATATCTCCACAACGAAAAGAAATCTCTGAATAATTGTTGAACAAAAAGTCTTCAAAATCACAAAACCTTTCATTTGATATCAAGAAAAAGGGACTGACCCTTCAAATTAGGGGCTGAGAGGGGCCAAAATCTTTCATCTATAACTCTTTAACCAGCAATAATTTGTAATACATTACTGAAGCAAAGATGTTTATCTTAACGATTTACAACAATATATGATAAGATTCTGATCATATGTTACGTAATAAGGGGTCACAAGGGGCCAGAATGCTAAATCTTTGACGCTTTATATCTCGAAAAGGAAGAATATTTTGATAAGCAATACTGAACAAAAGATGGTCAGAATAATGTTCTAAACAATATGCTTCCTTTCACTTTTTTGTCAAACGGCCCGATTAAGGACTTGTAGGGGTGACCCCTAAATATTTCCATTCAGCATATCTCCACAACGAAAGGAAATCTTTGAATATTTCTTGAAAAATCGTTTCCAAAATCACAAGACCTTTCATTTGATATCAAGAAAAAGGGGCTGACTCCTTAAACTAGGGTCTCAGAGGGGCCAAAAGTATGTCATCTATAGCTCTTTGATAATGGTATATAAATCAAAAGAATGAAATCTAATAAGGGAAGTCTATATATTATTATCTTTTAACAAAGATCATAATCAAAATCATATCTCATCTTATCGAGAAATCGGACGGAAGACCTACTCGTTGCTCGCAACGAGATCTCATCTAGTTATTATTATTATTATTCTTTTTTATTCTTATTTCTTCTCCGGTACTTTTTTGTCCGCGAGTGTTCTCGGAAACTGCACATCCAATTGAGTTAAAACCTTTTTAGGGTTACTAGGTATGTTATGTAGATTGCGGAACTAAGGTCATTTTGCGCGCACGTGCACGCACGTGCGTGCGCGTGCAATGCGTAAAATGACCAATATACATGATATAGCTGTAACTTTTATATTTTTTGATGAAATGCTTTGATACTCAGAATATAAGGATCTATTAAAAGTGTACACAAGATGACATGGTCAACATGCACATGCATGCACGTGCGCGCACGCGCAGATCGTAAAATGACCAATTTACTTGATACAGTCGTAACTTTTATATTTTTTGATGAAATGATTTGATACTGAAAATATTTATATATATTAAAAGTGTAGACAAGATGACATGGTCATCATGCACATGCATGCATATGCATGCACGTGCGCGCGCGTGCAATGTGTTAAATGACCAATATATTTAATATAGTCGTAATTTTTATATTTTTTGATGAAAAGCTTTGATATTAAGAATATACAGATATATTAAAAGTGTAGACAAGATGATGTGGACATCAGTCACATGCATGCACATGCGCGCGCGTGCAATGTGTTAAATGGCCAATATACTTAATATAGCCGTAACTTTTAGATTTTTTGATGAAAAGCTTTGATACTAAGAATAAATAGACATATTATAAGTGTAGACAAGATGGCATGGTCATTATGAACATGCATGCAGGTGCGCGTGCGCGCAATGCTAAGATGACCAATATACTTGATATAGCCGGAACTTATATATTTTTGATAAAATGTTTTGATACTGAGAATATAAAGATGCATTAATAGTATAGACGGGATGACATGGTCATACTGCACATGCATGCACGTGTGCGCGCGTGAAATGCAAAAAACGACAAATATACTTCATTGCCTTATTTAATGAAGCTTACAGGAAATAAGACACCAAAAGGGAGTTGGGGAGCGTTTGGGGAACATCTGTAACGGTCCCCGTTACAATTATAACTAGTTGGAACTTGGGACAACATTTTATATGCTTCTATTTATATGCTTCTATTTATAGATGGAGGTGACATTTAGAATGAGGTTGACCCCAGAGACGCAGGATATGTCTGCTAGCGTCAGTAATCTACAGATCGCCTCAGCTGTCTTCAATGAGAGAGAAAAACGCAAGGCCCAGGTCAGTGTATATGTTAATTTATATGCCCACTAGATTGGTAATCTATAAATCTCCTAGGCTGTTTTCAGCAAGAGAGAAAAATGCAGGTTTGAGTGCTGTAAATCGCTTTTTATTCATGAGAACTTTATTTTCATGTACAGTGGAGCCTCATTTATCCGGACGCTTAGGTTCCCAGTCAAAATGTCCGGATAAGTGAAGCGTCCGGATATCTAAGGGTCCACTGTATTTACATGAGTCTGTCAAGTAAAAATAGAATTCTCGCATATATTAGTATTATTAAAGAATATACAGAGCAATGACCAAAGTTCATGAAAATTTTGTCTCGCTTATAAATACAAAATAACAATTTCATGAAAATAAGATCTCGAGAAAATTCAGTGATCTACAGTATATCATTTATATGTCGCTATTGTCAGTAATCTACAATATTTACTGTGGCCATCTTCAATGAGAGAAACAAAAGGCCTAGGTTAGAGTATATCATTATACCATGTGATATAGGTACTACTTGCATGCCATTTTTTTCAGTTGGTAGAATCCATTTGATATCTGAAATACTTGTATGACATCTTGTTCAGTCGTAGATTTTGACTCCCTGTGATGTCTGAATTAATTTATTGAGATATCATTCCAGATCCTGAATCTTTGTGATGTCTGAATTAAGGAGATATGTCCTATAATTGTAGATCCGAAATCCATGCGATATCTGAGTTAATGAGATATCCTTCAATTGTAGATCCTAAATCCATGCGATATTTGAGTTAATGAGAGATATTCTTCAATTGCAGATCCTGAATCCATGTGATATCTCATTCTACAGTAAAGCACCACAGGGCAAAGCCCCACATATGGACATCTCTACATCAGACCTCATACTCAATATATCCCCTCGCACGATACGGACCATTACTCTGATATCAGTTGGACTGTCCCAGCAAGATGTAAGTAAAGACTTCAGAGAAAATGAAGCCCTTCAGATGTTGTCATGATATTATAATACACTGTTACATCTTGGTACACCATCACCTTCATTTATAACAAATGAATGCTTTGTACAAAGAAAATTTGATGCATCGATCTCTATAGTTGATAACAATAATAGCAGAAAAGAAATTTTGGGCACCAGAAAATATCAATGAATGCAATTCAATGCTTATCAAAATTATCTAGTTTTACAAATTGAAGGAAAATCTGCCCATTTCCAGTTGCTATAAACATATATAAACATAATCCAATCACAAAGATATCTTCACATCTATTTGTCTAAATATGGTCCCTGTGTATTTACTGTATATACAGTACCGACCAGACACAACCTAACAGAAAGCGAACCCAGAGCGCACCCCGGGTTCGCTCTCTGGGTTCCCTTTGGGTTCGCTTGGGGTCTGCTAGTGCTGACCCTGAGCGAACCCGGAGTGCACCCGTAGCGAACCCAGAGCGAACACTGAAAGCGAACCCCATTTCAGTAGCGGTCCCAGAACGCGAAACGCGCGTTCGGTATTGCGTAACAGAGCTGTCAATCAGGATTATCGATTAACTCATCAGCGCTTCGACCAATCAACATGCCGAACAGGTCTGTCAATTAGGATAAGTGATAAAATGTGTTGACCATCAGCGCATTGACCAGTCAACCTGCCAGTTTATAATCTAAACATTGTACAAGCAAAGCGTGTGAATGTACAGTGTAAAAATATTATTAATATGATTTTTAAACATGATTTTACATTTATATACTTTAATTCTCCAGACAACATGCAATATTTACACATCTATTTTCATTATTTTTTATTTTTAAAATCTATTGATACATTATATATTTTTATTTTCCAGGTAGCATGTTACATGTATAGTTAAATATTTATTTTCTTTATGTTTTTAAAATCCATTAATATATAAATATATATTGCGTAAATTTATCAGACAATAAGTACTTTAATTGATAATAGAAAAAAAAGGAAGATAATAATGGTTATAACATATGTTACTAAAAAAATAAGAAAAAAAATGGTCTTCGATAAATTATAGAATTTTATTATCTCAAGATACAGTATAAGAACATTAGTATAAGAACATTTAGTATAAGAACATGTACGTGCTTTAATTTGATTATTTTTTATTAATTATTTCAATTTAATGCACGTTTTAATTTATCCAGATCAACTTCGAAATTATCGATCTTAATAATTGATCATGAAAAAAAAATTAAATGTGCATTGTACAGAATAAATGTGCATTATGTCAATACGTAAATTGGAGAAAAAAAATCTCATTTAACTACTATGATATTTTTTTTAATTAATCTTTCACCAAAATTTAATAAATAGCTTGATTTAAATACATGTACATAGGGAAAGATTATTTTGTCAATTTTAATTATCCTACGTGTAGACCTTACATTGCATGTTTTTGAATTTTTGTAACTACTTGCAAGTCAAAAAAAAAAAAAAAAAAAAAAAAGCTTATCACTTTCCTTCGCGTCGATATGTATAATTATACAGGTTTACATGTTCACGAACCTCTTACATGTACTACATGTAATTTTGGAAATACTTTACATGAACATAATGTAATTCCAACATTAGTAAATTGAACTTGCAAAGATACCTTAATACGAAAACGTACATATATTTTTTCATTAGTTTACATAGGTACCCGTATTTGAACTTTGTAATTGTCATAATTATTTAATTTCAACACTTTAATAATTGTAGTTTCAAAGTGAAGCCAAGGTCATCACGTATCAGTAATCATCCACCTGTTTCCAAAATATTGCGGGTATTAAGAGCAATTGCGGTGGGTTTTTTTAATTGACACTTGCTAGCTGGATGTATACTGTCTCCATGGTCACGATATACCTGAGTATATACTCCCCCTACATTCGATGCCCCTTAAGTTACATGTACCTCGTCTGGGCACGTTATCAATGAGAAATACAATTATTATTCTTTTTTTTTTCTTTAGATTTTTGAATTTGGAAACATCATAATTCTTTGGTACGTTGCATTAAGAGTACATGTTCATGCATGTAATTTGCTGCAACCTGAATGCTGAAAATCAGTAAAATAGCTTTACGAGAGAGAGAGAGAGACACAGAGAGAGAGAGAAAAAAACACTGTATATTATTTGAAATTAAAATCGCTACAACCGGCCCATAGAAAATAATTCAAGTACGGAGAGGGGTGGGGGGCTCATCGAAATAAAACAATATAAAAAACAAACAAAAAAAACAAAAACATCAGGCGTTATTATCTTAATTTCATCTACTTAATCATGCGAGTTTACAGTTATTGAATTCTTGTTTTGTTTTTTCTTTCCTGTATTTATTTATTTTTAAACATTTAGAATTTTGTTTGTTAACAAGCCACTCCAGTATGTACATGTATGTAGTGGGGGGGGGGGGGGGGGGGGGGGATCATGAACCAGTAAGGAACACAAACTATTCAAGTGATCATTTACATGTATTTGAAAACAACTTAAAAAAATATATATATATATTCTTATCAGTGGACCAGTTATTAGTTTTTGTTTGTTTGTTTTGGTATTTTGATTGTTGTTGTTTTTTTTTTATAAGTCTTCCGTTAAACTCGCCTTATAAAACAATGATTTATAGCATGGAAGTAAATTATAAATGATCTGTAAAACGAAACTCAAGTTACACTGTATGAGAATTTTTAGTGATTATCACGACCTACATATACATGTAATGGACGACAACCTAGTTTAAATATAAACTGCTAAATATGAAAACTTAGCATTTTACGTGTACAGTATGTCAAAGCTATTTTATAGATAAGATCGTAATTCATTTGTTTGTCTTTCAAACATTTAAATTACGATTTAGCAATTGCAATTACGATTGGAAGTTCAAACTTATTTTAAAACGCATGAATAATATAAACAAATGAATTTGAAAGCTTTTTTTTAATTAAGATACTCTTATCAATTTCACTCCATCTGATACATCGAAAATAAATTTAACACCTTTTTTTTTTTTCTTTCGAGATATACTTAGCTTGTAAGTTAAGAAAAATAAAGGTGATAATTCTACGTCGAATGTACGGTGAAATTCTTGAAAAATTATCAACGTTCTCAATATTGTCACTTACATGTACATGTTTCGATCGCCATTAAAACAGTAATGATCGATTTCACCACTGTATTTGGAATATACAAGGGGCGGGGCTTACTGGTGGCAAGATTAAAGCGGGGTCCGCTTCACGCATGAGTGCGTAAAGCGAACCCGGAAAGCGAACGCTGGGTTCGCTCTAGCGGACCCAGAGCTGACCCCGAGCGAACGCAGAGCGAACCCGAAGCGCACCCAGAGCGGTCCCAAATTTTCTGAAAGCGAACCCGCAGCGGACCCCGAGCGAACCCAGGAAGCGAACCCGGGGTGCGCTTTGGGTTCGCTCTGGTGTTAGGTTGTGTCCGGTCGGTACTGTACCTGCCTATAATTTGGATTTCTGGGAGTTCAATTTTGGTCCAAAACTCTATGTCCTACTTGTAAGCAAGTCATAGAAAATTCGTTATTTTTCTGGAATAGGAAATATAGTAATAGTAAATAGTAAGTCCATTTATAATCATCTATAAAGGTCAGAACCTAATCTAATGCAGGGGAGGGATGGTAGGATTACCACATGATCTTGTATTTGTTTAAATTGTAAATAAAAGATCAAATATCAATTTCACACACCAAAGCATACTTTGAAACATGGATATATACAATAGAATATTAATCTGGCAAAAATCTGTACCAACTTATGAACAGGTCAATGGCAAATTCCTGCAAAAAAAAAAAAAAAAAAAAAAAGATATGAACAAATACTCCTGACATAAGCGAAGCCCTTACAGGTGAGTATAAATGGTAGTTAAAGGATAAAAATGCTCCAAGTATATTTAAATCATCAGTATTTTGGAAGTTTTTGTTTATTTTGTGTACAATTGTGTATTATCAAGATGAACATTAGTGATGAATCCTATCTGAACTGAGATAGATTTCATACCATAGGGTATTTACAACATGCTTAAGATTTATATCAATAGATTGTTGTCAAGTTTTCTCCCAAAGATTTCTCTACAAAATATGTTTTAAAGAATGTTTTTGCAATATTATTTAAAATAAAACTGTTTCCATTTGATTGTCAGAAGACAGAAGAAGAAGAAGCCAGGACAAAGATCCCCTCAGATTTATGGAGTGTAAAGAAAGTATCTGACTGTAAATTCTGGTTCCTGAAGGAGGAACAGGTCATAGAACCTGGGATCATTGAAGACCTGACTCCAATTCTAGAACTAGAAGATCAAGAGCAGGCCAGAGGTGAACAGGTAAGAAGCTGATTGGCTGTAGAATTATAATTAGAGTTTTTATTGGTCAATAAAATGCAGGCCAGAGGAAAACAGGTAAGATGCTGATTGGCTGTAGAATTATAATTAGAAATTTAATTGGTCAATAAAGAGCAGGCCAGAGGTGAACAGGTAAGAAGCTGATTGGCTGTTGAATTATAATCAGAGATTTGATTGGTCAATGAAGATCAGGCCAGAGGAGAACAGGTAGGAAGCTGATTGGCCATAAAATTATAATTAGAATTTTGGTTGGTTCAATTATGAGCAAGCCAGAGGGGAGGAAGTTGAATCTTATTGGATGAAGAATCAGTAGATTTGATTGGTCAATTGTTGAAAACAACTTTTTTATATAGAATTGAGGGAATTGTAAGGAGTGATCTGACTGGCCAGTTGTAGCAGTTGAAATTTTACATAGCTATAAGATGTGGTTGCCTAGGTGAATAATGATAACACTGATGAAGATAAATGGTGAAAGGAGTGAAGGTAGATTATACAGTTTACATCACTGACTTTAAGATAACTAGAGTTTTGCCAAAATCTTTGGGAGTGGAATGCATACTTTATAAAAATGTGTCTACATTTTTAGCTCACCTGAGCTGAAGGCTCAAGTGAGCTTTTCTGATCACCCGTTGTCCGTCGTCCGTCCGTCTGTCCGTCTGTCCGACCGTCCGTCCGTCCGTCCGTCTGTCCGTCCGTCTGTAAACTTTTCACATTTTCAACTTCTTCTCAAGAACCACTGGGCCAATTTTAACCAAACTTGGTACAAAGTATCATTGGGTAAAGGGGAGTGTAAATTGTTAAAATAAAGGGCCAAGCCCCCTTACAAGGGGAGATAATTAAGAAAAGACAAAAATAGGGTGGGGTCATTAAAAAAATCTTCTTCTCAAGAACCACTGGGACAGAAAAGCTGAAACTTATGTGGAAGCATCCTGGGATAGTGTAGATTCTAAATTGTTAAAATCATGACCCCCGGGGGTAGGGCGGGGCCACAATAGGGAATCCAAATTTTACATGAAATACATAAGGAAAAATCTTTAAAAATCTTCTCAAGAACCACAGGGCCAGAAAAGCTGAATCTTATATGGAAGCATCCTGGGGTAGTGTAGATTCTAAATTGTTCAAATCATGACCCCCGGGGGTAGGGCGGGGCCACAATAGGGAATCCAAGTTTTACATTGAAATGCATAAGAAAAATCTTTAAAAATCTTCTTCTCAAGAACCACAGGGCCAGAAAAGCTGAAACTTATATGGAAGCATCCTTGGGTAGTGTAGATTCTAAATTGTTCAAATCATGACCCCCGGGGGTAGGGCGGGGCCACAATAGGGAATCCAAGTTTTACATTGAAATACATAAGAAAAATCTTTAAAAATCTTCTTCTCAAGAACCACTGGGACAGAAAAGCTAAAACTTATATGGAAGCATCCTTGGGTAGTGTGGAATCTAAATTGTTCAAATCATGACCCCCAGGGGTAGGGTGGGGCCACAATAGGAAATCCAAGTTTAACATTGAAATATATAGGAAAAATCTTAAAAAATCTTCTTCTCAAGAATCACTGGGCCAGAAAAGCTGAAACTTATTTTGAAGCATCCTGGGGTAGTGTAGAATCTAAATTGTTCAAATCATGACCCCCGGGGGTAGGGCGGGGCCACAATAGGGAATCCAAGTTTTACATTGAAATACATAAGAAAAATCTTAAAAAATCTTCTTCTCAAGAACCACTGGGCCAGAAAAGCTGAAACTTATATGGAAGCATCCTTGGGTAGTGTAAATTCTAAATTGTTCAAATCATGACCCCCAGGGGTAGGGTGGGGCCACAATAGGGAATCCAAGTTTTACATTGAAATATAAAGGAAAAATCTTAAAAAATCTTCTTCTCAAGAACCACTGGGCCAGAAATACTGAAACTTATATGGAAGCATCCTGGGGTAGTGTAGAATCTAAATTGTTCAAATCATGACCCCTGGGGGTAGGGCGGGGCCACAATAGGGAATCCAAGTTTTACATTGAAATATATAGGAAAAATCTTTAAAAATCTTCTTCTCAAGAACCACTGGGCCAGAAAAGCTGAAACTTATGTGGAAGCATCCTGGGGTAGTGTAGAATCTAAATTGTTCAAATCATGACCCCCGGGGGTAGGGCGGGGCCACAATAGGGAATCCAAGTTTTACATTGAAATACATGTATATAGGAAAAATCTTAAAAAATTTTCTTCTCAAGAACCACTGGGACAGAAAAGCTTAAACTTATATGGAAGCATCCTTGGGTAGTGTAGATTCTAAATTGTTCAAATCATGACCCCCGGGGGTAGGGCGGGACACAATATGGAATCCAAGTTTTACATTGAAATATATAAGAAAAATCTTTAAAAATCTTTTTTCAAGAACCACTGGACCAATAAAGCTGAGACATATTTGGAAGCATCCTGAGGTAGTGTAGATTCTAAATTGTTCAAATTTTGACCCCCGGGGGTAGGGCAGGGCCACAATAGGTATATTAAAAGGGGGGAAATCTGGTAAAGAACAGCATGGCCAAAGTTACTCAGGTGAGCGATGTGGCCCATGGGCCTCTTGTTTTAATTTCACAGTCTATAAACAGTGTAAGCTTGATATCCTTTTGTAACTGTTGAACAGTTCTTTTTTAAGTTGTGATATCCTAATATATGATTAGTTTCACTACAGTGTAATCTTTGGGTTGTGGTTTATGGGTTGTGGAGAAATCGGTGAAAAATAAAACAAGAGTTACAATATACAGTATGTGTACTTATTTTAAGGTTATTATAACTGCGTGTACAGATCTGTAGGGCACTGACTATCTGCTTTCTAGTCATCATATTAGATAAAAATCTGTATTTGACAGCTGTGCTGAATAATAGTGAAAGTTAAAAAGAAAATATTTACATTTCCAAATATTTTTCTTAAGATTCTTTGCAAATAAGAAAAAGTTGACTTCATGTTCTCATGAACTACCGCGGGATGAGTGAGAATATTTCCATTGTGATGTGATTGAACTCAAAAAAATAGTGCAAACTTTTTGTTTTCAATAATGATTGTTGAATGACAAAAATATTTTGCAAGTCATCAGAAAAATAATGTAAATATGAGATGATAACGAGCATCATGAAATATGCCGGTGTGAAGTGGTGTAGTTCATGTCCTCATGAATTCTCAAAATTAAAGTCATCTCTTTAAAAAACCTCTAAAACAAGTACACATGCAATGTAGTTCCCTACAGTGTAACCAGCCTATAGTGAACATGCCTGTAATGATTCACACTTACTGGGAAGTGATTTTCATTCCCTGTGGAATTAAATTGTAAACTTAATGGATATAACAATCATGTCTATAACAAAGAAAAATTGTTTGTCCCAGGCACTTTGCTAAAAGCTTGTTTTATTGTATAATGAAAACTCGTTACTCAGGGGAGAGAGAAATTAGCTTCCTTTAAAGGGGGGGGGGGGGTCTTTTCTTTTGAATTTCACATGAAAATGTTCATGTAAAATTTGTATGTTGTTCGAGGCAAATTTCTCTAAATCTGTACACTGATATTACTCCACATTTTCCTCTGTCAAGGTTAACTCTCTGTGGTTTCTTTCTAGGTTCATTCAGAAATGGTAATACTGCCTGCATGGTGTTTCACATGCATTTATTTTTCTTTTACTTTTTATTTCATTTTGAACTCCCATGCACATTAATTCAGCATCTGTTGTTATTTGTATTGTGTTTTTTCACTTGTCAGCTGTATTATATGTTATTTATAATGTCATTCACAATAACAATTTCTGATTAAAATTTTTTCTGTTGTCCAGTATGTGTCTTTCTCATCATATTTTAAAATTTTCTTCAAATATTTCCTACAAATTTCAAGATAAAGCATTTTTATTTTGAGTAGTTAAAGGAGGCAAGTTCTGATAAATTAAGATTGACCATTTTTTCCTTTCTGGGGTTGAAAGGAAAGAAAATTTTTGAAAGATTCTACTTCCTCTTAGAAAAAAAAAACTCAAGGTTTCAGTTAATTAAGGACCCTCTATACACTAGAGGAAAATATTTTTTGGACATTGAGAAAATTATAGTGTGTAAAGGTATAAGCATTGAGTTTATCTATCACATTTTCAGCATAGGATGCCTTGCATTTACCCTGAGGAAAAATGTTCAAAGACAATGAAGTACTAATGAGCATAACTCACTGTTGTTTACTTAAGTGGGCAAAATACCTGCACATGAAGTGTTCTATCTATTCATCTTGGCCTACTAAAGTGTTATGAATGCTTGATTTGATTGCAAATTAAGTAATAAACTGTACATTTCAATTTCTTTTATTCTTGATCAAAGGGCAGATCACTCTATCTGCATAAAAATACCACAAAATCAGAACTCTCTAGTGTGCAGTGTATAGAGGGTTCTTAAATCAATATGCAAGCTGTTGTGGATAAAGATTTATTCCTTCATATTTATGAAATTTGATGGAGGTGAGCACTGTAGACCTGGGGTTCCTCTTACTTAAATCATGCCTAACCATATCATTGCCTGTATAATTCTGTGGCTTTCTCAATATATAAACATATCATTTACATACCATATGTTTCAAGTTTATCAGGAGATATAGTTGTTGTACTTGTATAATATGTGGTAATTTAATTTTTTTAATGAACATAATTATTTGACAGCATGTCAGTGGGATTGGACACAAATTCCAAAAATATGAGAGTTATTACTCTCCCCTGTCTATGATGCAATCATTACATCTGAGTATTAGATTAGAATTTATAAATGCATAAGTTACCACATATACTCACCTTTAAGTCAGATTTTGGGGAGTTAAATTTTAATCCGAAAGTCTATGTCCGACTTAATTATGAGTCCTTGAAAATTCTTTCCTCTTGTAGAGGAATTATTTTACATATAATTTTGTTACATTAACTCTGACTATAATTGTTTATACTAGTAACATAATTATGTTATAAAGGTTAGAACTTAATTAATCTGATGGAGGAAAAGGTCTTACTATGGTTACCAGATACGTAGAACATAGCACTAAGTATACAGATTTTAATGATCTTATATTTGTTTAAATTGAATTTTTAATAAATTAAAGATCATATATTGATGTCATATCCTAAAACTTACTTAATGAAACACAGGATAATACAATAGAGTATTAATCTGATATTAACAGGTTCTGGCAAAAAACTGTACTGACTTATAAGCATGTCAACAAAAATGCCTGCAAATTGATCTGAAAAATATACATTCAACCATCTTATAAGCAAATTGACTTGTAGGTGGGAATATATGGTAACTGACTGTGCAGTTTGGATAATTCCTATTTTTTGAATTCATTGAGTTTTTTTTTTTTTTTTTTGTTTTTTTTTTTTTTTTTTTTGTTTTTTTTTTTGTTTTTGTTTTTTTTTTCTTTTTTTAAAAGCTTTTTGACAAGGTGTGTACCAAAAAAATAAGCCATAGACCTTGTATATATCCCTATTCGTCCCATGTTAAACACTTTTGATGCACATATTTTGGGGGAGGATTCAGGGTAGGTTATCGGAAGTATATGACATGAGATTAATAATTTAGAATTAACATTTTACAGTTGATAGGCCGATTCACAGGCTTGCTTATTTTCATACTCTGCATCAATTAAAAGTGGAATGTACAAAATATGAACCAGGACTGGCGTGATCATTCATTCATTAATTCATTGACATTCATTCATTCATTCTCTCAAAAAACAAATTAAATGGTACAAGAGGTATGTAAAATACATAATTATATACATGAATATACTGTATATACAGGGAAATTTTCACCCCAGTTTTATTTTCGCCCCTTTCGCCCTACACATAGGTGGGTGAATTTAAAACGGGGTGAATTCAAATAACCCAGTATGATTTCCTAAACATATCTGTGACTGGGCAAATTTAAAATGGGGCAAAATTGTTTGCAAGAGTGAAAGGTCCAAAATAACACGGGGTGAAAATAACCCTGTATACAGCACTGTGACCATCATTTTAAAGAATATTCCTGTAATAAATAACTGCTTATAAAAAACACTAAGTTAAACTGCAGAAGCTTTGGTTATGGCTACTTTAATTTTTGAAGTTTTGTTCAGTAATGGAAATTTTAAAAATATTGGCAGTTTCAGTTGAAGACAAAAAAAAAGGAATCTTGAGTAGAGCTTATTTGAAATATCCTGTTACTAGTTTGAAACATTTCAACCTGTCAGATAAAGATACAGTCACATGATTTACTGTAAGATACAGTCACATGATTCACTGTAAGATACAGTCACATGATTTAGTTATTTGTATTCTCAGTACTACATGTGCACTTTTTACAGTCAGATTTTAGTGCACTACAATATATAATTTAGTACTTATAATCTTTTGATTTCTCACATGTATTTTTGAAGTAAAATTGACATTTTCTTGCATGTTTATCTCCCATTAGACTGTAAGGGTGGGGAGAGAACAAAAAAATGCATCCACTAGTCTAAGAATGAATTCCCATACTGAAACCATTGTACACTTATATTGCTTTTATTGTCACAGTTTGTCTCCCCTCCCCCCCCCCCCCCCCCAACAGTTTTGTACAGTGAATGTTGACACTCCCCCATTTTTTTAAATTGTGTCAGATGTTGTATGTGTAAGCTAGCTATAAATCATTGTTTATGATTAAAGGAATTATTTAGTTTCACTTTTGATTTCTCTTAATTATATTTAATTTATAGCCAAATATATGGTTAATACAAATTATGCATCAAAACCTGGTGAATGAGTTTGTGTTTTATATCTTCAATTTTAGATTCTTAAAATTTTAATGATTCCAAAATTTGGCAAAATGTATATAATTGATATATAATTGCTGTTTTTTTTTTCCTTAAAAAGGATAAAATCTTGGTTTCAAATTGGAATTTTTCTTCAGTTCTGGCATGCATAACTTTGTGTAATATCTATCAATATTAATCCTGTATAATATCTATCAATATTAACCCTGTATGTTGCAGCTTATCATGAAGATCCCGAATATTGTAGTGAAGTTAGAGGGTGGAGTCGGTAAGAGGACCGTACCCCTACTAATTGCAGAGATGTCATTTGATGCCCAGGTCAAAGATTGGAGTTCAAAGGTGAGGGTCATTTCAATGTGATATCATTTCATGTTTAAGGTATATCATCCACCTTTAAATTTAGATTTTGCTTTAAACTTAATGATTATTCAGTTGAGTTAAGATTTAAAATGCACACAATTTCAGCATACCTTGAGGGGCAAAAATTTGCAAATTTTTAAAATTTATTTTTACATGACAGTTAAATAAAGGAATTATATTTATGTTCTATGTGAGCCTTATCTCTCCTATAAGAGGGTCAGTGAACCTTAAGACAAATTTTCATCATGTGATAATGACATGAGACTGAAATATGAACAAAAATATTTTAAGCACACTTTCGTCTGTTGTGCATAAAAGAAGAATGATGAATTCCTTCTTTGTCTACTTTTAGAAAGAAAATGTGTAATTTTTTTCAATTGATAAAACTCAAGAGATATTAAATGTGTGTGCTTAATGTACATCTAAAGTTAGAAAAAAAACCCAGTGCTTTCAGTACTTTGATTATTTTTTTCTAGCTTGAGGTGGAAAGTAATATGAAGTTAGAGGTAGCCTTCTACAATGAGAAGCTCTCTGTATGGGAGTCCCTTGTAGAACCAGTGACGGAAAATGGAAAACTGAAGAAATGGGACCTTGGTCTACAGGTAAGGGTTACCTGTGTCAGATAATGGAAAAATAAAGAAATGGGACCTTGATCTACAGGTAGGGTAAAGTTGAACAAGTTATAGAAAAGGGAGGGGGCATAGGTTTGCTGGTTAGGGGATGCTATATTGTGAAAATAGAAAACTAAAGATATGGAAGTTGGTCCACAAGGAAAGATCTAATAGAAATGATACAAATAGGAGCCAAGTTAGAGGCCCCTTAATTGTGATAATGGAAAAAAAAAAGAGAGATCTAGGACTCGGGGTAAGGGGAACACCATGCTGTGATAAAATGGAACCTATATATTAAAATAGACTCTAAAACCGTGCTCATGGAAAGGCAAATGTGTGAAAAGAGTCTGCAGGTAAAGGTACACTAAACAAACTTTTGAGCTGGAATCTAAGTCTGCTGGAATAAAGGGGTGTTTTACAGTGATACTGGGTAAATTGAGGGGGGGGGGGGGGGGGGGGGGGGGCTTGGTTTACAGGTGAATACTAGTGATAAATGTAATACTCTATTGTGATAATAAGACCGAAAAGAAAGTGTGGTTTCCATCTAAGCACTTAATAACTGCTAAACAATAAAAAAAAATTGATTGGTTTGTCATAAATGATACAGACAATCTGATTGGCTACTTAATAACTGCTAAACAGTAAATAAAATCTGGTTGGTTTATCATAAATGATACAGACAATCTGATTGGCTACTTAATAACTGCTAAACAGTAAGTAAAATTTGATTGGTTTATCATAAATGATACAGACAATCTGATTGGCTACTTAATAACTGTTAAACAGTAAATAAAATTTGATTGTTTTATCATAAAGTGATACAGACGATCTGACTGGCTATTTAATAACTGCTAAACAGTAAATAAAATTTGATTGGTTTATCATAAATGATACAGACAATCTGATTGGCTACTTAATAACTGTTGAACAGTAAATAAAATTTGATTGGTTTATCATAAATGATACAGACAATCTGATTGGCTGTTTCTAGGTGATGAAGAATGATGATCTTGCTCTGGAGGATGAAGAAGAAGATGAAGACTCCAAAAACATTGTGTTACCTCCCCCTAAGATGTCAATCAACATCAGATCTAATGATCCAATGGAGGTCACTGTCACAAAAACCTGTTTAGAGGTCCTCAATAACCTAGCCAAGGTTTGGTTTAATATAAAATGCTTAAACTTGATCATGAAAAAAATATAAATATTCTGAAATCATGCTAACAGCAAACTATTATTTTTTCAACAAAAACAGACACACAAAAAAACAATTAAAAGTCCATTAAAGACATAAGGGATGTAGTTAAGCAATTTTTAGCTGTCTTTTGTGATTTGCCGCAACTGTGTTCTTTGCTCTATTACTTAAGCTCTGAATAGCAGCTGAAGAATACAGTAGAATGTGATTATAATAAACAACAACATATGTTCATATAAAACAGAATACATACTTATTAGACAGCTAATTGATTTTTAAAGTCTCTAGGACCTCAAATTTTGTTTCCTTAAAACCTTAAGATTCTTTAAATCTGTACAAATAACATAATGTTAAGTCTTCTGTGGGACTCATAAAAGTTTCCTAATAACCACCATTGCCTCATAAGGGAGTTCATAATAACAGAGTTTTACTGTATTACAGTATTGTCTATTACAATGCGCTTCTTAATTTGAAACAAATACAAATCTTAAGTTGTTATGCTGTACATCCAGTCCCTGTACTACTGTGTAATGTGAGCTTTAGATGGATGCTGTTTTATTTATTTTTCTATTAGGCTTTTGGAGATGCTTACAAACTAGTAACTCCAGCAGAGGAGGCAGGAAAAGTTCTCTCCCCTTACGTCATTAATAATCACACAGGAATTCCTGTTACCCTGAAACTGGATAAAGATTTCGAGGTCAGCTAAATTTGGATTAAAAAATGTAAAACTAAAAAAATTTTGATTTTCAGATAAATTTTAATCATTTACTGATTTCATTAATTGCATCTTGATAGAAAATATTCTAATTTATATGCAAAATAGAATTAAAATAATTAATGTTACATTGTAGTAAGTTGCCAGGGTGGCTAAAAATAAAATACTTATTGACTTGATGTTTACTTTAAAACAAGTCTCGGTCCTCTTGAGTATTTTGCACTGTGGACCTGTTGTGTTTTTTAAACAGATGCCGCAGGAAGCTAAGAATGATAAACTGACCTTGGAATCAGAGAAGTCCCTCCCTTTGTATGGGAGGAAACAGGCGGTTCTCAAGCGCCAGGCCTCTGTCATCAAAGCAACACAGGAAGGAGACGAGAAAAAATTCATCTTTCAGGTTCATTTATATAGTTTTACATGTACATGTATATCAGCATTGTGTAGTCATACATTTCAAAGGAATATAAATAAAGCTTAGTGTAATTATAAAAATACTCTCAGTTATTTTACATATCTTGATAATTTCATCCTTCTAGCAAGTAGAATATTTCTTGGTTTGTTATTTTGCATTAAATTTTTTTTCCTTTCCTTAAGAATATGTCATTTTGGACAGCTTTGGTTTTAAATATGTTAAAATTTTAATATTTGTTACAGATTGAAAAATTCAATGCCACAAGGGAGGTAACTATAAAGCGATCAGAGAAACGTTTCTATCCAGTCAACAATAAGACCTACCCCGGGGACGTGTGGGCCGTGGTGTGTAGTACGGAGGCTCCAATTGGTCAGAAAATCATCAATTTACGGTCCATTGTACAGGTAAAGTATTCATGCCTCCTTTGATGCAAGTTATAAGTGAAAATAAATATAGAATGTCATTTTTATGAAAATTTTAATTTCCAACTATAAATAGATGATTTCTGAATAGCAGGCTTTACTTCAAACAAATATTTAACAAATATATATACATGTGTAAATTTTTTTCTATTTCAAAACATATTCCCCCAAAAAAATCTTAATTAAAAAATTGAACAATTTGATCAAATTTAGAACTGCTAATATAATGAAGGTTACATCATAGTGAATAAGACAGAATATATTACCACAATTCTTAGAACTGGTAGAATTATATACATTTTAAAGATTGTCATTCTGTCATTCATTCCTTTTTGAATAATAGATGAAGAACAATCTGCCATATGCTGTAGAGATTTTCTCCCGTACCGAGCAGACAGTGACGTCCTGGGGCACGGTACAGCCAGGAGACCTGTTTAATGTCCCCCTCCCCGGGGTTTACACACCAGACGGACAATTCTTACTCAAACCCATTGATCAGGAGTAAGCTTATCATGTATGAGTGTTTTAGGGGTAAACCTGATTAATATAATTATGATTCAAAAGTTACAATTTACATGTATGTTCAAACTGCTGAGATATCAGGGAACCTGCCCTGGACCAGGGTTGATCCACAATAGGAGGGCAAAGACTTACATTTAAAGGATTTAGAAAATCTGCTCACAAAAACAGCAGGGCCACAATTACTGAGAGAAACATTTCAATATGACTATATTATTCTATATGAGACTTTTTCAATTCACTTTTTATTTCAGTGACTATAGCAAACTAAAATTTGAATTTAAAGAGAAGACAGTTTCAGAATTAAATTCATGGTTTGATGTTTAATCATGTTACAGTTGTGAAACATCGAAAGTTCCCATATCATGGAGGACAGCTGAGGCCAATCCCAAAGTTTATGTACAGTGTCCTTTCAAGAATGGATCAGAATACGTAATTTGTGTACGTATTGTATTACGTAGGTACCACTGTATTGATATAGGTAAATCTCTAAGAATAACAGGATACCTCATAATGGATACAGACAAACTTCTACTTTATATAATAAGACAAGGTACAGTAAAATCTCTTCTGGGTGTTATATTTTGATATCTGGACCTGGGTGTTATATTTTGATATCTGGACTTCTACATTGTAAATTTTAAGATCTTTATGTAAGTTATATGATGGTTTACTATGTTGATTCATCTGAAATGCTGTCTAATCTGGTCACAAAACAAGTGGTGTCTGGATTCAGTTTTACTGTACCTCTTAACAGAGTCAGCTTATAGATTTAAAGAAAACATAAGGTGCCATAAATTTAATACCATCAAGCTATAGCATATCTAAATTTGAATCTTTTATACTGATTTTGTACATATGTTGCCACCTATTTTATTTTTACCTAATACAGGTGAGATCTGAGGTGATTAACATTTACTATGATGAGACTGACGAGCTGTCAGCTAAGACGTACCTGTTTCACCTGTCCCCAACCATCGTGTTCCACAATCTCCTAAACATACCTATCACCTTCCTTCTTGAGGTAAGATCATCAGATTGAGGCATCCCCCTTCCTTTTTGCAAACTTTTTTTGACAGAATGGCTAGTATATTATAAGAGTACTTTCATCTATTTGCAGCATTTCAATTTTGGAAATTTCAATTTAATTTAATTAATGAGCTATGTTAAAGTTGGTCAATTTAGATGTTTTATAAGCTTATTTTCTGCAATTTTGTTTTTATTGCAAAATTCCACAAAAAGAGACTGCTTCAGAAATTACCTGATCATTAACATATCTTTGAATTTGTTGATTGATTACTTTGATAACATTGAGCAGGGGATGGCCTCAGAGGTCTCTCTGGGCAGGGGAGAGAGCAAACCTTTGCTTCACGCCATGCCAGGAAAATCCCACATAGAGGTCAGGGTAAGTATCAAAAGAGGGAACAAGTCCCATATAGAGGTCAGGGTAAGTATTAAAAGTGGGAATAAGTCCCACATAGAAGTCAAGGTTAGTACTGTATCAAAAGAGGGAACAAGTCCCACACAGAAGTCAGGGTGAATGTCAAAAAAGAAATTCAGTCCAAAAAAGAAAAGAGGCCATCAGAGTATGAATCAAAAGAGGGTCCCACACAGAAGTTGGGATGAGTATCAAAAGGGGAATCAGTCCCACATAGGGGAATCAGTCCCACATAGAGGCCAGGGTAAGAGTCAAAACAGGGACTTAGTCCTTCCTTATTATCGGGCCTGGAAGGTCCATTAGGGTCAAGGTAAGTATCTAAAAAGGGAACAAATCTCTTTTCAGACATGAAGTTCAGGGTAAATGTCAAAAGAGGGACCAGTCCCACATAGAGGCCAGGGTAAATGTCAAGAGAGGGACCAGTCCCAGATATATGCCAGGGTAAATGTCAAGAGGGGACCAGTCCCAGATATATGCCAGGGTAAATGTCAAGAGAGGGACCAATCCCACATGGAGGCAGGGGTAAATGTCAAAAGAGGGACCAGTCCCAGATAGAGCCATGGTAAATGTCAAGAGAGGGACCAGTCCCACATAGAGGCCAGCGTAAATGTCAAAAGAGGGACCAGTCCCACATAGAGGCCAGTGTAAATGTCAAAAGAGGAACTTAGTCCTTCATTATCATCGGGCCTGGGAGGTCCATTAGGGTCAAGGTAAGTATCTACAAAGGGAACAAGTCCCTTTTCAGACATGAAGTTCAGGGTAAATGTTAAGAGAGGGACCAGTCCCAGATACAGGCCATGGTGAGAGTCAAAGGAAGGGAAAAAAATCTCTTGAATGTTGTGCCAGGAAAGTCCCATAAAGAGGCCAGTGTCTGTAACAAGGAGAGGAACAGGGCTCACTTCAATTCCAGACCCAGAAGTTTCCGTATAATTATGTTCCCCAAACGAAGTTTGGGAACATATTGTTTTTACTCTGTTTCTTATTATTATTATTAAGGTCTTCCGTTCCAGACGGAAGACCTTATAGTGATTGTACTGTTTATTATTATTATTATTATTTTTTTCCCCTTTTTTTGTCGGCAGGATTTCTCAGAGATGACTGGATGGATTTTCCTGAAATTTTCAGGGTTGATAGAGAATGAAAATACCCCGAGGCGTTTTTTTCATTTTTTCAAAATTCACTTCCGGTCGTCAGATATGTCCGATTTCCGTTTTTTTCAAAAATATTTTTTCCGAGTGAGATCTCAGAAACGGTAAGAGATTAAGACACCAAACTTATACGAGTAATAGATCATGAGGAGTAGGCGAGCCCATTTGGGTTAAGCTTGTCAGCCGTCACTTCCGGTCGTCACAGGAAGTGATAAAAGAAATCGAAAATTTCAACTTTTCTTTTTTGAATTTTTTTTTTGCATCACATTATTGCATCTCATGTGTAGTTTCGAAATATGTCAGTCCCACCGGAAACAAAAACGACAACTTCCGGTTAGAAGAGGAAAACTACATAATTTGAGTATTTTACTTTCCCTTAAATATCTTTTATAGATAAAGTATTTAAAATGATTTTTAGATATGTTATTCAGACTGCAAATGTCTAGAGTAACGTCAAAAATCTTAGTAAAATTCACTTCCGGTCGCGTGTTTTTCCTGTCCTCAAAATGAAAAGTAATCCCAGCGAGATCTCGGAAACGGCATGAGATTAAGACACCAAACTTATAGGAGTAATAGACCTTGAGGAGTTAGCAAAACACATAGGGTTAGACGCATCAGCCGTCACTTCCGGTCGTCACAGGAAGTGATAAAAAAATCGAAAATTTCAACTTTTCTTTATAAAATTAAAACTTGCATCACTTTGTTGCATCTCTTTCGTGTTTTGAAATATGTTAGATTCCACCGGAAACAAAAACTGTAAACTTCCGGTTTAAAGAGATAAACTATGTTATTTCGATGTTTAGCTTTCTCATAAATATCACTTACAGATAAGTATTTGAAATGTTTTTTTTTTTACATATCCTGTAGATACTACAAATGTCATGAGAAAAATTCAGAGATTTTTATTCAATTCACTTTCGGTCGTGTGTTTTCCTGTCCCCAAAATTAGAATATGTTCTCAGTATTGCTCGGTAAGAGAAAAGGACTGAAGTCTAAAACTTTAAGGACTTATAGTCAGTCATCAGTTCATTTGCATCGTGTAAAAATCGTCTGTCGTCATTACTTCCGGTCGTGACAGGAAATGAAGCAAAAAGTATTTTTTTTAAAGTTGTTTTGTTTCTACATCAGTTTTAGGCTTATACCGACGTTGAAAAAGACATGTTCATGCAAACAGGAAGTAGTATAACGGAAGACCTTCTCATTACTAGTAATGAGTTTCTAGTTATTATTATTATTATTATTCTTATTTTTTAGACAAATTTTGTGCACGCAATATCTCGAGAACTATTCAGTAGTTTTTCATCAAACTTTCAGGGATAATGCGATATAAAATGCCATTGTTACATTTGAAAGAGTTTTGGAGAAATTCGCTTCCGGTTCCAAGTTATGGACATTTTTCTGATTTTAAAATGAAATTTTATCCGCGCGAGATCTAAAGAACGGGAAAAGATATTAACTGGAGACTTGTTGGAGAGCATAGAACATGAGTTCTAGATATGCGGGTTTGCCTTTTCGTGCGTCGTGAGTACTTCCGGTCGCTACCGGAAGCAAATTAAAAAAGTCAATTTTTTCAACTTTTACGTTTTTCAATATTTTTCTTTGATTTTAAGAGGGGTAATAGAGACTCTTATCCTAATGTTTAATACATAATTTGTTTTTAAAATTATCCACCAGAAGACATTTTAAAAATATATTTTTTAGACAAATCTTGTGCACGCAATATCTCGACAACTATTCAGTGGTTTTTCATCAAACTTTCAGGGATAATGCGCTATAAAATGTTGTTGTTACATTTGTAAGAATTTTGGAGAAATTTGTTTCCGGTTCCAAGTTAGGGACATTTTTCTGATTTTGAAATGAAATTTTATCCTCGCGAGATCTAAAGAACGGCTAAAGATATGAACTGGAGAATTGTTGGAGAGCATAGAACATGACTTCTAGATGTGCGGGTTTGCCTTTTCGTGCGTCGTGAGTACTTCCTGTCGCTACCGAAAGCGAATTAAAAAAGTCAATTTTTTTCAACTTTTACGTTTTTCAATATTTTTCTTTGATTTTAATAGGGTAATATTCCTTTATAGATGCAAGTTACTGAACATAATAGGTATCAGATTCCTTGAGCGTCATATGGCGAGACGTGTATTGTTGCGAAACATTCCAGTCTTTTCATTAATGTGTTACTAATTGGAAAAGCCCACTTTGGGGGTAAAGAGGAATATAAATTGTGTAAGAAAACAGCGCTGTCTTTATATTGCTTGCCCGTATACTATTTGTTATATGTACAGTGTGATAAATAAACATTCTTAGGCTCGAAAATCAGGGTATAGCAACATATATTTTTTAAATTTCATTGAAGCTATCACGTACACTTATTCAATTGAAGACACATTTCAAAGAAAAGGTGCAAAGATTTACTCGTGACGTTTGGCGCGAAATAATGTATCTTGACCCGCCTTTCACAAATGGTCTGATGCAGTAGTATAGAAGTACAGAAAAAGATTACACGGACATGTCTGTATTTGGAATTGCATAGAATAGAAAGTTGAATGCATTAAGAATAAAGGAAGTAAACACAATAGTTTTTTTTAATTTTTATCTGTAACAGATTATTTTCTCTGCTATCAGTTATTGTTAAAACTCAAGTAACAAATCCGATGTAAATCTACTAGCACTTGCACAAAATTTAGCTGGCTAGTTTTCATCCTATAATTCCGCACTATAAGAAAAAAAAATTAACCTGCCGGACACTCGTTACTTCAGGGAATGAGTGCAAGGTAAACATCGATTGCGCTAGTGTAGTGGTTTCAATATTAAAGAACAAGGTTCACTTAGGGCCTTTTTTGGCCCTGTGAATTTCAGAAAAACTGAAACTGCTTGGTTTTAGTTGACAATGCATTAAATATCATTTAGACCTTTGATGACTGCGTATCTATCAAAAATGACGTAATTTTCTGGCTAGCCTATGCATTAAGACGTCATGAAATGCGTCATTTTCCTCATATCCTGAAAATTTATATAAAACAGCCAATTTTTAAAGCTATTTTTTGATATTTAATATAGGACGTAACCTCTGATCTTAAATATGCAACTATTAAATGATAGAACTATTTCTGAGGATTACAAAACCTGTTTTATTTTTTAGATCAGAGGATGCGCTCATATTATTTCTCTTCTTGCTTTTTTAAACTAAAATTTGCATCACTTTATTGCATCTCTTTCGCTGTTTTGAAATAAGTTAGAATCCACCGGAAATAAAACGTCAACTTCCGGTCTATTTCTCGGCAACAGTAAACGACTGAAGTCTAAAACTTTCAGGACTGATAGTCAGTCATCAGTTTATTGAATCGTGACAAAATCTTGTATCGCCGTTACCTCCGGTCGTGACAGGAAGTGATGCAAAAAAGGAATGGTTAATGGTTAGCACGTTGGATTTTCAGGCTGACGACCAGGGTTAAATCTCCAGAGTGTCTGAATTTCTTTTATCACTTTTTCAGCTTGAGTTTTCCTTTTTTTCAGAATCGGACGGAAGACCTCTCATTGCTCGCAATGAGTTTCTAGTTATTATTATTATTATTCTTTTTTTCTACTTTCTTCTCCGGTACTTTTTTGTCCGGGAGTGTTCTCATAGAACCACTCATCCGATTGACATGAAACCTTTTTAGGGTTAATAGGCATGTTGTGTAGGTGTGTGGAACGAAGGTCATTTTGCGCGCACATGCATGCACGTGCGCGCGCGTGCAATGAGTGAAATGACTGATGTACTTGATGAAGCCGTAACTTTTATATTTCTTGATCAATTGCTTTGAAACTCAAAATATAAAGATATATTAGTAGTCTAGACAAGACAACATGGTCAAATTAGCGTGAACTCACGCGCATGCATGTGCGCTCTTCTCTGATTGGCTAATACAAAAATCTCAATAATTTCCTTGTTTTTTGACAAAATACTTTGAAATTTAGAATATAAGTATATATTATAAGGTGCTACAACATGTTATATAGGAAATTTCTTGAAAACACGCGCATGCAGGTGTGCTGCAAACTGATTGGTTGAAACTTTAAATGTCTTTAACTCCCTTGGTTTTTAACAAAACAGGATGAAATTTAAGACATGGATAGGCACATAGAGCTCCTACATTATGATACTATCAAAATTGAATGCAAGGCCATGCATGCGCGTATGCTGAATTTTGATTGGCTAATACTTAAAGGGTTACATCTCTCTTATTTTTCAATGAAATTCTTTAATATTTAAAACAAATGTATGTATTGTGAGACACTATAAGATAATTAATGTAAAAAATGTAGCTATTAGATTGGCTCATACCCATATGGCTATATCGGAGTAGTTTTCCAATGAAATACCCTTAAAAATAAAGTGTCCATCTATATTACAAAAGTATTGTCTAATTTATTGAAGCTTGTAGGGAATGGGGCATCACAAGGGATTGGGGAGCCGTTTGGGGAACATCTGTAACAGTTCCCGTTACAATTAGCACTAGTTAAAGATGTTTTAACAGAGATTTTGTATACATTGTGTAGTTGATGAGTCATATATATAATGCAGTTGTGGAATAGAAATATGCAGCATGACACTTTGGTTTTGTGTTTCTTAAAATAGTAAAATGCCTTTCAGTTTTAACTCGAGGGACACCTTTTTTAGCTCACCTGAGCTGAAGGCTCAAGTGAGCTTTTCTGATCGAAATTTGTCCGTTGTCTGTCGTTGTCGTTGGCGTTGTCGTAAACTTTTCACATTTTCATCTTCTTCTCCAGAACTACTGGGCCAATTTCAACCAAACTTGCCACAAAGCATCCATGGGTGAGGGGGATTCAAGTTTGTTCAAATGAAGGGCCACGCCCTCTTTCAAGGGGAGATAATAGAGAATTTGTGAAAAAATAATAGCATCTTTTAAAAATCTTCTTCTCAAGAACCACAGGGCCAGGAAAGATGAAACTCAAGTAGAAGCATCCTCAGGTAGTGTAGATTCAAGTTTGTTCAAATGATGACCCCTGGGATAGGGAGGAGCCACAATGGGGGATCAAATTTTTACAAAGGAATATATGGGAAAATTTTTAAAAAAATCTTTTCAAGTACAACAAAGCCATTTGTTAAATTGACATGGAAGGTTCCGGTAGTTTAAAATTCAAGCCCCCCCCCCCCCACCCCCACCCCACCCCAAGGTAATCTTTTCAATACTGAACTGATTTGTACTTTTGCCTAGCCAATGTGCTCAGGTGAGCGATGTGGCCCATGGGCCTCTTGTTATGTCTTATTTTCACATTGTAAACATTCAGTTCTTGTTTCTATAGATACCCCTGTATCAGGACTTGGAGTGGCACGGTACACAGCTTCTCTCTACAGAGTTTCCCGAACTCTCAATGTGGACGTTTAATGCCGTCTTCAAAGGCCCTTCAATGATTTCCTTGGTGAGTTGTGATCCTTTTATCTTCATATGCTGTGACAATAGTTAAATGCACAATAAAAGTCTAAGTTTGTCAGAATAATTGATGATAATTTTGTGCATTTATGTCTACAGTGCATTGATTCCTGGTTTAAATTATACTGATTTTAATGACAGATCTGAACGGAGAATTGGAATGTCTAGACGTGTCTGTGTACAGTCCATAGATCTGTTTTATAAGTAATTCTGTTTCTATTGACAGATTTAAGGTCTGCACTGTACAGAGAATGAAGGATGTCTAGACATGTCTGTGTACAGTCCATAGATCTGTTTTATAAGTAATTCTGTTTTTTTGACAGATTTTAGGGCTACACTGTACAGAGAATGAGGGATGTCTAGACATGTCTGTCTACAGTCCATACTGGATGATAAATAAGACAGGAAGGACTCTCATGTACAAGGTATTGAATTTAGAACTACTCTGTGGTGTTCTAAATATAAGGTATTAATTTTGGACACTCTGTAGGTATTGTATTTAGAACTACTCTGTAGTGTTCTAAATATAGGGTATTAATTTTGGACTGTCTGTAGGTATTGAATTTAGAACTACTCTGTAGTGTTCTGAATATAAGGTATTAATTTTGGACTGTCTGTAGTTTCTGAAGATGGAATAGGTGGAAATCATTAGGTCTGTAGTTTACAAAGTTAAAGGTACATATTAATTTTTTAACTTTGAATTATTCTGAATTTGATTTTTTATGCAGTAAAATTTATTATATTGATTTTTTTTTTCCTTTGAAATGTGGACAAATGTAACAGTTATAGTTTATGGTTCATTTGACTGCAGGGACTCAATCTCTTTAAAAAAAGTACTTTTTATTGCTGAATCAAATTAGAGCATCATTTTGTTTTATGAAGGGTGAAGCTAATTTTAATTTATGCAGGAAGTCAAAGCCAAAACCGTTATTTTATTTTTTCAGGGGAGTGATTCGGATGAGGTCATTGAACATTCGTCTGAGAAACAGGAAGTCGCGTTTTTCGCATTCAGACCGAAAACCTGCCTAGAGGGAAAAAAAAAGGTAACCTCTTATGCTTAAATAACTGGTGTTAGGGCGGGGCTCTATTGATTATATAGTGAAAATGTTATTAATTCTTTGAAAATCTTCTTCTCTGCTCCTGGATATAAAATGAACTAAGTTAGTACATAGTTATGATGAGCAAGAGTGCCTCTTCTGAAATTATGAACTTCATGGCCCCAGGGTCAAGGGTTCTGGTGTTAGGGCGGGGCTCTATTGGTTATATAGTGAAAAGGCATTAATTCTTTGAAAATCTTCTTCTCTGCTCCTGGATATAAAATGAACTAAGTTAGTACATAGTTATGATGAGCAAGAGTGCCTCTTCTGAAATTATGAATTTCATGGCCCCAGGGTCAAGGGTTCTGGTGTTAGGGCGGGGCTCTATTGGTTATATAGTGAAAAGGCATTAATTCTTTGAAAATCTTCTTCTCTGCTCCTGGGTATTAGATAAACTAACTTAGTATATAGTTATGATTAGCAAGAGTACCTCTTTCAAAATTTTGAATTTCATGGCCCCAGGGTCAGGGGTTCTGGTGTTAGGGCGGGGCTCTATTGATTATGTAGTAGAATTGCAATAATTTTCTCTGCTCCTTGGTATTAAGTACATAGTTATGAAGAACAAGAGTGCCTCTTTCAAAATTGTGAATTTCATGGCCCCAGGGTCAGGGGTTCTGGTGTTAGGGTGGGGCTCTTTTGATTATATAGTTAAAATGCATTAATTCTTTGAAAATCTTCTCTGCTCCTGGGCATTAAATAAAGTAACTTAGTACATAGTTATGATGAGCAAGAGTGCCTCTTCTGAAATTATGAATTTCATGGCCCCAGGGTCAAGGGTTCTGGTGTTAGGGCGGGGCTCTATTGGTTATATAGTGAAAAGGCATTAATTCTTTGAAAATCTTCTTCTCTGCTCCTGGGTATTAGATAAACTAACTTAGTATATAGTTATGATTAGCAAGAGTACCTCTTTCAAAATTTTGAATTTCATGGCCCCAGGGTCAGGGGTTCTGGTGTTAGGGCGGGGCTCTATTGATTATGTAGTAGAATTGCAATAATTTTCTCTGCTCCTTGGTATTAAGTACATAGTTATGAAGAACAAGAGTGCCTCTTTCAAAATTGTGAATTTCATGGCCCCAGGGTCAGGGGTTCTGGTGTTAGGGTGGGGCTCTTTTGATTATATAGTTAAAATGCATTAATTCTTTGAAAATCTTCTCTGCTCCTGGGCATTAAATAAAGTAACTTAGTACATAGTTATGATGAGCAAGAGTGCCTCTTCCAAAATTGTGAATTTCATGGCCCCTGGGTCAGGGGTTCTGGTGTTAGGGCAGGGCTCTATTGATTATATAGTAGAATTGCATTAATTCTTTGAAAATCTTTTTCTCTGCTCCTGGGTATTAAATAAACTAACTAAGAACATAGTTATGGTGAGCATGACTGCCTTTTCAGAAATTGTTTCATGGCCCTTGGGTCAGGGGTTCTGGTGTTAGGGATGGGCTCCATTGATTATATAGTAAAATTGCATTAATTCTTTGAAAATCTTCTCTGCTCCTGGATATTAAATAAACTAAGTACATAGTTATGATGAGCATGGCTGCCTCAGAAATTATGAATTTAATGGCCTCTGGGTCAGGGGTTCTGGTGTTAGGGCGGGGCTCTATTGATTATATAGGGAATAGGCATGAATTCTTTCAAAATCTTCTGTGCGCCTGGGTATTTTTCAAACAAAGGAAGTGCATGGTTATGATAAGGAAGAATGCCTCATGGCCCTTGGGTCAGGGGTTCTGGTGAGGGGGAAAGAGCTCTATTGATTATATAAAGTGAAAATGCATAATTTCTTTTAAAATATTTTTTCTACTACTGGTGATAAAGTAAAGAAACAAGTGTATAGTTATAATGAGAAAGGGTGCTTCTTCCAGAATTGTGAGTTCGTGGCCAATGGGTCAGATGTTCTGGGTAAGGATAGGGCTTTATTTATTTAATAATATGGTGAAAATGCATTTCTTTGAAAATCTTCTATGCTTCTGGGGATGTTCAAGGCAAACAGAGTAAAAGTTTTAATATGCAAGGGTATTTTTACCAGAATTTTGAACACCTGGACCATTTAGTCAGGTGTTCTAGTCCTGGCCAGGGCTCTATTAACTTGTATTCTGCTGAGCAAAGTTATTCCCCTTTGCCATTCACCTTTGATAATTAATCAATGTAAATAATGTATTTGAAAGCTTAATAGAATAAGAGAATTATGCAAGATAATTTATTGTATAATGAAAAAATATTTTCATAGATTTAATGACTTGGAAAGTCAGATAGGCAGGTAGATACTAGACCAATTATTTTGTTGATGCTAATCATACTATTTTTCTTGCTTTTGGGCAACAAAGCTTCATTTTTCAGTTTATGGATCCTCTAAATTGTTGTATTGTACTCAGGTGACCGTTAAGGCCCTTGGGCCTCTTGTTAGACTAAACTTGTGGGAAATCACCATATTCTGTTTATATTAGTATTTTCTCCCAGTCATGGTTTTGGGTTTTTTTTTGCATTCTTTTTGGAAAAAATGTAGTTATAAGAGTTGCTTAATACCAATGACACAGCGCAAGGTCAATAAGGTTGCGAAAAATGGCAAAGAATTTTTTTTCTTAATTACCAGTATGTCACATACATTCTACAGTTTAAAAAGTAATGCATGATTGAAAGTTTTTTTTTGTGACTGTGTGGACATATTAGATATCAGAATATTCAAACATTTTATATGTCTGAATTGTTGTGCTTCAAATATGCAGTATTTACTAAGTTAGATGGAAGATATTACTAATAATTATGTCAGTGATTTAAGTACTGTAGAAATCATAATAGGATTTGTTTCTTATACGTCATGTGATTGATTAAATGGTTTTACTTGGCCCTAATAAATTAAAATGAAGACTGTGTTTGTAAACAAAGGATGTAAAACCAGAAAAAGAAGGCAAGGCCAAGAAAATCAAAGAATGGCGACAAGTCGGTAAAGTAAGTTAACTGTTCTCCTAGATGTGGGCTACAATTGTGTGAACTGGAGTTATTTCCCCTTTTTTATGTGAATTGAAGTTAGTTCCTTTTTTTGTCACATTTTGTAGCATGTTTGTAGAATGATTTGTTTCTTATTTTAAGACCACTTGTAAGTGTAAGTGACAGAGTGCCTTCTTTTCCATTTCTATTTGCCTTATTTAAGTCACCTAAGCCATGTGACCTGTTGCTATAATAGGGTTTTCCTTTTATTTCATTAACAGCCATAGGACTTAAGAATCCTGTTGGAAAATTTTCCTCTAGCGTAATTGTGAATTTGATGTTTGTTTTTTACAGATTGTTTTTTTTGATTTGTTTTTGTTTGTTTGTTTGTTTGTTTTTTATTTATGATTACAGCAAAAATAGTCAATATCTGAAATGGTCATACATTTTTAATATTTTATTGTATATGAGCAAAACTTCCAAGATACAACCAACATACTAGAGAGGAGAAAAACCTTTTATGTATATTTACTTGTTCAGCATTGTTTTTAGAATGTGTTGATAAATGTCCTGCTCTTAAAAATGCTGACACCATTAAATGATTTTCCCACATGCATATTCTCATTTACCATTTTGCTTTCCACTTGATGATTTTTAATAGTCGTGCCTAGCAGCCTACTTTGCTGAATTTTAAGTTACTGGGTTTAATAGAAAGGAATGGCCACAATTAGCTTTTTGATTTAGTAGAGGAGACATTTAGCTTTAAGTTGAGTATATGGAAAAATATTAGAACTCTTTGTGTAACTAAATGTAATATTTTGATGCCTTGTCATACTGTAGAGGGCATTGAATGATTCTTTCTAAGAAATGCCAAAAAATAAGGAGAAAAATTAATATATATACAAATCAATAATTGTTGATGTTTAGAATTCTAAAAATTTATTAATAACAGATGTCTAGAACATGTAGAAAAGACCAATATTTGGATCAAAAAGAAGTATTAGTAAAGTGGAAACGTTGATGAAGTTGATGAATGACTAACAATCGTCAAAGTTAACATTTATTCACATTCTTGTTAAAGAGCACTCTGTTAAATACTAATAAAGCTTCAAAGTTTCCACTCGCCATATTTTTAACAAATTAGAATCGTCAAAGTTTCAAACTCTTCAATTATAACTGTGAGAAGGAAAAATACCATTTATTGATAAAATTTTTAATATCTTCTTTTCGTTAATAGGCCTCACTTAAGATCTTAGACACTGATTGGTCAGACAAGTTTTCTCTGGATACAGTGGGAAGCTCTGGAACCATCCAATGTAAAACTAAATCCAGGACTTACGAGGTATGATATCATCTAAAGTAAAACTAAATCCAGGACTTATGTGGTATGATATCATCCAATGTTAAACTAAATGTAGGATGCAAGAGGTACATGTACAATATCATCCAAATTGAATGTAAAACAAAATCCTGGACGAATGAGGTAAGATATCGTCCATTGTAAAACATGCAAGGTATGATACCTTTAAATCTAAAACTAAATCCAGGATGTATGAGGTGAAATTTCATTGAATGTAAAACAAAACCCTGGATTTACGAGGTAAGTAGACATCAGTTAGGGTACACAGTGAGAGATCTGAAAATGCTAGATAATATAATCAAGGAATATGAGGAGGGGGGATTAAGTTGATTGAATTAGTAGACTAAATGGGGAGGGTCTATCTGTAGTGCATATGAGATGATTATTTAGTTTACTTGGGGTAAGGGAAAGATTGGGTAACATGGGGTACGGGTGGGCAGAGAGGCTTTATGTGGTTGATTTGAGGGGCAGAGTGAGTTAGCTAAGGGCAAATATTGTTTATCAAAAACATATTTTGAATGCCAGTTAAAGTGAGCCTTTTTCATTCTAGTTTGGAGTGAAGATTCGTCTGTCAAGCTCCGGCCTGACCAAGATCTGTACCTTCACTCCTCTGTACATGCTGTTGAACACCTCCGAGGTGTCCTTACTGTGTGCTGAGGTGACGAAGGAGGAGGAATGGATAGAAGTACCTCCTAAATCTGTAAGCGAACCTCCATTTGCTACCTGTAACATATGGTTTACCTTTCTAGTAAAATCACTAATTTTTGAGGGAGTTGAATCTTTGTGATTAACTTCTTTAAAGTTTGTGGTTGGATTAAAGTTATTTCAATTAAGGGATAAAAAACTTTCTAATGTATATAGCCTGCATCCAAATTCTTTTTGATAAGTCTCTTGTCTAAATAAAGAAATAAAAAAAATCATTTAGATTAATGGGGGTGAATACTTCAGTTCTTCAGTAGATTCACAATTTCTTCTGTGGCTGTTTTTAAGGTGATTTGCTTTATGTTGAATCATTATTCAGAGTTGATCCATTTGGTAATTTAGAATTTCAGGTAAGGAACTAATACTCTGTTCTCATCTTTATGTTTTCTTTATTGTAGTGTTTGCCATTTTGGCCAGTGCAGTCTGGGAAGGAAATGACAATGAAGGCTAAAGTTAAGGATTCAGCGTACAGTACTATACCATTCTTGTTCAACAAACCCCACACCACACTGCTAAGGGTGGATGATGAGGTAGGTTACTTTTGTAATCAACTGTAGATTGCAAGTCTGTCACAATGCTTAAAACTCTTAAGGAGGTCTATAAGCCTGTAATTTTTAAAGAGACTGTAGATATGTTTGTGAAGTACATACACATTTATGTCAACTAGTAATAAAAAGATTTTTATATGAATAATGGGATTAAATATACTTTCATTTTCCTAGAAGTAGTAAAAAATTCATATATACATAGTGTCATTGGTCATGAACAATTATTAATTTTGCTGTAATGAGTTTATATCGATATTATGAATAATATGTGCACATGGTCATGTTTAAATTTAAAGGTAGGAAACGGTGAAAATGAAAGTGCATTTAATTGTAGAATAAAGCATGCTCAGGTTCTCGAAAAATTCAGATAAAATTCTTGCTCGCCATGTAGGCAATTAAATCCTCAAGAGTTGGTAGCCCACAGGCAAAACTAGCATTTGCTAGTGGGGGAGTGGTTAAACCCCCCCCCCCCTCCCCAACAAAGAAAATGAATGATTGGTTGCAGAGTTTTAACCCTTCATGCACATTAATTTTAAATTTTAATTCTGGAAGGTTTACATAAAATTGAATTAAAAGTCATAAAATGCATTAGAATATTGATTTTAAAATCTGTAGGTAGGAGGGATAAATGCAGAATGTCAGGTGACAGAGGCTGCCACGGTAACGACCTTGACAACATACAAACCTGGCATGGCAACCGTCCTCCTGGTCAACAGCACGGACAGTTCTCCTGTCAAGTTCAACCAAAGGTCAGTATGTCTGAATACAGCTGACTGTTGTTGCAACTGTTTGTTGCTTAATGTCACTCTTGAAAATTTTTCACTCATATGAAGATGCCACCACTTCTGGTGGAGAGCTGCAAATATTGACCTATACTCAGTACTCAGGGCCATTGAGCAGTGAGGGATATTTTTAATACCAGCACCTACTGCGACACGGGAACTCAGTTTATATGGTCTCAACCGAAAGACCGGTCTCCACGTCCCACAGTGGGATTCGAACCCTCAACGTAAGGATCAACTCCTTACTCTGCGACTCTTAGAGCAAATGATCTAGCCACTGCACCATGCGGGCGACTTGTTGCAACTTATTTCGATATCTTTCCTCGAAATTTCACAGATTTTGGCTTTTGGAGAGAGGGAAATGGGAATGTCTTGTATTTTTATGCCCCCGGATCGAAAGATCCCGGGGGTATATTGTTTTTGTCCTGTCTGTATGTTTGTCTGTTTGTCTGTCTGTCTGTCTGTTGTCAACTTTAACCTTGCCCATAACTTTTGATTGGTTGGAGCTATGACTTTCATATTTCACATGTGTATTCCTTGTGACAAGACCTTTGTTTGGGTACCATCATATTTGACCTTTTGACCTTGACCTTGGAGTTTGACCCACTTTTGCAAAATTTTATGAGACTTTAACCTTGGCCATAACTTCTGAATGGTTGGTGCTTGGGGTTTCAAACTTCACCTGTGTATTCTTTGTGACAAGGCCTTCCCTTGGATACCAACAACTTTGACCTTTTAACCTTGACCTTGGAGTTGACCTACTTTTGAAAAACTTTAACCTTGGCTATAACTTTTGAACAGTTGGTGCTTGGGGTTTCAAACTTCACATGTGTATTCCTTGTGACAAGACCTTCCTCTGGATACCAACCTCTTTGACCCTTTGACCTTGACCTTGGAGTTTGACCTACTTTTGAAAAACTTTAACCTTGGTCATAACTTTTGAATGGTTAGAGCTAGGGCTTTCATACTTCACATATGTAATTCTTATGGCAAGACCTTCCTTTGGATACCAATGACTTTGACCTTTTGACCTTGATCTAGAAGTTTGACCTACTTTTGAAAAACTTTAACCTTGGCCATAACTTTTCAATGATTGATGCTAGGGCTTTCATACTTCAAACATGTAATCCTTGTGACATTACCTTCCTTTGGATACCAACCACTTTGACCCTTTGACCTTGACATAGGAGTTTGACCTACTTTTGAAAAACTTTAACCTTGGCCATAATTTTTGAATGGTTGGTGCTAGGGCTTTCATACTTCACATATGTAATCCTTGTGACAAGACCTTCCTTTGGATACCAACCACTTTGACCCTTTCACCTTGACTTAGGAGTTTGACCTACTTTAGAAAATCTTTAACCTTGGCCATAACTTTTGAATGGTTGGTGCTAGGGCTTTCATACTTTACATATTATGTAATCCTTGTGACAAGACCTTCCTTTGGATACCAACAACTTTGACCTTGACCTTGATGTTTTACTTACGTTTAAATAACTTTAACCTTCGCCATAACTTTTGAACAGTTGCAGCTAGGGCTTTCAAATTTAACATTTTATATCTTTTGGCCTGGATTTTGACTTGCATTTGACAAACTTTAACCTTCACCAAAAGCTGCCTTACGGGGGCATCAGTGTTTCACAAACACATCTTGTTAATTTTAATTTTTTTCTTCACCAAATGTATGGTATTAAATGTTATGAATGTGAAGGTGTATGCCTTTTTTTTTTGGTCAGTTTGAATCTGTTTGCTAAGAAGTGGTCTGAAATGTGAGAGTTTTGTTAAGACTTTCTGACATTTTTCCAGTGGGGAGAAATCTGCCCACATCCTGAACCCCAATGAGGCTGTCCTGTATACCTGGGAGAACGCCGTCAAGAAGAGAGAGCTAGAGTGGAGTTCTGGGGAAGTTAAAAACCAGAAAACTAACCTCATACAGGTAAATATCAAAAACCAGAAAACTAACCTCATACAGGTAAATATCAAAAACCAGAAAACTAACCTCATACAGGTAAATATCAAAAACCAGAAAACTAACCTCATACAGGTAAATATCAAAAACCAGAAAACTAACCTCATACAGGTAAATATCAAAAACCAGAAAACTAACCTCATACAGGTAAATATCAAAAACCAGAAAACTAACCTCATACAGGTAAATATCAAAAACCAGAAAACTAACCTCATACAGGTAAACTAGTGTGATGTACATGTATATACACAGTAAAAGTTAAGTACCGGTATATTAAAGAAAAGTTGGAGGACTATACTGACAGTTAAACTGTATACCTGTTATTTTAGGATGGCACTGGCAGTTTCTTTAAGGACTCTGACACTAAGATCTACTGGGTCTCGTTTCTGGACGGACTTCAGAGGATCCTGCTGTTTACAGAAGATCTGGCTGTCATCATCAATGCTCAGGAGGTACGGCCTTAACTTTATTCCTGTCCTAACACTAAATTATTGTGTAATATTATAATGTTCTTAATGTATATATAGTAAAAAACAATGATATTATGGATCCAGTGTGGATATTTGGTATGATGTATCTGATATGGTGATATTTATCTACTTTATACACAGAATGTAATGATAATATTACCTCTCTCTTTTTGTAATCTGTAGGTGTTTTCATGTGACCTTGTGTCAGATTTTACATGACCCTGTGTCATGTTTGTGATCTATTCTGTAGACTGCATGTTTACTTGTGACATCAAAGATTTCTATTTATAATCTGTAGGATAGCTAGGGTTTTCTTGTGACCTCGTGTTATGGTTATGAGGTAATAGATTTCCATTTATAATCTGTAGGTTGGGTGTTTTCATGTGACCTTGTGTCATAGTTATGAGGTCAAGGTTTTCTATTTATTATCTGTAGGATGGATATTTTCTTGTGACATCATGATATGTTTTTATACGCCCGTCTTTAGACGGGACGTATTATGTTATGGCGTTCATGTCTGTCCATCTGTCTGTCTGTTAGCTTTTCTCGTGTCCGACTCATAACTTTAATACTATTAGGCCTAGGATTATCAAACTTTGTCAGCTGATACTTCTTGGGTAGAAGGTGTGTCACGCACTAAAAGTAGGTCATTCTGACCTTTAATTAAGATGCTATGACCTAATATGGAAAAATCCTGTCCGGCTCATAACTAGAAAACTATTAGACTTAGAATCATCAAACTTGGCCAATTTATGCATCTTAGGTAGAAGGTGTGTTGCAACCTATTTCAAGGTCACTGTGACCTTTCATTTAAGTGAAATTTAAAAAAAAAACTGTCTTTTTACTATTAAATTACACAATCCCAAAAAATGTAAAAGTGTTGCAGTATCCTTATTAAAAAAATGTTAAAATCAAGAAATACTTATTTTTTTCATTATATACTTTACAGCAATCTATAACAAATATAATGTTACAAGAGAAATTCCACCTCTCCCATGGGTGTAATTATCAAGCACTGGTCAAGGAGAATTTTGATAACAGAAAATTGCATGTCAAATTAGAGAGAAATTAATGAGTTTAGTGTGAGGAGCTAACTGGTAGAGCATCTCTGATCAAGCAGGTGTTATCTATATCTCTTGGGAATTGGGCAGAGGAATCAGCCATGTTGGATTAAATAGTTTTTGTGGGCTAGCCTAACTTTCAAAATGAATTTAGTAAAAAGTAATTAAAACTAATTTGATACTGTATAATAAACTCATTTGATATCGTATCATAAACTAATTAATTAAAACTAATCATACGGGGGGTGGGGTGGGGGTATGATATTGGAATTTGAATTAGCATGCCCGTTGTCCATATGAATTGCAGCTTAAAACCACTCTGACATTGAATGTAAAAAAAAAAAAAAACAAGTACGTATTTAAAAAAAAAGTTTTAATTATGGTAGATAGTCCCTACAAATCTAAGAGTCAAGCAGAAACCTTATTAAAAATGTTGCATCAAGATTACAATTTTTTTTTTCTTTTTATAAATCTTTGTAACAAATTGAAAAAAAAAAATCTTAGTTTTCAAATTTAAACTCAGAATGACATAAATATGCATTTTAATTGCACTACAAAGCAGATAGCGCAGATCCATTCATCCCTTGGGAGTAATGGGTGGACATCCAGTTAAAGATTAATTAATGAGTTCAGTGTAGGAAGGCTAGCTGTCTCAATCATTTCAGTCAGAGGATCTCTGATCAAGCAGCTCTTATCTGTATCCTTTGGGAATTAGACAGAAGAACTGCTGGTCAGTTTATAGCATATGTCATTTGATGGCCAATCTTTATTTTAAAATGAAATTGGTGTAGATTAAGTTGTTAGGACTAAATTGATATTGTTTAATATGATATTCTTATTTAATTTTTTGAAAATATCAGCTAGTAAATTTCAGAGCATCATGTCTCACAAATATGAAAGATGTGTGTGTGTGTCACTGTGTGTGTGTGGGGGGGGGGGGGGGGGGGGGGGGGCTGCAGATGGGCATTTGTCAAGCTCTAACACTACCAGTAGAGGATCTATAATGTAATATTTGTTATAATGCCTACACCACAGAAAATGTATAAACAAAAGTTACAAGAAATGGAAAAATCTTGGAAATCCTTGTATCAAGGTTGACTTGATTTTCTTGCACTCTAAACTGTTCGTGATAATTGAACAATATTTGACGGGCGTATCATGCTGTGGCGGGGCACTTTATTTTTTATTTATAATATATAGGCTGGGGAGTTGGAGAGAATTGAACAAGAGATTAACCTGTCCCTTCAGAGTGTGGGTGTGTCCCTGGTCAATGATACAACGCAGATGGAAGTCGCCTACCTTGGAATCACAAGGTAACACCTGTTTACCTGTACAGCTGAAAATTTGATGCAGTGAACTTAAAGTGTGTTTTTAAAACTGAAGGGAAGAGTTTCACTTGGCAAAATTTAAATCAAGAGTACTGAAAATTTTATATTCACACTTGAATATAAGTTGAATATAAGTTTAATTATGATGATTCTGATAAAGAAAAGATGAACTTAAAACTAACAAAGATTCCTTCAAAATTTGTTGCCTTCCTTTATTAAAAAAAAAAAAAATAGAATATGACACATCCAGTTTCAAAACATTTAAAATTGTTTTCCAGTTCTGGAGTGATCTGGGAAGAAAAAAAGAAACGTTACAAAGCACTCAATCTGAAAACAACTACACTGCTGGAAACAGCATACCAGAAGTATGTGATGGAGTTAGAGCTTGGCCACAGGCCACCAGAAAAACTGACACTGGACAACAAAATTGAGGTAGACAGGGATAGACATTAACTTTTAGATTCACTTGTCCTTCGGGCAAGTGATCTCAGACTTGGACTTGTCCGAATGCAAAACTTGGTTGCCCAAAATTAGGGAAGAAAAATATTATTTATTACTATAAACTGAGAAGAAAAAATGTGACCAAATACACTACTGTCAACTTGGCAAGTTGAGCTACATAAAAAAGTAATTTCGATGCTTCGTTTGTACATGTGTATCACTGTCCTTGTCAATTTAATATGTTAACACACTGCCATGCAGCATTATCCCTCCGTTTTCTTTTAATAAACTTCATATTTTTAAAAATTAATTTCCGTAGAATCCTTTTGTGAATCGTGATTTTCAGAGATAACAAGCAACAGTAAAGGAAGACAATTGCTATGAAACATACATATCTGGATTGGGATACATCGTGTTACTTATATTCTGTGAATAAATTTCCTAATTAGAAGTTAACAAATTTGTTATAAGTAGAGCGTATTTATCACGAAAGAAAACAGAATAATGAACCCGATTTTTAAATGGTCCGTATATTCTAGAAACGCTACCAGGATTTCCTAATGTAAATCAATGACAGTCAGGTATCTAACGGAAATCAAGTATTTAATTTATTGTTTTATTCATAAATTAATGTAAACTGACTAAATATGTACATTTCTATGAGAAAAATTCGCTTGCCCGATCGGACAAGTACGTTGACAGTTTCACTTGCCCAAAATGAGGATTTACTTGTCCTGGGCAATCGGACAACCGTTAATGTCGATCCCTGGTAGAATAAGCTGTGTAAAAGATCACATAATCTAATACTGCTTAATCTTATAAATCTGTTATTCTAATATGAAGAATATTGATTTTATGAGATATGCATTTGTATTTCCGTATTGATAAGAGAAATAATTATTAGAAGGGAAGGAGAGATGTCCTTGTATCAAGTAAAACTTCTGCTGTATTTATCAGTCCTTTCAGTACTTTGATTTTTGTAAATGGTTATTTTTAGGTGAACTTCCAGGAAATGAGAATGCTGAAACCACAGAACCGTGGGATCCGTAGAAGTTTTCAGGATGGGGTGTGGATCCAATATAAAACTTCCCCACATCAACTTCAACTCCATGCAAAGATCAATCGGCTTCAGGTATGTCCTATTATTAAAATTAAATTATGTAATAAAATTATGCTTTGAAGGCATGATCATAATATAATTTTTTAAGCAGTTAAATAATTTCAAATTGAAAATCTGAAAAAATAATCTTTTTTACATAATACTTGTTTCTATTACAGTTGGATAATCAGGCCAGTGGATATGTGTTCCCCACAGTCTTGGCCCCTATTCCCCCTCCTAAATCTGTGGCCTCAGACAGCGGTATGTATATTATAACAATATCCGTAATAAGTGTACATTATAACTATAAGCAATGTCATATTGCCTCTCACAATGGTCAGTATTGGTCATCAGTATATAACAAAACTAATAGCAGTATCACACTGCCTCCCACAATGTTCAGTATATACAAAAAGTATATGAGCAGTCTGTATATATTATAATCTGTATTAGAGATAGGGGTCAGTAATATTGTTATTGTATCAGCTGAGTAAGAACTGGGTACGTTAAGTATAACAGAGCGGCCCTGTCTCCAAATTTGATTTCAGTTTTTTACAAACATGCCGATGATGTGTCCTTTCAAAATCATTTTATTTTTTTTAATTATCACAAACCGTTTTTCCATCAGAGGTCTCGAAAAATGGGGAGTTTTCTTTAGAAATTACAAATTTTGACGTGATAACGTCATCATGGCGTTACTGATTTTAACGTTACGTTAAAAGAAATCTGTCAATTCTCTGAACTGGAAACTATTTACTTTAACCTGCCTTATGTTCCAGAAAACAATTTTGAACTTTTATTTCAATTCATCGTAATGTATCTTTGATAGCTGGAAGGAGTAAAATAATTTAAAGGAAATATAATTTTATTACAAACAATTTCATCAGACAAGTAATGAAGCTTGATTCATCCATACAGACGAGACAGGGTAGTACTTCTTTTGAAATTGTGCTCGTATCAAATTTATCATTTTTTACGTAAAAATGTCCTAATGATTTCTTCAATCATTTTCCGCATTGTCTATGAAGTTACATTAAAGTTTTTAAAGATACATGAATCAGTATTAAAAAGAAAATTGGAACGTCCCATATAAAGTTGTCAAAATTGGATTTTTAGCAATGAAAAAGCCATCAACATCACTCCCCTTTTCCATTCCAACAAATTGCAGTGCTATTAATTTCGTATTTTCTATTTTTTTTTTTTTTTTTTTTTTTTTGATAAACGTATAAATTACTCATTCTTACAGGGTTAAGGTGTCTTAAACTGGTTAAAAAATTTTCTCTGATGATAGGATTTCTTTTATAGATCGTTATTTACATTGTATTCATTCCAGTGGATCCGCTTTACTGCACGGTTCATGTAAAATACCCTAACCAGGAACAATCCCCAACATACTTACACACAATTACTTTCTATGTTAAAACCACAAGAGGAGACCGGTTATATGAGTCCTGATTGATGAGGCCATTCCAAGTTTTTTCTTTGTTTAGCGTCCGTCCTAACCTATCTTCCTATCCGAAAAAACACACAAACCAAAAGGGGAAAAACGCAGCATTTTCAGAACAGTTCTAGAATTTCTTATTATCATTTGAGACCTCTCCTTGCCATAAAACTTAGTTTAACTACTAGTTTTTTGAAATAAAAAAAATTAATACACCACTTAAAAAAGAGAGATGTCAATCCCAAAAGAGTAAAATGCATTTTAGAGATTCGTATTTGTTGATTTTAATTTGAGCTAACTTTGTGTTTGCGTTTCAAAGATTTGTATTTATCAATTTTAATTTGTGTTTCTTTTTAATTTCATAACCTCAAAACCAATTTGTCCGCGTACAATGCATATAAAAAAAAAACTTGGAATGGTCTTATCATAACTTGCGTTACAGACCTTTAAAAATTTTGCTTCAAATAAAAACCGTGAATCTCCGAAGGCTTAAAAAAAGGTGTGCGATTTGTTTAGATCAATTTTACGATGAACAAAATATTTTATATAGCCAATGCTAATAATTTAATTTTAGAGACAAACACATTACTTTGCATGTACATATTCATTACTTGATTCACAAAATCGAAAATTATATGCCTAAATCTGCGTAGTGAATTCGATAGGAAAGGGATTCAGAAGCCTGTAGTACACTCTAACGGGCATAATTCCCTAAAACTGAAAGTTAAAATAAAATAAGGATATAATATTATATGTATGATTTGCATATAGAGTTTATCCGCGTCAGCTATAAAAAATATGCGCATGTCGTCTTCAAAGCAATGCAGCATGAAACGGCAGACACTTGCATTGATATCGATCAGTAAAAGATCGATCAACGGTCACAGTCCAGTGGGGAGCTAAAGGAAATTGGAAAGGGATGTATTTAGTTTTAAATCAAATTCATGATATAATTTTTTATTGATACTCATTACAGTACATGTATAATTTGATTATCAGTAAGCCTCCCCCTTCTATTTACATAGAGACAAAATACAAATAATTGAAAAGCAGAATAACTGAACACTCACATAGAAGAATCAAAATTCACTTTCACGTCCCTTTTTATAAGCTACATAGAGATTTTATTTCTAGTTCAGTTATCAAATTATACGAAATCTTATGTTATTTTGTTACTTGTGGGAACAATACGCAAAACACGTCACAGTGCTTCTTTATAGAGTTATCCTTGCCATTCCCGGATTATATCACTAGCTTGATTATGTTTCTTTTTCATGTAAGTGTCTGATAAAAAAAAATCTTAAAAAATATACCTAACAAACTGCTGACATGAATTGCAAGACGATACATCACGTCATCTACTAAGACAAAACCTGCATTAAAATAGATAAAGATTTTCTTTAGAACTCCTCCCTATGTTTACATGTTACACAGCCGTAGATACATGTATTTGATATAATTATTTCGGTGACAATGATAATTTTATCATTTGCTTTGCATGCATTAACTCTCTGGGGCATTTCCTTGTGCATTTGTCCTTGTAGTAACGATAAAATACTTTTAATTTGTTTTTTTTTCTGGAACGGATTATCATCACAGACGGACGTTGAATCTTTAAAATTTAGCGATAATGTGCACCGCCGTTTTCACAGAGGTGATATTGGACAGGACGCTCCTCCAGTCCCGATGAACGTCTATTGGAATACTAAACATATTTTCTATGACATATATTACCGGGTACTATTATTTTATGGATAATCTGGATAAAATCCTTTAGAAATACTCGCTTACTTCAAGATTAACAGTAGTGTACATGTAGTTAATATGTACATTCGTTTTTTTATACAGATAAATATCTAAAGAGTAATCTTTTTTTTTTATTTCAAGACTTGGAATGCCTTAAAATGTATTAGGAAAACAATTTCTGAAGAAAAAAAAAATAACGAGTTAAACCATCGATTATATGGAGCGGAAAGGGGGTGCCTTGTCCACAAGAAATGCAAGATCTTGTTTGTATTTCTTACAGAACTGCATGGGAACAGATAATCTTTATTTATGGACAATAAAAAAGGTTGATTGTATCATGTTTCACTTAAATTTTCATAGAAAATACCGAAAGCGTACACCACTGTATACGTTTTTTAAGCATTATAAACTTGGTCAACATAATTATATCTAAAACTCTTTGTAAATTATAAATTAAACCCAATTTTACTTGAAAACACTGATGTCAATATTCCGATCAGCATGATAAATGTATATATAATTAATAAGTGTAAATACATGTAAGAACTTTTCCATTCCCAGCTGCTGACCTTCAATAAGTAAATGTAGGCCGGCAGTGGCAGATTTAGAAGTATTTTGTCATAGGCTATATAAAACACATCCTGATCATGCGATAAAACACAAGAATCCTTTCTGACATAATTAATTTTGTCAAATAAAAATCTGCAACAATACAGTGACAAGGATAAGTTTTGAAAAGAAATGTTCAAATGGTGTCTGCTATACATGTAATCCAAGCTTCCAATCTAACCCCCCCCCCAAAAAAAAAGTTAGCTATTGTCTTTTGACATTCATGAATCCCAGACATATATAAATTGAAAACGAATAAAACATGCTTAAAAAAGCTGATGATTTTCAATAAAAATGTTAAAAATAATCTTTTCTTAAAGTCAAATAAAGTCAATGTCCACTATGAAGGAGACGCGCGTTTTAATTGGAGGTACATGTAGTGTTAAATGTAAATTGATTGTCTGAACCATCCCAACTTATGTCGTTAAATTACTTTTTCACGCTGTAAATATTGATTGAATATTTATCATAGTTGCGAAGACCGAAGAAATTGTTTCAAGTACATATTTTCAACATGATTGCTCTTTGTGACGTCATTTTTTTTCAATGCATTGCGTCACTAATTTACATGTAATGTCCCATAGTAAATTTCACCGAGAAAGGTTCATATGGTTTTCATTTACATAAATAATTGTATTAAATTAATTTTTTTCAAATGCAGAATTGAATTTAAAAGACAGTAGAAAAATAATAAAGCCTTCAGATATAGAATTAAACAATTAATTTCTTTAAAAATATAGATTTTATTTTGGAGAAAAGGTGACGTCTATCCAAAAATGCAGCATTTTTTACTTCAGTTTTTTGTAAAAACGGATGTGGCCGCACTTTTGTAAGGTTATTTTTTCTCTTTAATATTAAAAATCATAGTGTATTTGTTCTTTCTACAAAGTTTCGCATACATACTCGGATGCGGCCATATCGAAATATAGACTTGAAGAGGAGGAAAACGTCCAAAATAGGGGAATTCCGGAATATTAGACCGGTTTTGAACGTTATATAAATAAAAGGGCACGTGAGTTGAGAAAAATTTATTCCTATTTCAAACACAGTTAAACCTTAACAGTTAATTGATACAATTGATAGAATGTAATCGTGCGTTTGATTTTTGCTGATTTTACAGGGCCGTAAATCGGTCTTAACGTACCCAGCTCTTTAGTGTGTAATAATAAAGTTATCATGTTCATCTGGGTTCTTTAAATATAATGTAATATATTGTTGTTATTGTAATCATTTGAGTGTTTTAAGGGGGGAGATCAAAAGTTCAATGTCTGACAAAAAGCTAAATTCCATAGTTTTCATCAGGACTTCCAACCTACTCCCTCAAAACTAAATTTGATTAATGTTGATTTAAATTTTATTATTACACAAATACTAGTATTTACAACACTGTAAATAACTTAAGTTTTTTTTGTTTATTCATAAAAAGAATAATTTTATATAAAAATAGCATATAGTCTCATGAACATGTACCCCCACCCCCCCCCCACCCCCCGCGGCTGTTTTAAATTAGTTTTTTTATCTGACATTGATCTTTTGATCGTGCCCTATTTGAAGTGATATAAAGTAGATGTGGTAATTGAGTAATTTAACCTCGATAACGTTTTGTACTTTCTACTCTACAGTTCCTAAACCTTTTGCTGAAGTCAGCATTATGTCAAGAAAACATGAACACAGCAACATGTTACAATTCAAGTAAGTAATTTTTTTTTAGTGAAAGTTACAATTCAAGTAAGTAATGGTGTTATTGTATGAAAGTGATTCAAGTAAGTTATTTTTGAATTGATTGAAGTTACAGTTCCAGGAATTAAGTTAACAGTTTCAGGGGTAATTCATATAGTCAAAACTCAAGAAGTTATACAAACATGAGTTATATTGTACATTCACTTCATTTTAGTAGAAACAAAATTGATTTAAATCAAATACAAGAATCAAACATTTGTCATTACAATTTAAGCGGAGTGGAAGGAAATAACGTTTTTCAAATATTTCTATTATATAAGTATGTTATTATTCAAGTTATTTGAAGAAATTTTATAAAGATGTATTATTATATTTCATAGGTTTCCATGCATTGTTAGATTGTATTAAAATAAACATAAAGTGACATTGTGTAATAATGTTTTTATTTCATATTTGTCTCTGAGTCAGTAATTGATTCAGTAACAGTTCATTATTGAACTAAGTGCATGTACATGTAGATCAATAACTAAACAGTCTATTTTGCCAGATGGGGAAAATGTTTAAGATCTTCTTGAAAATTTTGACAGGTATTTCAAAGTCCTGGTACAGGAGATGTCACTTAAAGTGGACCAGGGATTCCTCAATAATGTTATAGATCTGTTTACATCCAGTCACCAAGTGTCTAGAGATCAAGAGGTAAATATGTCCTTCTCACCAGCAGTTGTCTAGAAATCAAGAGGTAAATATGTCCATCCAGTCAGCAGGTGTCTAGAGATCAAGAGGTAAATATGTCCATCTCACCAGCAGGTGTCTAGAGATCAAGAGGTAAATATGTCCATCCAGTCAGCAGGTGTCTAGAGATCAAGAGGTAAATATGTCCATCTCACCAGCAGGTGTCTAGAGATCAAGAGGTAAATATGTCCATCCAGTCAGCAGGTGTCTAGAGATCAAGAGGTAAATATGTCCATACAGTCAGCAGTTGTCTAGAGATCAAGAGGTAAATATGTCCATCCAGTCAGCAGGTGTCTAGAGATCAAGAGGTAAATATGTCCATCTCACCAGCAGGTGTCTAGAGATCAAGAGGTAAATATGTCCATCCAGTCAGCAGGTGTCTGGAGATCAAGAGGTAAATATGTCCATCCAGTCAGCAGGTGTCTAGAGATCAAGAGGTAAATATGTCCATCTCACCAGCAGGTGTTTAGAGATCTAGAGGTAAATATGTCCATCCAGTCAGCAGGTGTCTGGAGATCAAGAGGTAAATATTTTAAGAAGTTTTGTAACTCAGTCTCATAAATCTACACATAGTTAAATTCATTCAGAAGCGTCAGGAAATCAAAAGAATAGAAGGATTTATATGGAAAAGAGGATTCCTGAATGTCATAAATTAACAGAGTTGGGGGTGGGGTTATACTGGAATCTTTGTTGGTCCCTCTGTATATCATTCTAACATTCTATAGATGCACTTTCTGGCTATCTCAAAGGGTACCAATCCAAACTTGCAGATGTTGTGAAGCTTTGGATATTTAATAAGATCCATGCTTTGACTGTAACAGAACATATGCGAAGGGTATCGATGCCTTCAGAAAAACTGGTTTGTTAAAAAAACACTAAAATGACGTAACAAATCCTTGATTTCTTTTCACAAGAGGGAGCTATTAGAGGAAGATGTGAAGACTGTATACACAGAGCTCCTGGAGGAGGCAGGGCTGTCTCTGGCTGAGGAACAAAAGAATTTCTACGATTACCTCCACTTCTCTCCCATCAAGGTAAAAGATCATTGAAATGTTTTATCTAATATTATCAAACAATCTGAATTTTAATGTTCTGTCATTGGTCAAGATAATCTTTTCTGAGATATAAACTTCAGAGCAAGTTCCTTCATATTTAAGTGATATTGACTGAGACTAAATGACTTAGACTGAATTAGCTTGTTCTGGAGTAAGATCTATTTCAGGTACATTTGATGATTGGATTTTCAAGTGCAACTATGTTTGTCCTTTCTAAGTATTATAATTATACCTCTCTTGTCAGGTTTTTGAATTCATATAAATTTTTGACAAGAGAGGTATAATTATAATATACAAGCTTGTTTTATGTTTTGATGATTGATTTATTTTTAGATCCACCTGAGCTTTTATTTTTAGATACATCTTTATTTCTATTTTTAGATCCACCTGAGCTTTTCACTACAAGGAGGGGGAGATGGGAAGGCCGTCCATCTCCATGCCAACATCATCAATGTCTTCCTTCAGAGTGTGGGAGTTGTCCTCACTGATGTTCAGGATGTTGTGTTCAAGTGAGTGTTTATGTGATGTTCAGGATGTCGTGTTCAAGTGAGTGTTCATGTGATGATCAGGTTGTTGTGTACAAGTGAGTGTTTATGTGATGTTCAGGATGTTGTGTTCAAGTGAGTGTTCATGTGATGTTCAGGTTGTCGTGTTCAAGTGAGTGTTCATGTGATGTTCAGGTTGTTGTGTTCAAGTGAGTGTTTATATGATGTTCAGGATGTTGTGTTCAAGTGAGTGTTTATGTGATGTTCAGGATGTTGTGTTCAAGTGAGTGTTCATGTGATGTTCAGGTTGTTGTATTCAAGTGAGTGTTTATGTGATGTTCAGGATGTCGTGTTCAAGTGAGTGTTCATGTGATGATCAGGTTGTTGTGTACAAGTGAGTGTTTATGTGATGTTCAGGATGTTGTGTTCAAGTGAGTGTTCATGTGATGTTCAGGTTGTCGTGTTCAAGTGAGTGTTCATGTGATGTTCAGGTTGTTGTGTTCAAGTGAGTGTTTATATGATGTTCAGGATGTTGTGTTCAAGTGAGTGTTCATCTGATGTTCAGGTTGTTGTGTTCAAGTGAGTGTTTATGTGATGTTCAGGTTGTTGTGTTCAAGTGAGTGTTTATGTGATGTTCAGGATGTCGTGTTCAAGTGAGTGTTCATGTGATGTTCAGGTTGTTGTGTTCATGTGAGTGTTTATGTGATGTTCAGGATGTCGTGTTCAAGTGAGTGTTCATGTGATGATCAGGTTGTTGTGTTCAAGTGAGTGTTTATGTGATGTTCAGGAAGTTGTGTTCAAGTGAGTGTTCATGTGATGTTCAGGTTGTTGTGTTCAAGTGAGTATTCATGTGATGTTCAGGTTGTTGTGTTCAAGTGAGTGTTTATGTGATGTTCAGGATGTTGTGTTCAAGTGAGTGTTCATATGATGTTCAGGTTGTCGTGTTCAAGTGAGTGTTTATATGATATTCAGGATGGCCTGTTTAGATGATATTCAGAACGTTGTGTTCACTTGAGTGTTCATGTGATGTTCTAGGTGATGTGATGTTTAGGGTATCTTGTTCAAGTTAAGTGTTATTGTGAATGTTCAGTTTGTCATGTTCAAGTGATTTTTCATGTTATGTGTAGGGTATCTTGTTCAAATGAATATTTATGTTATATTTAGGGTATCTTGTTCAAGTTAAGAGTTTATGTGGATGTTCAGCATGTCATGTTCAAGTGAGTGTTCACATTATGTGTAGGGTGTCTTATTCAAGTGAATTTTTATGTTATATGTAGGGTTTTTGTTCAAGTTGTTTATGGTGTATTGTTCAAATGAATCAATGTTATGTGTAGGATGTCTCGTTCAAGTGAATGTTTACTTTATTTAGGTGTCTAGTTCTCAGATCTGATAAATGTGTCTTTTACAGATTGGGATTCTTCCAGAGGGATAACAGTTTTTATAACCAGACACAGCTGACGTCTGAGATGGGGCGACACTACGCCGGCCAGGCTGTCAAACAGCTGTATGTTTTAGTACTCGGACTCGACGTCCTCGGGAATCCATTCGGACTCATTCGAGGAATGGCAGAAGGAATGGAGGATCTCTTCTATGAACCGTATCAGGTAATTTTTTTTTTTAAATCATGAACCTGAAGCCAAAAAATTATAAAAGCACATGTCTGCATTAATTTTGAAAATTGTAAAGAATTAAAATCTTGTGTCTGAATTCTGCTTTTATTTAAGGTAGTCGGATCCTCTGATTCTGAAAATCAGCAGTTAAGTAATTAAAAATGCTGTCATACAAAAATGTCTATGAATTCAAAAAGTAATGTATATTTTCCCTTGGTATTTGTTCAAAGTTAATCATTATATTTAATCTTATCATGAAGGAGAACAGATTATCAAATTTCAAATACAAGTATATTTTCAGGCAACTTGAATAAAATCACCAGCTAAGCATTTCTTAATTGAAAATTGATCAACAAATATATCTTATTAGGATAAACAAAAAACCCCATAGATATCCAGGCATTTGGAGAAAATTGCATGTTTTTTTAATACTTATATGGTATATTAGTTCTATTTTCTTCAACTGTTATATATAATACATAGTGTTAAAAGCTTGTGCTATCATTACAAGACATCACAGATTACTTCTAATTTCATACTAAAAAGCATTGGTGTCTAAGGCTAGACTGAAGGACATTTGGCCTCTCTAAAAATGCATTTATTTTTTTACCTTTATGAGGAGTAAAAATAAACTTTTTACAAGATTTTTTCTAAGACTTCAAACAACTCTTTATTATATTGAGATGCATGAAGTGAAAATTGTTGCATGAAAAGATTTCAGTTTCAAGCTTCGTTTTGAGACTTTTGAAATTAAGTAAATAATTTTAAGAGTTATTGTTCCTGGCTGAGGAGTGGATGTCCTTAACAATCCAGATTTAATATTTTTTTTGTCCTCCAGGGAGCTATACAAGGCCCAGAAGAGTTTGCTGAGGGGTTGGCCCTGGGGGTTAGGAGTCTGCTGGGTCATGCTGTAGGTTAGTATGAATTATTCATTATCTTGTGGGTCATTAGGCCAAATAAAAAAATATGTGTGGTTCCGGTTACCCGACCTTCCCTATTTTATACCCCCGACCCTAAACTTTTTTTTGGCAATTTTCATATTTTTTCAGGAATTTTCCCTGATTTCCATCAATGGCTCCGGTTTAAGTTTTAGTTTCAGCAATGATGGCCTCCTTGCAAAACATAGTGCAAGTGTTTAAAAGTATCAAGTCCAAAGCAAGCTAGCATGTAGGTGTCCCCTACCAATATTGACTAGTATATTATAACATCACATCTAAATGCCATTTGCGAAGCAGTGATAGGTATTATTTAGAAAAATTAAGAAAATCATTTGTTTAAAAAAAAAAAAAAAAAAAAAAACCTACCTACCCTAATTTTTTTGGAAGGGTAACCGGAACCACACATATTTTTTTGTTTGGCCTTATAAAATGATGCATTAACATTCCGGTCAGTATGAATTGTATATGAATGTGTATGACAGAATAAATATGAAATGGTATTTTTAATGTAGTCATTATCAGTTACACTTTGCTTTGTTATTCAATGAACTAGACATGTTGCTTGTATTTTTAGAAAATATTTTTAACTTGGTACAATACTGTTTTCTCCTCGGCAATATAAGAGGAAACTTCAGTAGTTGTTTAAATAGAAATGAATTTTCTATTGTGTCTCCATCTGTTTCTTGTATTGTTTTGTTTTAATTTTCATATTTAAAACTCTTTATAAACATCTGGCTGTTTTAAGTTTAATTTTTTATCAGTGCCAGTACAATCATTGTTCCGGGGATAAAGGGTCAGTTGTCAGTCTTGACAGGAATAAGATAGAATTACATGTACCTCCTTTATACTGCTACATTATGTCTCTGTCAATGAACCTGGTATACGAAACATGTCTTCTATCACCAGGTGGCGCTGCTGGAGCTGTATCCCGGATCACGGGGACGATCGGTAAAGGACTAGCGGCCTTGACCTTTGATGATGAATACCAGAAGAAGAGACGAGAGGGGCTTAATAAAAAGCCGGCCAACATTGGGGAGGGGTTAGCTCGGGGAGGAAAGGGACTTGTTATGGTGAGGAAAGATTTTTCTTTCATGAATCTCTTTATTGGATGAATTTAAGGAATCTCTGTTTGACTTTTTTTTGAAAAGTGATACTTTACATAAAATATATTTCTGTATAAAAATGCAGGTTTTCCTCTTTGTTCATTTGTCAGTTAGGCATTTTCAATAAAAAATAAATGAATCAGAGAAAATAAAATGGAAGTCTTGTATAACATTCTGTCTGTCTGTATGTCTGTAGGGAGTTTTTGATGGAGTTACAGGAATTGTTAGGAAACCAATAGAGGGTGCTCAAAAAGAAGGAGTGGAGGGATTTTTCAAAGGTAAGATAACTCTTGTCTGGTCTGGTGTTGTTTAAAAGGAGTTACACTAACCATGCTCATGGCAGTATATGGAGCGGTAATGGACCAGAGAGGTTTTTAACACCAGTGGGTTGCCATGTTGTTGTATTTTAGGTATTGGTAAAGGCCTGGTGGGAGTGGTAACAAGACCAACAAGTGGTGTGATAGATTTCGCCAGCAGCTCATTCGAAGGCATCAAAAGGTAAACTAGGATTGGCAGATTTAAGATTTAATTAACATAATTTAAAATCACTAATTACATGTGCATGTATTATTTAAATCACAATATCAAATGATTTCGATGCAAATGAAAACTGTAAATTTTCTATAATGTGATTTTTTGACAGAATTGCGGACATGACTGACGACGTAGGCCGGCTCCGTCCACCGCGACGATTCCATTCTGACAGAATCATTCGACCATATAACCTTGTAGAGGCCTCAGGTTACGCAATCTTACAGGTACATGTTCTCTTTGAAAGGAACAACACATCAAGTAAAAACTGATCATCTAGGGTCTATTGTAGAAACTTTCTCCATTAGTACTCGGAGTTTTGGATATTAAAGGGGGAAGTAGATGTCAATTTGGTAAACTTTTGAGAGAAAAGAGTATTAAAGTCATACATAACTTACATGTAAATGTATCTTATTATGTACTTTTCCCACTGATAATTTTCCAAGATATTCTATAAAGTCAATGCCCATCAAATGTTATTAAACAAAAAATCGGCATACATTACCAGGAGTTTTGAACACCTACAAAATGATAAAAATCCTTGTGTTTTTTTCTTAGAATTTTTTTTAGCTCACCTGAGCTGAAAGCTCAAGTGAGCTTTTCTGATCACATTTTGTCCGGCGTCCGTCTGTCTGTCCGTCTGTCTGTCTGTAAACTTTTCACATTTTCGACTTCTTCTCAAGAACTACTGGGCCAATTTCAACCAAACTTGCCACAAAGTATCCTTGGGTAAAGGGGATTCAGGTTTGTACAAATGAAGGGCCACGCCCTCTTTCAAGGGGAGATAATTAGGAATTACTGAAAAAATAATGGTATCATTTAAAAATCTTCTTCTCAAGAACCATAGGGCCAGGAAAGATGAAACTCATGTGGAAGCATCCTTAGGTAGTGTACATTCAAATTTGTTCAAATCATGACCCCCGGGGTAGGGCGGGGCTGCAATGGAGGATCAAAGTTTTACATAGAAATATATAGGAAAAATCTTTAAAAATCTTCTTCTCAAGAACAGCAAAGCCATGATGAGTCATATTTATATGGAAGCATCCTCAGGTAGTGTAGATTCAAGTTTGTTCAAATCATGACCCCCGGGGGTAGGGCGGGGCCGCAATGGAGGATCAAAGTTTTACATAGAAATATATAGGAAAAATCTTTAAAAATCTTCTTCTCAAAAGCAGCAAAGCCATGATGAGTCATATTTATATGGAAGCATCCTGAGGTAGTGTAGATTCAAATTTGTTCAAATCATTACCCCCGGGGGTAGGGCGGGGCTGCAATGGAGGATCAAAGTTTTACATAGAAATATATAGGAAAAATCTTTAAAAATCTTCTTCTCAAGAACAGCAAAGCCATGATTGGTCATATTTATATGGAAGCATCCTCAGGTAGTGTAGATTCAAGTTTGTTCAAATCATGACCCCCGGGGGTAGGGCGGGGCCGCAATGGAGGATCAAAGTTTTACATAGAAATATATAGGAAAAATCTTTAAAAATCTTCTTCTCAAGAACAGCAAAGCCATGATGAGTCATATTTATATGGAAGCATCCTCAGGTAGTGTAGATTCAAGTTTGTTCAAATCATGACCCCCGGGGGTAAGGCGGGGCTGCAATGGAGGATCCAAGTTTTACATAGAAATATATAGGAAAAATCTTTAAAAATCTTCTTCTCAAGAACAGCAAAGCCATGATGAGTCATATTTATATGGAAGCATCCTCAGGTAGTGTAGATTCAAGTTTGTTCAAATCTTGACCCCCGGGGGTAGGGCGGGGCCGCAATGGAGGATCAAAGTTTTACATAGAAATATATAGGAAAAATCTTTAAAAATCTTCTTCTCAAGAACAGCAAAGCCATGATTGGTCATATTTATATGGAAGCATCCTCAGGTAGTGTAGATTCAAGTTTGTTCAAATCTTGACCCCCGGGGGTAGGGCGGGGCCGCAATGGAGGATCCAAGTTTTACATAGAAATATATAGGAAAAATCTTTAAAAATCTTCTTCTCAAGAACAGCAAAGCCATGATGAGTCATATTTATATGGAAGCATCCTCAGGTAGTGTAGATTCAAGTTTGTTAAAATCATGACCCCCGGGGGTAGGGTGGGGCCACAATGGAGGATCCAAGTTTTACATAGAAATATATAGGAAAAATCTTTAAAAATCTTCTCAAGAACAGCAAAGCCATGATTGGTCATATTTATATGGAAGCATCCTGAGGTAGTGTAGATTCATTGTTTGAAAACCTGGGATGGCTAAATGTGTTTGAATTAGTCACGTTACATAAGTGTATTTTATTGTACAAAACTTTTTATGGTATGAGCCCTGAATACCTCCAGGACCTTTTTGTTTTTCATAGCCATGACTCATATTCCCTGCGTTCAGAATTAAATTATAATCTTCGTTTACCAAAACATCGAACAATTCTATTTACAAATTCGATTCAATATTCAGGTGTACATTTATGGAATAATCTACCATTAAATGTAAAATTGTCACCATCTTTACATATTTTTAGAAGAAATGTGGAAAAAATTATTATTAGCCAATGTCTGTAAATATATGTTTGTATATTTCCTTGTACATGTTGTATGATTATTACTATTGTTTTTAAACTATGTCTCCTGAACTATAAATATTGACTTATTTATTTTGAGCCTATATTTCATTAAGTTGAATATTACATTTAATTATTCATGAATTAATGAACTTATCATTACATGTTTTATCTTTGATTGTATCATTTTATGTAATATGTTTGTTATTTAGAAGGCCCCGAGGAAGAATAGTACCTTGTACTAATCGGGTTACCTTCTCTAAATAAAGCAATATTATTATTATTATTATTCAAGTGTGTTCAAATCATGACCCCCGGGGGTAGGGTGGGGCCACAATGGAGGATCAAAGTTTTACATAGAAATATATAGGAAAAAATCTGAAGAAGAAGAACAGAAAAGCTATGTTTAGTCATATTGATATGGAAGCATCCTCAGGTAGTGTAGATTCAATTTTGTACAAATGATGACCCCCAGGTAGGATGGGGCCCAATGGGGGATGGAAAGTTTTACATAAGAACATATAGAAAAAATATTTCTTCTCAAGAACAGAAAAGCTATGTTTAGTCATATTGATATGGAAGCATCCTCAGGTAGTGTAGATTCAAGTTTGTTCAAATGATGACCCATTGGATAGGGAGGAGCCACAATGAGGGATCAAATTTTTACAAAGGAATATATGGGAAGTTTTTTTTAAAAAATCTTCTCAAGTACAACAAAGCCATTTGTTATATTGACATGGAAGCATCATCAGGTAGTTTAAAATTCAAGTCCCCCCCCCCCCCCCCCCCGGGTCTTTTCAATACTGAACTGATTGTGCTTTTGCCTAGCCAATGTGCTCAGGTGAGCGATGTGGCCCATGGGCCTCTTGTTTTTAAAAAGTATAGTTTTAGCTTATATTTCCACAAATTTAATTCAGTGGAGGTGTACAGCATTACTAGCCATCAAAAATTTGCACAAAAGTCCTTCAACTATTGGAACTCTTAACATATACAGGGAATACAGAGATTAAGTTCAAAAACTACATGTCCTATGTAATCATACAAACCTTTTTATTGAATTTGCCTTATTTTAAAATTGCCCTTTTGTGACAGGGTGAAAACAAAACAGGCAAAAATCTCCCTGTTTAAAAATTTGTGAAGTGTATATAGAAAATGTTTCAGTGAGAGTTTACAAAATTTCAGGAAACTGAGAAAGGAAAATATGCAGAAACAGATGAATATGTGGCTCATTCTGTCATCATAGGGGACAGAAAATCAACCAAGAGTGTCCTAATAGTCACAGACAAGTGAGTACAACCAAGAGTGTCTTAATAGTCACAGACAAGTGAGTACAACCAAGAGTGTCCTAATAGTCACAGACAAGTGAGTACAACCAAGAGTGTCGTAATAGTCACAGACAAGTGAGTACAACCAAGAGTGTCTTAATAGTCACAGACAAGTGAGTACAACCAAGAGTGTCTTAATAGTCACAGACAAGTGAGTACAACCAAGAGTGTCTTAATAGTCACAGACAAGTGAGTACAACCAAGAGTGTCCTAATAGTCACAGACAAGTGAGTACAACCAAAAGTGTCTTAATAGTCACAGACAAGTGAGTACAACCAAGAGTGTCCTAATAGTCAGAGACAAGTGAGTACAACCAAGAGTGTCTTAATAGTCACAGACAAGTGAGTACAACCAAGAGTGTCTTAATAGTCACAGACAAGTGAGTACAACCAAGAGTGTCCTAATAGTCACAGACAAGTAAGTACAACCAAGAGTGTCCTAATAGTCACAGACAAGTAAGTACAACCAAGAGTGTCCTAATAGTCACAGACAAGTAAGTACAACCAAGAGTGTCTTAATAGTCACAGACAAGTGAGTACAACCAAGAGTGTCCTAATAGTCACAGACAAGTGAGTACAACCAAGAGTGTCCTAATAGTCACAGACAAGTGAGTACAACCAAGAGTGTCCTTATAGTCACAGACAAGTAAGTACTAATTAACAAGTCAATGTGTCCTAATGGTCACAGACAAGTAAGTACTAATTAGCAAGTCAATGTGTCCTAATGGTCACAGACAATTAAGTACTAATTAACAAGTCAATGTGTCCTAATGGTCACAGACAAGTAAGTACTAATTAACAAGTCAATGTGTCCTAATGGTCACAGACAAGTAAGTACTAATTAACAAGTCAATGTGTCCTAATGGTCACAGACAAGTAAGTACTAATTAACAAGTCAATGTGTCCTAATGGTCACAGACAAGTAAGTACTAATTAGCAAGTCAATGTGTCCTAATGGTCACAGACAAGTAAGTACTAATTAACAGGTCAATGTGTACTAATGGTCACAGACAAGTAAGTACTAATTAACAATTCAATGTGTCCTAATGGTCACAGACAAGTGAGTACAACCAAGAGTGTCCTTATAGTCACAGACAAGTAAGTACTAATTAACAAGTCAATGTGTCCTAATGGTCACAGACAAGTAAGTACTAATTAACAAGTCAATGTGTCCTAATGGTCACAGACAAGTAAGTACTAATTAACAAGTCAATGTGTCCTAATGGTCACAGACAAGTAAGTACTAATTAACAAGTCAATGTGTCCTTATAGTCACAGACAAGTAAGTACTAATTAACAAGTCAATGTGTCCTAATGGTCACAGACAAGTAAGTACTAATTAACAAGTCAATGTGTCCTAATGGTCACAGACAAGTAAGTACTAATTAACAAGTCAATGTGTCCTAATGGTCACAGACAAGTAAGTACTAATTAACAAGTCAATGTGTCCTAATGGTCACAGACAAGTACGTGCAACAAAGAGCATCTTAATAGTCACAGACAAGTACGTACACCAAAGAGCATCTTAATAGTCACAGACAAGTACGTACAACAAAGAGCATCTTAATAGTCACAGACAAGTACTACAATAAAGAGCGTCTTAATAGTCACAGACAAGTACTACAATAAAGAGCGTCTTAATAGTCACAGACAAGTAAGTACATGTACAACAAAGAGTGTCTTAATAGTCACAGACAAGTGAGTACAACCAAGAGTGTCCTAATAGTCACAGACAAGTGAGTACAACCAAGAGTGTCCTAATAGTCACAGACAAGTGAGTACAACCAAGAGTGTCTTAATAGTCACAGACAAGTGAGTACAACCAAGAGTGTCCTAATAGTCACAGACAAGTGAGTACAACCAAGAGTGTCTTAATAGTCACAGACAAGTGAGTACTAAACAGCAAGTCATTGTGTCCTAATAGTCACAGACAAGTGAGTACAAAACAGTAAGTCATTGTGTCCTAATAATCACAGACAAGTGAGTACTATACAGTCAGTGATTGTGTCCTAATAGTAACAGACAAGTGAGTACTATACAGTCAGTGATTGTGTCCTAATAGTAACAGACAAGTGAGTAATATACAGTCAGTGATTGTGTCCTAATAGTAACAGACAAGTGAGTACAAAACAGCAAGTCATTGTGCCCTAATAGTCACAGACAAGTGAGTACAAAACAGTAAGTCAATGAACAAATAAGTACAAATTAACAAGTCAGTGTGTAACCATAGTAACAGATAAATACTAATTAGAAAGTCAGTGTGTCACCATAGTTACTTTTAAGTAAGAATAAATTACCAAGTCAGAGTGTTGTCATAGTAACAGATAAGTAAGTACAAATTAGCAATGAGCTACCCAGGCCGATATTCACGGCCCAAACCATTACATTCCTTCCTCCTTAAATTGTCTTCACCCTCGAAGACACAACCAGAGTTCTTATTTGCCCCTGGCAGGACTTTCACCTGCAAGTCCAGGGGTGGTTAACGGCACCAAATCTTTAACAGGATAGGAGAAAATGTTTGGCTGGACCAGGAATCGAACCCAGGACCCCTGCATCACTAGTCAGGTGCTCTACCAGCTGAGCTACCCAGGCCAATATCCATGGCCTAAACCATTACAGATGTACTGAAATTATTTATTATTGCAGGAGAGTTATTTATGCCAACAGAGGGGACATTTTTGGGCATTGGGATGCAGAATGGACACACACTTGGATTGAACTGAAGGAGAAACCGAAGAGATCAGCAAAAGGAGTGGAGTTTCTACTTAAGGTCAGTTAACAACGAAATATCATAGGTCTGGGATCTAACAATGAAATAACATAGGTCTGGGATCTAACAACAAAATAACATAGGCCTGGGTTCTAACAATGAAATAACATAGGTCTGGGTTCTAACAAGGAAATATCATAGGTCTGGGTTCTAACAACAAAATAACATAGGTCTGGGTTCTAACAAGGAAATATCATAGGTCTGGGTTCTAACAACAAAATAACACAGGTCTGGGTTCTAACAATGAAATAACATAGGTCTGGGTTCTATAACAACAAAATAACATAGGTCTGGGTTCTAACAAGGAAATAACATAGGTCTGGGTTCTAACAACAAAATAACATAGGTCTGGGTTCTGAAACAAAAAATAACATAGGTCTTGGTTTTATCAATGAAATAACATAGGTCTGGGTTCTAACAAGGAAATAACATAGGTCTGGGTTCTAACAACAAAATAACATAAGTTTGGGTTCTATAACAACAAAATAACATAGGTCTGGGTTCTATCAATGAAATAACATAGGTCTGGGTTCTAACAACAAAATAACATAGGTCTGGGTTCTAACAACAAAATAACACAGGTCTGGGTTCTAACAACAAAATAACATAGGTCTGGGTTCTAACAATGAAATGACAAAAGTCTAGGTTTGCTTTACCGAACTGTAACGACAATTGAAGTGATTGTTTCCTTTTTTTATTTATCAAGGATGAAAAGAAGAAAAAGTTTCCTTTCCAACTCGGAAGTTCTGCAAAAAAGATTGAAGTTCATATCTCAGATCCAAAGAGAGCAGAGGTAACGATTCACAAATAACAGTAACATGAAATAGTGTAACGATTCACAAATAACAGTAACATGAAATAGTGTAACGATTCACAAATAACAGTAACATGAAATAGTGTAACGATTCACAAATAACAGTAACATGAAATAGTGTAACGATTCACAAATAACAGTAACATGAAATAGTGTAACGATTCACAAATAACAGTAACATGAAATAGTGTAACGATTCACAAATAACAGTAACATGAAATAGTGTAACGATTCACAAATAACAGTAACATGAAATAGTGTAACGATTCACAAATAACAGTAACATGAAATAGTGTAACGATTCACAAATAACAGTAACATGAAATAGTGTAACGATTCACAAATAACAGTAACATGAAATAGGATTGACATTTAAAATAAAATATGTTGAGATTGAAAAAGCTCTTTTGTTAAGCATCCCTGTTATATAATTTCAGTGGCTTATCCAAATGGTTTGTTTTAATTTCAGTGGCTTACCCAAATGTTAAAATTTTCTTGTTTTTTTTATAATTTCAGTGGCCTTTCCAAATGCTTTCTTATAATTTCAGTGGCTTATCCAAAATTAATGTTTTTGTTAGCTCACCTGAGCTGAAGGCTCAAGTGAGCTTTTCTGATCACTTTTTGTCCGGCGTCCGTCTGTCTGTCTGTCTGTCTGTAAACTTTTAACATTTTCGACTTCTTCCCAAGAACCAATGGGCCAATTTCAACCAAACTTGCCACAAAGTATCCTTGGGTGAAGGGGATTCAAGTTTGTTCAAATGAAAGGCCATGCCCTCTTTCAAGGGGAGATAATAAAGAATTAGTGAAAAATTAATAGCATCTTTTAAAAATCTTCTTCTCAAGAACAATAGGGTCAGGAAAGATGAAACTCATGTGGAAGCATCCTCAGGTAGTGTAGATTCAAATTTGTTCAAATCATGACCCCCGGGGGCAGGGCGGGGCCACAATGGAGGATCAAATCATGACCCCCGGGGTAGGGCGGGGCAACAATGGAGGATCAAAGTTTTACATTGGAATATATAGGAAAAATCTTTAAAAATCTTCTTCTCAAGAACAGCAAAGCCATGATGAGTCATATTTATGTGGAAGCATCCTCAGGTATTATAGATTCAAGTTTGTTCAAATCATGACTCCCGGGGGTATGGCGGGGCCACAATGGAGGATCAAAGTTTTACATAGAAATATATAGGAAACATCTTTAAAAATCTTCTTCTCAAGAACACCAAAGCCATGATGAGTTATATTTATATGGAAGCATTCTCAGGTAGTGTAGATTCAAGTTTGTTCAAATCATGACCCCCCGGGGTAGGGGTGGGGCCACAATGGAGGATCAATGTTTTACATAGAAATATATAGGAAAAATCTTTAAAAATCTTCTTCTCAAGAACAGCAAAGCCATGATGAGTCATATTCATTGGAAGCATCCTCAGGTAGTGTAGATTCAAGTTTGTTCAAATTATGACCCCCCGGGGTAGTGTGGGGCCACAATGGAGGATCAGAGTTCTACTTAGAAATATAAAGGAAAAATCTTTAAAAATCTTCTTCTCAAGAACACCAAAGCCATGATGAGTCATATTTATATGGAAGCATCCTCGGATTTTGTTTAAAACATGACACCCCGGGGTAGGGTGGGGCCACAATAGAGGATCAAAGTTTTACATAGAGATACATGTATATAGGAAAAATCTTCTTCTCAGAAACAGCAAAACCCTGATTGGTCATATTTATATGGAAGCATCCTAAGGTAGTGTAGATTCAAATTTATTCAAATCATGACCCCCTGGGGTAGGGTGGGGCCACACTGGAGGATCAAATTTTTACATAGAAATAAAAAGGAAAAATTTTAAAAATCTTCTCAGGAACAGCAAAGCCCTGATTGATCATATTTATGTGGTCAAGCATCCTCAGGTAGTGTAGATTCTATTTTGTCCAAATCATGACCCCCTGGGGTAGGGTGGGACCACAATGGAGGATCAAAGTCTTGAATAGAAATGTATAGGAAAATATCTTCTGAAGAAGAACTGCAAAGCCATGATTAGTCATTTTAATATAGAAGCATCCTCAGATAGTGTAGATTCAAGTTTGTTAAAATGATGACAATCGGGGATAGGGTGGGGTCACAATGGGGGATCGAAAATTTTACATAGGAACATATACGAAAATATCTTCTTCTGAAGAACTGAAAATCATGTTTAGTCATTTTGATATGGAAGCATCCTCAGGTAGTGTAAATTCAATTTTGTTGAAATGATGGCCCCGGGGGAAGGGTGTGGCCCAAAGGGGGATCGAAAGTTTTACATAAGAACATATAGAAAAAATATTTCTTCTCAAGAACAGAAAAGCTATGTTTAGTCATATTGATATTGAAGTGTTTAAATGATGACCCCTGGGATAGGAAGGCGCCACAATGGGGGATCAAATTTTTACAAAGGTCTCTGGAATATATGGGAATTTTTTTTCTAAAATCTTCTTAAGTACAACAAAGCCATTTGTTAAATTGACATGGAAGCAACATAAGGTAATCTTTTCAATACTGAGCTGATTTGTGCTTTTGCCTAGCCAATGTGCTCAGCTGGTGAGCGATGTGGCCCATGGGCCTCTTGTTATAATTTCAGTGGCTTATCCAAATGTTTTGTTATAATTTCAGTGGCTTGTAGGAAAAATTGTGGAAGCCATGGATATGAGAAAGTAAAGACAGTTAATTAGGAAACTGGAAAACAGTGTTTATGTACAGTTATATCCAACAGTGAACCTCTGCTGCTTAATATGTCCAGTTATATCCAGTGAACCTCTGCTGCTTAATATATTTAGACTCCTGTGTGTGTTTGTAAAATTTAGGTCATGAACAAAATTTATATCACAGTGCTTGTGATATATAATGATTACAATGTATTATAAATGTAGAATATTGAATGTAAATTAATTAGCAACAGCTAATTAGCAATATACTGTGCCATCTCATGCCGTCTCATTAAGCTGTATCATATTTATTCATGAATGTTAAAGTTTTCAAAAGTTATTTGTGGACATGTTTATGACATTGGTAGACATCAATAATGAAAAATTTTATTCTAATTTAAACTTCTTTTTTTTATTTCTGAAATTGTGATGTTTGGTCAAATATTGAAAGCACAACCACAAATGGCTACCAGAATAGTCATAAAAATATAACACAGTGAAACCTGTCTAATCCGACATGCACAGGGAGACCGATTTTGTGTCGGATTAGACAGTTTTCACTGTATATGCTCAATCACAAATGCATCTTATATGAGATTGAAATGTAGTTCATGAATTTAGCCATTTTTGCTTTGAAAAACATGTATGCATTTCTATTTATGCATTTCTACTTATTGTCTAATATCATAATATAGCCTTAACGGAAAATTATAGCACTACAACAAATACTTCATGCAGAAATGACGCTTTATAAGTCTGACAATTTTTTAACAGTATAGCATAATATATCAAATAATTAATGAAATATATTGTAAAATCAGATTTCTTTTGCTTACTGAATAAGATATTTTAACAGCACTTTGCTATCATAATGTTCATTGATTTTAATTGTAAAGAATATTGAATCATTTCTGGGAGGCTACACAATGACAAAAAAAATAAGAAGAACATTCTTGACCACTCTTTAAGACACTGATGTAAATAACAAATTGCAATGTCTACATCAGATTGTTTTAAATAAAAGATAGATTCATTTAGAAATACTGAATGTCATCAAAGCCTTAAAGCAATTTATCATTGAATAGATACATTTACACGTCAACACATTCCCCCCTTTGTATGTTGTTGTATCAATTTTGTTATCAAATATTATTTTTATGTCTATAGTTATAAATTACACATCAGTAGAAACGTGTTTTTGTATTTCATTAGCTTTAGTTATTTATTATCAAATGTTTACATTAAGAATTTTATTTTTACACAATGCCAAAATATTGCTGTGTAAAGGCAGAATTGGTATATATGTGCACTTAATTATCATACTTTCAACATGTATTACTTGTTTATTAGAAATTTTCTTATATATTTTTTTTAATTTAGTTCAGTAGTTTCCTAAAGGTGGGTGTTTTTCAGTCTATCAAGGTCATTGTCAAGGTCATTCAGGAAAAGATGCTGAACAAATTAGCGGATCTTGCCATAGTTTCAAGAAATATCTGACTCATTTCTTAGTTTTGAGATGTATTGGAAAACTGTGTATTGTTTATTAAATTATTACTGTGGGTATTTGCTACTGAGTATAGCTATAGTTTTAAGTGCCTGTCTATTATTTTGTATTATGCCAGGGTCTTTTCAGTTGATATAAAGATAACTGCTTTAGAACAGGGTCATGAAATGAAGAATTTTCTTTTACGATTTACATTGACCATGCATTTTAAATAGAAAAAAAACCACTGCCTTATGACAACTACAGCTGTAATAGATTATTGGTCTTGGTACAGTAAAAAATACAACAAAGTGCTGGGGATGAAGTATTTTGATTCATTATAAATGTAATTCATCATCTCAAAGAAGTTTGTAATGTATTAAAAAGAAAATGTTACGGGGAATGAAAATCTCTTTCCCATAAGCATGAATATGGTATAAAACTTTTCAACAACTTTTTACTGTAGGAGATTAAAATACGGTTCCTTTTATATGTAGAAAAAAGTAAATTAATCCTGTATGTATTGTCCAAACCTTTGTATGTGAGTATACTTTTCAGAGTGTGACCCAAATATACTTATCATAACCTAATTGTTTAGCTAATTGAGTGTAATGTCCAGGCTAGGTATTGAGAATGCTTATCAAAACTTAAATGTCTGAAAAATCAAGATTTGGCATCCAGTCTTGTGTATGGAACATGTATTAACTCATAAAAACCTGCATTTCTGATTTATTGAGTGTGCCTATTAAAACCTGTTTATCCAGAGAACCAAGTACAATTAGCAAACACGTGTGTAGATGATTGAATTTGCTTATTATTGGAATTTCTCTACTAGTGTACTAAGATTTCATTTTCTGTCAAGTTCATTGAGAAAGTTTATTAGTATTTTTTCTGCATTATAGTAGTAACTTTATTAAAAAAAAACAACTTATTCCTGTAAATTTTATTTAGGTGCTCCTGTTAATACGATACAGAACTATCATTTTAATTTCTAGAGTGTAAAAAAGAACTCAGCAGCAATTCCTCTCTCCTGGAGAAACTTATTTCTTTCTGTAAAATCTTTATTGAGGAGCTAAATTTTAATTGATTTTAATGGACTTTATTTAGAATCTTAAAATTTGTAACAATTCTATACACTTATATAAGTATGTTATGATTTCTTTGAAGATTATTAAGGAAGTGAAAGTTTTTTAATTATTTGCTTTATTTGTAGTGTGGATAAAAACAAACGTTAGAAAAAAAAGATGTATGTTTCTGATGTTTTCAGTCTCTAGAAGTGATTAGTAATTAATTATTGATTAATGCAATGTAGTGCTGCTTGTTTTTATCCAATTAGTGCAATAAAGTGTTATCACGAAGTTCTTATATTCTTATCATTCTGAGTAACATCTGTTTATAAACCTAGACAGGATACTGACAAATATTGGTGTTACAGGATATTCAACAATCTATTTTAAAGTCAGCATTTGGAAAATTCTATGGTCGTTATGACAGCTTTGTTTGGAAATTCAATGTTTCGTTGACTGACTGACATATTCCAAGAATTCTGTATTTGATATATTGATGTTGTAATAGATTCTAAATTTATTGAGCGAGGTATTATGTTTCCTTCTGTTACTGTAATGGTCTTAAAAAAACAAAACCGGTTTTGTACCAGACCTCTAGAGTTTAACTAGTATATATTCAGATGATGATTATCAATGAGGAGTCAAGCTCTCCTCTTACCAAAGACACTAGCTGCAGATCTTTGTAGCTCACTGGTCTGGAATAGACGACCAGTAGAGCTACAGTTCTATGCATCCAAAAAGTGGGCACTATTCGATAATTACATGTATATGTATTCTTTAAGCTGCCATTTCAAAATATTACTAACCGTGTTCTTAAAAATAACCGTTCACGGTAGCTCAGTCGGTAGAGCGCTCACTTCGTGATCGGGAGGTCATGAGTTCGAATCTCGGCCGCGACTGACCTAAGTCGATAAAAAATGGGTAGCAACTGTTCCTTCGCCATGCGCTCGGCACTTTGAAGTGAAAGTTGCGGGTCCTTAGGATGAGACCTTAAAAACCGAGGCCCCTTGTCACGGCAGGCGTTGGCATGATAAAGATCCCTCACTGCTCAATGGCCCTGAGTGCCGAGTAAAGGTCAAAATTTGAAGCCCTTCACCGGTATATGGTGACGTCTCTATATGAGTGAAAAATTCTCGAATGGGACGTAAAACAACATACAATCAATCAATCAATCTTAAAAATATTTATTCATTTTACTACTCAATCAAAATATTCCTCACAGACGTTGATTTACTGTCACATGTAAATTCAAAATTTATAATATAACCAAACTATTTCTCCTTCATCATATACTTTAGCTGAAATTATATTTAGCTGATTAAAATATTTTTTTTTTAATGTCAACATATATATTCAATATAAATAAGCGAAAAGAAAAGGGGTCACATTGTCACACAACCAAAAATGGCAAAATAAAAAAGCGACCTTAAGGTTCACTGATCCTCTGATAAGAAAGATAACTATTAATGGAATAAATGTCTATTCCTTCTTATATTTCTCAGTTTTTTAAAACCAATTTTGCTCAGCAAGGTATGCTGAAACTGTTCGCATTTTACCTGTTTTTGGAAAGTTATAAGCATTAAAACAACATTTTAGATGAGTGAACTGTGGGATTATGAACCTTAAGAGCTATTAACAATGATTGGGAGGGGTGATATTCAAGTCACTTTTGTGAGGCCTCGGTTAATATATGTAGTGTGAAAACAGTCCGTTATCTTTTTTGATTTGTAGACATGGGGTACCCTATATTTTAATCTGGCATAGTGTTCACTTATCCAGTGGTTATTAATGTGATAGCTTTTTATCAAACCTGCGACATGAATTTTTCCCCGAGGCCCTACCCGAGGGGAATAGTTCCTGAAGAGGGTTTTGATTTAAAATAGCTTTTCTACTAACAGCTGGTAGATAAGCGTTTTATTATACTGATTTATATTTTCCTGGATCTTTGGGAGTGGATAGCACAGTTTCTCAGTACCGCGGGATGTAGCTTTGTAGAACTCTTCAGTGTTAGAAAAAATTCAACCAATCATGTTACAGGAAATCAATATTGACGTCAAAATTTGAATGAAAATTTTAAAAGATGGACAGCACATTTAATTTATACCCTTACTCATGGACAGATGAAACAAACTTTTTTTTTTCCAAAATAAAAATAACAAGTATTGTTTATATGATTAAAATGAATAGGTTTAACTATAGATCAAAATTTCACAATAATGTCCTATAAAGTGATAAAAAGTTGTATAGTTTTATATGGATGATTTTAGAAAGGTAGAAAATTGAAAACCCTAGAAAGTTTACAATTTCTTAATATTTTAGAAATTTGATATTTCCATCATTTACAACCAAAATAGGCCACAAAATATTATTAGTCCCGGCATCTTTTATTGGGGTGGGGGGTGGGGGTATTTAACCATCTCCATGTCTTTAAGTAGAAATTTTCAGACTATACTTAACATTATTCTACCTCCTTGACTTTATTTAGGAAACAGTATATTGGAAGTATTTAGGAGGTAATGATTTGTATTTAAAACCAGTTATTCCGGGAGGGGGGATTGAACGATGTTTAAGTCCCTGAATCCATTTATTTACCGTGTATATTGGATGGCAGCGTTCTGTGGCAGGCCTGTGTCCCGCCTCGCTGATTTTTATGTGTAGGTATGGAGCCGCGATCAATACTGAATCTCCTATAGAAAACATCCACGGTCACGTTCACATCTCCATATCATAGATTAGTATAATGTAACGATGATAATGTTGACGATGCTGGAGATGTGAAACCGTGGATCTTCACACACGGGAAATATCGTCGATATCGTCGTCTCCGTCCTTTGACTGTCGGCGATGAGGGCGTCATTGGATCCAGCAGTGAGAGATGTCGAGGGCTCTGACCAGTATGAAGGAGATATGTAAGTTATCACTTGTACATGATTTCAATATTGAATTGTACTTTTATGCCTGCTCTATCTTAATTTAAAGTTCACTCGGAAGTGCTATTAAAACAGTGTTACCGGTACATTGAAAGATGCCTATAACTTGCTGGGCGGATCTACGTAAAGCGTGCGATTAAGTGCATTCCTAAACAATTTTTTTCAAAGAAAATAAATGAATAATAGATAAAAAGAAACACCATGTGCACATACATACTCTCCCCCCCCCCCCAAAAAAAAAAAATCATTTGCAGAAAATCATCTTGCATTATTCGTTGCCATATCAACCGAATCTCGCATGTATCTAATTATTGCTTATCTTAAAGGGAAAATAGAACATTTCCATTGATTATTGCTGCTCATGATATGTAAATTTGTGAAGAAAAAAGGCCAGTATAGATATATATGTACTTATATACGAAAAACCGAAGTAGAAATGCAGTAAATAGAAATCGAGAATTGTACATAAGATACCTTTATTTCCCTGGTCTATAGAGAATCGGAGACACGGGGAAATTGTATTAATTATTGAGACGGGTAACTGTGTTCAATGAAGGAAAACTCCGAGCTCCGCGCCATTAAGCTTCACAGGAGAGCTGCCATTAAATATGTATGACATTTTAAATCCGGCGGCTCGGGTTAATTCTCTCTCCACTCAATTAAATCTCTCTCTCTCTCTCTCGCCATGTTTCTCTCTCTCTCTCTCTCTGTTAGATATCGAATTTTATAATATCCACGATTTTAGTGGGCTAGTTCCTAAATATCTTCATATATTTTCTATATCTTATCTCGTTTTTTATGTTTACCGTTATATTATATATATATATAACGATGATACATCAACAAAAGAAGTGTTAATTAAGATAAATGAAAAAGTAAGCGATGTTCGAGAATTTCAAGGTCTTCATAAAACATAACAGCAATGTTCAACAACTGTGACTGTGATGTGTAGACAAGTATAATTAATGCTACACGTATTGATTACAAATGTTAAGTACATGTAATTAATGCTACACGTATTGATTACAAATGTTAAGTACATGTACTATCAAATATGTATTAGGGATTTTATTTAATGGATAGGGTAAATGGTGTGACATAATTTATTATGAATGGACAGGGGTTGATTTTTTCCCCGCTGAAATCAAACTGCATGACACTAAACATTGAAAATAAATTGATTTAGACTCAAACCGTACATAGATATGCGGAGGCAATTTAAGTTCTTAGTTTAAGTTACAATGTATGTGTATATATCTTTATCTAATAAATATGTAATTCTCAAATAATACTGTAAAAATTCAGTCTAAAATTCAGAGTTGGTTGGTTATTTTTTTTCTCTTCAGTTATGGACTGTTACAAAGATAAATTTCTTCTGTTCCCATTCCAAAGTCTCAAAAACAAGCACCTGCCGCCACTATATACTTGGAAAACTATTTTGGTTCCGCTCCTTAAAATGTACGTCTATAAAACCCTTAAGCATTGGTCTTTAATCGTATTTTTCTTTCCTACTGTTTTTTATTAATCCGTTAAACTTTCGAAAATAATCTCTTGTAATAAAAGACACACAGTAAGAGTGGATTATTTTTTGTCAGCGTCTTTATACGGTGTGAATTAGTGCACAAGTTAGGCGCAGTAAGAGATTTTATAATGTCTACAGAAATTCTGGAGACGTCGTCTGTGTATTGGAACCGTTACCTAATATTATTCGTGGTTATCTGACGGATGTTGTTATTTTACCGATTACCGGTAAGAATATTTACGATTTTATTAATTGCTGGTAAAAATAGATCTATAATTTTAGCGATGATTGGTAAGAATATCTAAAATTTTACAGATATAACCGGTAAGAATATAGATGATTTTACCGATTACGGTAAGAATATCAGTGATATAACTGATTATATGTAGCCAAAAGTATATTGATTTTATTTACTGATTATTTGCAAGAATATCTTTGAGAATCTTAAAATATATATTATTGATTTTTGATATAAAATTTTAGCTTGAGCATCTTGTGAAGTTCTGAACTCAGTGGGATATACGAATCTTAATAACAGTAAAGTTTTAATACTATTTTGTAAAATAAATTAGGTTTATACATATATCTTATTTAAGTGATTTATTCACACTTAAAATGTGTATTACCTTAAGGTGGTATATCCACTTTCAATATACCATCTTCTTAAGGTGGACTATCCGTAAGTTGTCACTTCAGTAGAATCCACTTTCAGTATACATGTACCATCTCCTTAAGGTAGACTATACCTAGTCACTTCAGTAAAACGCTTGTCAATACGGAATGTACACTATCAATTTACTATAAAATTAAGGTAAACTTCCCACCTTTTATGCATTTCAAATGTATTTAATTTACAACTCTGTGTAAGTAACATACCACGTATCACCATAATAAAGAAACATTTAGGTCTAGTGCATCCGTGGGGCGAGTGTTTGTATGATAAATGTGTTAATATTAATGAATATATTATATGAAGTAATATAATGAAATATGAAGATAATGAACAGTAATCAAGGTCAGAAGTCTGAAGCATTGAAAACATATACCTCTAAACACATCAGTGGTGGGATCAGGTTCCAGGGAGAAGTAAGCAACCCCTGTCTACCGGTCACACCTGCCGTGTGCTCCTTGTCATGATTGAGCAAAAGGAAAATGGCCTAACAATTTGTATGAAAACATCAGTCAACATTCGACTTAATGATAGATTTATTGTTTGACAACATTGTGTCGACCATAGAAATTGCGAAATGTTGATTTTAAACGAGACTGTCGTCAGAAAGACTTAGATATTCTAGATGTCTTCTGGACAGACTCAGATTAAATTGCAAAACAATAAGTATGTGGATAATTCTTACCGTAATATATCTAATAAATTCTAACAACTTAATTTGGGAATTCAGGATATCTGATACTTATTTTGTCGAGAATTCCTAAACATTGCAGTTTTTATTCACACTGGATGTAAAGTTTGTTTCTTATACATTTCATGTGCTTAAAATTTTATCTCTATCATATTATCAACATTTCAACTGAAATTTTTGAAAGGTCTACATCTACATTGAAGCTGTGTTTTTTTTCTCATTTAGTCTAACTAGAGGGGAAGGAGGTCGAAGGGAAAACTGGAGGGAGGGTTTGGAAAAAATAAAAAATGGAAAGGGGAGAAAGAATAGGGAAAAGACCAGGGATTAAAAGTTAAAAGAAAGAGGACAAAAAGATAGAAGGGAAGTTGAGGTAGGGAGAAATGGAGGAAATAGGAAGACAACCCCAATCCCCTTCATTTGAATGGAAGTAGCCTAAAAAGATGCATGGTTTCGGTTTGTCATCCCTTTGATCAAATACAAAATCTTTATTTACCTCTAAGGATTTTCAAAAAGAAATCTTACGTGTAAAAGCTTAAGAAAAACGAACACTGACCAATCTCATATATCCAGTTAACAAAATTAATCGCAAACAGGGCAAAAACACAGACCCCTGGACACACCAGATGTGGGATCAAGTGCCTATGACGAGTAAGCATCTCCTGTCGACCGGTCACACCCGCCATGAGCCCTATGTATTGATCAGGTAGACGGGGAATCCGTAGTAAAATTTCTTATAGAAGCAATGACCTAACAAATGGTATGAAACATTTCATACAAAATACGACCCAGCGATAGGTTTTTTTTTTTTTATAAACAAGGTCATTATAAGGACCGCAGAATTTGCGAAAAGTTAATTGACTTTAAATGGGGTTGTTGAAAACCTTGTACCATCAACTTATTAGTCAGTAGTTTGCCTTGGTTTAAAAATGTATTGCATTCATTGTATGCTCTTGCATATCGAATCAGTTGGGAGACATAAACACCATATGCAAGTGATGTTGAAATATTGCTAATTGCTACATAAAATAAGGGAAGAAGTTGACCATGGAAATGTTGAATTAATTTCGTTTGTTATACAGTTCAGTTATTAGTTGGTCATTATGCCCATTTTCCTCTATAGTCAGTAAAACATCCAAATAAAACAGATGTTCTATGGTCGATACAATGACCTTGTCAGCAAATACAATATATCGTTAAGTCATATGCTGGCTGACATTTTTCATACTAATTGTAAGGCCATTATTTACTCACCGAATTGTCGACGGATTCCGTTATTCCCGATTATGACAAGGAGCAACGGCGGGTGTGACCGGTCGGCATGGGATGCTCACTCCTCCATGGCACCTGATCCTACCTCTGATGTTTTTGAAGGTCCATGTTTTGCCCTGCTCCCGATTTGTATTATTGTTATGGACTTTGAGCTTGAATACTGTTCGCTATCTGCATATTTCATTTGGCAAACTTTGTGGTGTCTTTTATTTCGAATTCACAGGGATCGAATAGACATATGAGTGAAAATAATTATAACAATTGTTAATTGATAAAAAGTCGTTGATATATCTTAATGTCGAGTCAAAGGCCATATTAGGAGATTTCTTCATCCGTGAAGAAGTTTCTGATAAAATTTATAATCAAAATGCTTTTAAACTTAACATTTTTATGAAGGAATAATATTCATATTTCCTACCCAGAGCTGCATTTATCACCAGAGGGCCAATGAACTTAATTTTTTTTTTTTCAGAGACACTCGGGGCATCACTGATGAAGATCACGGTATGAAGTTACAAGCCACTTTGCAGCTAGCGTTACGGTCCAGTGATTTTGACGCAATCAAAAGTATAGTTGAAAATGACAACTTTGACGTTAATTGGCGTGACGTCACTCACGATCTTCAGAGTCTCGTTATGAAATTATGCTACGTAGAACTCAATCAAGAGGAAGTTCTTCAATTATATGACGCCATCTTTGAAAAAGACCCGGATTTAAATTTGCAAGATTCTCACGGCCGCACGGCATTGATGCACGCTTGTATTGCAGGAAAGGAGGATATTGTGGACTATTTAATCAGTGACCCAACCACGAGGATTGAAATCTTTGATTTTGATGGTAATTCTGTCTTGTCTCACGCCGTTAAGGCGCAGGACGTTCGCACTACAAGGAGACTTCTAGATCATCCTAGCGGGCACCTGTTACTAGAGGTGTACAACTGTTTCGGTAGGTTCAATCTAGCGGGCACCTGCTACTAGAGGTGTACAATAAGTTCAGTAAGTTTATTCTAGCGGGCATCTGTTACTAGAGGTGTACAACAGTTTCGGTAGGTTCAATCTAGCGGGCACCTGGCTGTTACTAGAGGTGTACAGCAGTTTTGGTAGGTTCACCGTAGCGAGCACCTGTTACTAGAGGTGTACAATAGTTTTGGTAGGTTCAATCTAGAGAGCATTTGTTATAAGGGGTGTACAAAACTTTTGGTAGGTTCACCCTATCGGGCACCTGTAACTAGAGGTGTACAATAGTTTTGGAAGGTTTACCTTAGCGGGCACCTGTTACTAGAGGTGTATAATAGTTTTGGTAGGTTCTTTACTAGCTTTTAATGAATTGCAAGAAAGTAAATCTATCTTTCCCCGGTTACAACTTTAACGATCCCTTAATACTAGGTATATTCAAGCAATAAGAAATCAAGCAAAGTTTAAAAATAGTCTATATATCATAAGAGCTTACTGGACCTAATTATGTTAAGTCAATAACGGGCGGGAAGTCTTAACCTTAATCCCGGAGAATTTGAGATTAACCTAGGAGAATAAATATACATTGGTCAATTAATACAGTGGTTAATTATCCAGTAGTATTGTTACCCTCACCGTAGATCTAGAGGTCCGTCTCTATAATCTGTTAATCGATCGTCTTATGATTCACAATGATGGTCTCCCTTTACGGGAAAATTGTCCTTTGTACATAGCATATTGTGACTTTTTAAAAAATATTTCCTTTATGGTTACAACAATCCACCATATTTAAAAAGTTATTATAATCCACGTATAAAACATTACATTATTTTTTTTTATCCCTGGTATATTATATACGTTGTAATATTGTTGCAAATGTTAAAACGGTTTTAAAAAGTTCAGAATTTATTATAAGTCCTGTGTCACCGGGTTCACAGATTTGTGAAAGTCAGTCTATATATCAGGTCTCAATAGTTCAGTGGTTATAGCGCTGGCACGGTACTCCAGAGGCCCTGGGTTTGAGTACCAAGCGAGACTTGATTTTTCACCACCTGACATTTTGCGCCCAACGTACAAAACCCACTATTCCCTTGGAACATGCCTCACAGCATTCCGTTCAAAGTCAACATTTTGCAAATTCTGTGGTCGATACAATGACCTTGTGAGCTAATACAAATCTGTCGTTACATCGAACGTTGACTGACGTTTTTCATACAAATTCTAAGATCATTTACACGCTGAATTGTCTACGGATTTTTCCGTCCGTCCGATCATGACAAGGAGCACACGGTAGGTGTGACCGGTCGACAGGGGATGCTTACTCCTCCATGGCACCTGATTCTACCTCTGATGTTTTTTAAGAGGTCCGTGTTTGCTATGCTTCCCAATTTGTATTGTTTTAATGGACTTCTGTTCGTTATCCTCATATTTCGTTGTTAAATAATAATTTGTCATTTATAAACCCTCAATATACACAATAAATTCATAACAACGTGTTGTGGGGTTTGATTATACACTCATATAACTTCTTAGACAGTAAATTCTTATACCAAATTCTTAGACTATTCGGTAAACCGAATTTTCTGGCTCCGACCTATGTAAATTCTCGCCTCATTACATTTCAGTACTTACACAGAATTGAATAGAATAGGATAATTGTCAATTTTCGATATATATCTTCGTTGGATAGAGGAAACATTTAAGAAATGAATTTTATTTTTGAGAATTCATACATGAACTACGACACTTCACGCCGGCATATTTCGTGAAGCGCGTTAGCGCTTCATGATAAATATGCCAGCGTGAAGAGTTGTAAGTCAAGTACTTCATGAATTCTCAATGTCACAATGGAGATTTTCTTGCTCACTCATGGTAGTTCATGTTTTCTAATTTGCAAAGAATCTTAAGAAAATATACTTGGAAATGTAAATATTATAATTTTTTTTAACCAGGCTAGAAGCAATCTAAATTTATTAATCTGGAGGGGTTTTACATGTAACTTTTGCTCACTTTCTTTTCGTGTTCCACCATAAACCTGATTACTCCGTAGCCGCACTGTAATCGTCACACTCTAAGCTTTGTGAGTTAATGCAATTAGCACCCCTTTAAAACACGAGTCTTGTAAATGTGTTGAAACACTGATATATGTCATTATCATGACAAAATATTGAACATTATAGCGACAAAAGGACTATGATTAAAGGATTGATCTACATGCAGCTCACTTATCAGTTTTATTATTTTTTAGGTCAGAGACCTATCGACATAGCAGAGAAACAGGAAAGAAAAGAATATTATAATCTGTTAAGGAAATACCAGAAGGAGCAACGACCGATGGAAAGTCAGAAAAAGATGACTGTACTTCCGCCCGCGTTCTCACCTCAAAACGAGGCTGCACTTAGACTGAATGCTTCTAAGGCTAGTTCCTTAACAGATGTAGATTTACTTAAATGTACACCAAGATCAACCTATATTGATGACGAAACACCAAATCTTTATCTGACATCACCAAAACTAAGAAGAAAGAAACACAAAAGATCAATAGATAAGTCGTACCTAGAAACTTCACTTCCTGCAATCAAATCAAATGATATCAACAGGAGCAATAAAGCGTCACCAAGGGAACAACATAAACAAAAATTAAAGGCAGACTCAAAACAAAGGGAAAGGAGAAATTCCATTTCACTTCCGGACCTTCGGGACTCCCCAGGCGGATTAGTGACTTCCAGTGGGAACACCCCAATTGAAAACTATGACTACTCGTCAGATTCAGACTTCAGTGATGACGCAATTGTTGACCTCTCTCACGGGTCACCGAGAAAACCAATAGAGCGTGTAGTCAAACGAAGCGCATCGGAAAAACAAATTGGATTTCCGAGCATTGATAAAGGTAAAGAGGGTTCTAAAGTAAAAAGGACTCTAACGGAGGGAAGTCTTTACAGCAACAGCGATAGCAAACTAGACAGACTCAAACTTCTACAAAAGACTGTACTTAGTTAACAGCGATAGCAAACTAGACAGACTCAAACTTCTACAGAAGAGCGTGCTTAGTTAACAGTGAAGGCAAGATAAACAGACTCAAACTTCAACAGTGTGTTACCTTAATTAACAGTAACAGCAAGCCAGACAGACTGATTATATAGAAATGCGTGCAGTGCTAAGTCAACCAGAGCTAGGCTGAGCTAAAAATATTTAAAATTCTTCACAATATAATAGCGTGCTGACATACTGAAAATTAAATAAAAGTATATGGTACTTAGAGCAAGCTAAATATATTAAAAAGTTTAAAGAAAAGCGTGTTTACTGAATGTCGCCAATTTGTGTCGGCTTCAGGAATGCGAGATCTTTTTTTTTTTTTTTTTTTCTTTTTTTTTTTTTACAAATAAAGTGCATATATAACCCTTTAATGGAAATTTAATTAAAGTGGAAGTTATGTAGTTCTTGATTTTTGTACATGTTGATTGGGAATAAACAGATTCTTAACTTGTGTAATTTATATCACTGGATCTTTATCTTTTTTTCTTTATGTGTTGTTGTCTGAAAGTTTGAGGATATAAGAGTATCTGTTATTTGTACATTGATTTTTACTGACTTTATCGGAGCACGTTAAAGGACACATAGGCTGCCGTATATATGGATGTTATTGTGATTTTAGAAATAAATGTCTGTTGCGATTAGATGAAACACAACTTTGCCAAACAAGTCATGGTGTCCTCTTAGGTTATTGTTTCTTTTCTTCCAGATTGAAGAGAGATAACTCTTACCGGAACTAATAACATGACATTGCTTTATACAATAGTCAAGTAAAAAGACAATTTGTTTAATAATGTGTCCCCGCAAGGTACGTTGAAATTGCGTGGATTTTACTTCTAAATTAGATTAGTTTTGGAAATTATAAGTGTTAAAGCAATATTTTATACAGTGTATAAGTGAACAGACAACGAACCTTAATAGCGTGGATTTTCTGATGAATGTGTCAATTATTATTATGAATATTCATGAAACCGCATTAGATCAAATCCATCGGTCGCAAGGCCGTCCGTTTTGGTGACTCTGGATAACTTTGAGCTGATGGCACGGGTTCGTCCCGGCGAGGTGTCTGCCCTATCATCTGTACATGTACAGAACGTGCTAATCCTACCAGTAAATTAAACACTGTTACCAGGTTCTCCAAACATTGTTCCTCATCATTCAGAGTGTTTTATCCACACAGGAGATCACTTATTGGCTGAAAAAAAAGAATACTGAGTAGTTTCTATTGAATAATAGGAAAAACCTTTTTCTCACTTAAATTGAATTCCATATAGCTTTTTCTTATTTTAATAATTTTCTAACACAAGACGGAGAGGAAAAAGTGAAATTCAAGCAAATTTAGAATACAATCACGGCGGATAATGAAATAAACGTTGCCTCTGACGGATCATCCTTAGAGTTACCTCTTTTTACATTGGGACATTCCTCCTTAAAAATTTCAACACATTTCCCTTTACTTCATTCAGAGGCTAAAGATAAACCCCTCGGATCATATATATTTTATGCAATGATTAAAAGCGTTGATTCCGTAAAAACAAACAAAGAAAGACATTTTATTGTTTACGTTTATATCTGTAGAAATTATTCATAGAGAGTGGATGAAAGAACATAATATATGGTTTTATCGATGCCATTGTTATATTGATAGAAGGGACATGAAACAGTTGACCTTTAAGGATTCTTAAGGAATTGTTCATGCAGACAGCTTCAAAAAACGTGCGTGGCGGATTACATAATATTCGAGACTAGATCCGGGGAAGCATGTTTATCACTTGTCAGTACTTTTGGTACTTTGATTTATTATTATTTTTAAGCTTGCATCACCTAACACAACCCAACCCCTGCATGTACACACACAGACACAGAATTCCTTTAATCTGGAAGTCCTGATTCAGTGTCTGTATCTATAATGCTTAATCAAAAAATAGCGAAGTACCTTTATTCATTATATTACTCTCTCTCTCTCATACCATTAAACTCAGTTCAATGGTATAAACACCTAAATGATGTTGTTAAAAATTCATTTTTTTTATTATGTGGTATCATAAAACTTTCTGTAGATACATAAATAATTTTAAGCCTCATAGTGAAAAAAATCAGGTTACTGCTTTGCAAATTTTGAAATTTTTCAAACTTTAAAAAATATGTGTTGTAGAAAGCAGGATAATCAATAAAACTAGGAATGGCAACGGTAAACTATTAATCGACTAATCGGTGGGAATATCGTAAACGATTACAACCGGTTAATCGATATTTTTTTTAAAATACTTTTATAAATATACATTTTTTTTTAATTAAAATTCTTATGAGTGTTTTTAAATCTGAAATGCTGCAATCGACCCATTGAAATATTCCCAAGACACGCCGGTATCACAATAAGTCCCCATGATTTATACAATTTAGTCATTGTATCCCTAAACACTAATCAGTAGAGTCAAATATTCTACCTACTATAGATCTAATTTTCTTCATTTTACGTGGTTATATTTTTTTCCCAAATCACTGCGTTTCTTAACGATTTAATCAACGAAATCGATATCTTTATGAGATATGTTAAGAGAAAGAGAGAGAAGGGGGAGGGGGAATTTAAGGCAAATTTACAACCAAGAGTACCACAACCTTAGACCAAACAATCTGTACACTTCCTCAGTTTATTTTAACACACAACGATCAGAAAACAGAGTCGGAGGTATGTAGCAGATCCCTTGACTTCGGTGGTGATGTGATATTAATTAGTGGAATCTGTTCGATTAGTCGGTTACTCAGTGAGGAAAAAAGCCCGACTAACTGGTTACAAAAAATTATCCGATTGCCACCCCTAATGATAACACAATGAAGTACTTTTGCTACAAAAAGAACACATAGTTGACGGGGGGGGGGGGGGGATCTTTCAAGGACGCCAATTATAAGGGTTGTCGTTCTTCCTCCGTGATAAAGTCATTCTATCAAGCGAAAAGAAAACAAACATATTACCCAGAACCCCGCCATATGAAAAAAGTCTATTTCATAGGCGTCGGAAGCAAATTGAGAGAAGGGGGGATAAACCAACCAAAAAAAAAAACCGTTTGGGGAAAGGGGGTAAGCTATTTTCAATGCCTATATTAGCTTTATCTCTGCAAAATAAGTTGGGGGGGCTACCCCCCCCCCCCAGCCCCCCTCCCCCGGTTCTTACGCCTATGATTTCATTATTATGTTCCCCAAACGAAGTTTGGGAACATATTGTTTTTACTCTGTTTCTTATTATTATTAAGTCTTCCGTTCACAACGGAAGACTTATAGTGATTGTATTGTTTCTTTTTATTATTATTATTATTATTCCTCCCAAATTTTGTGAGCGCGATTACTCAGAGATGGTTGGATAGATTTTCACAATTTTTCACATGATAGTAGGCTGATATATGAAGTTTATATAAAATTCCGTTTTTTGAAAAATTCACTTCCGGTCCGAAGTTACGGCCGAATTTCCAATTTTTAAATGGACTTTTGTCCGGAATTTTTCTCGGAAACGGTTTGAGGTAAAGATGTGAAATTTACAGGAGTATTAGATCATGACATTCTCTTTGTTTCGAAGTTGTTTTCGTGTGTTTCCGGTACTTCCTGTCCGAACCGGAAGTGAACTTGTGTTTGGTCAATTTTCAACTTTTTTGTTTTTTAATATTTTTTCAACATATTATTATGTATAACAGAGGTTATTCTACAAATACTAAATATATAATTTGTTTTGAAATCAGATTCCACATTTTGCAGATTTTCAGTACCGTCATTTTCCCTATTTACCTAGTGTGTAAACAATGGGCAAAGAAAGATAACTCTGACTTGTAAGTGAGAATAGAACTTTCGAGATAAAGGCGGAAATAGTATCGATGACGTTAGAGACATATACACCCTCCATATCAAAATATTTAGACATTCCATATTCACTCTTCTAAATGTAAGAGTACGTTGGTTACCACTTCCAGTGCATTTATAGTTTAAAGTTGCCAGTGTAGTGTAAGTCTGTATTGACAGTTAATTTATTTACACATGAATATATCTAAAAAAAAAAATAATATATATGCAAGGTACCTAATTCAAGTAAATATATTATAAGCACTGATTATACATTTATAGTGATGGACAGGCATGCAGTTTTATCTATCTCGTATAGTAAGTTCAGAATACAATAGTTATAAGCCTTCTATAATGCAGACGATTTATTATTCTCTATGATCTGAATGCGAATTTATCCCGATTTCCGAGTTTTATTTTCGATATTAAAAAAATATTACATACACTCAAACAGGAATTGAGCGATAGAAAATTGTAATACAGTACTGTTTTAAAGCCTTTATAAATAAATTGATATCTGCCACTTAAAAGAAAGAAAATCAATCTATAGATTAGATTTTGTTATTACATATATATTTGATAAAAAGTTAAATTATTTATGACACATGATCTATACTCTATATACCCAAGGAATTATAAAAGATGTGAAAAGGCGATTCTTGAGCATGGATTCTTGTGAAATACTCAAAGAGTTAAAGAAAAATATGTGAAAATGCGATTCTGTGTGAAATCATGGTACGCTATATGTTTCTTTTGAAAAAAAAAAAACATAAAAAAAAATTGCACAGGTCTGTTGATATGTGGGATAAGTATACCTGAATGAACACAATTTTATGCAGTGATATATAATTATGCACATGCAACTGACGTCCGTACTTTTCCTTATAATTCATAAAACATAAAACTATCTAATTCCTTTGAAGCCTCCCCCCCCCCGACCCCACCCCACACCCGTCTTGATTAATATTTGGAGACGTTCGTGCAGCTAGGCATTTGAATTATATATTCGTTTTAGATTTAAATCTGGAACATGTGAATATAATTACCATTTACATGTATACAGAATTTCATATTCTATAATGGTAGATTTGTCATTATGAAATGTTCAATTTACGTCTGAGAGAGAGAGGGGGGGGGGAGAGAGAGATTCCCTCTTAATCCCGATCCTCCTATCCATTTACATAGACCAAAAGTTAGTTCCAGATCGGTCACACCCATTCTTTATTAAATGTTTTCTGATTTCATAGTCAGTCATGGTCACATCCTGTATATTTTTCAGCTTAAAAAGTATCACACGAAGTGCACGTGTGTTGACCTGTCAATCAAAATCACTTGACGCTGTATGCACTGCAATATTAAGTAGCCTGAGTTCGAAATGATCTTGAAGTATGATCTTTAAGTAAATTTGATGCAACAAACTTGTGAAAAAATAGAATAAAATAAAAAATAAAATATCTCGGTATTATGAACTTCGATTGTGGGACGTGGAAACCGGTCCTTTGGATGAGATCGTATAAATCGAGGTCCCTTGTCGCAGAAGGTGCTGGCATAAAAAAGATTCCCCTCTGCTCAATTGCGATAAGTGCCAAAGTATAGGACAAAAATTTGCAGTCTCCACCGGCGAGTGGTGGCGTCTCCATGTGAGTGAAAAATTCTGGAGAGGGACGTTAAACAACATACGTATAATCAATCAATCGATTGCTGAAGAATTACTGTAATTGAATAATCTGTCTTATAGGTATGCTGTCAAATCTTGATATTATAACTTTACAAAACTCAGTGACTTTACGTTTAATGTGATACTAACTTAATTCATTATATTTTTTTATAACACCAACACAATTATGCCAAAACATACACATAGTGAAGTTTATGATAGTACGGTCGTTCGTTCGTCTGTTTGTTTGTCTTAGAAATGATTACAAACAATTTTTTTTTTAAATTGCTAATGATATACGTATATCTCTTATAGGTGCCAAATGTATTATTCAAGATTGATAATGAAAATCAAAGTACCTTAAGTACTGAAAGGACTTTTTTCCAGTTATTTTTTTCTTTCACAGTAAATATATGTATGTTTTTTACACAGAAAAAAAGCAAATTCTTACAGATTTAGAAGAACGGAAGACTTTTTTGTTGCCATGGCAACAAGAGTCTAGTTATTATTATTTTTCTTCCTGGGTACTTTTTTGTCCGTGAGTGATCTCCGAAACTATACATCCGATTGAGTTGAAACCTTTTTAGGGGTAATAGGAATGTTATGTAGATTTGCGGAACGAAGGTCATTTTGCGCGCACGTGCATGCGCGTGCGTGCGCGTGCAATGAGTAAAATGACAAATATACTTGATATAGCCATAACTTTCATATCTTTTGATGAAATGCTTTGATACTCAGGATATCAGGCTATATTAATAGTGTAGACAAGATGACATGGTCAGAATGCATATGCATGCAAGTGTGCGCATGCGCAATGATTGAAATAACCCATACAAATGATATAGACTTAACTTGTATATTTTTTGATGAATTGCTTTGAAACTCAGAATATAAATATATATTAGAAGTGTAGACAAGATGATATGATCAGAGCGCACATGCATGCATTTGCATGCACGTGCGTGCGCTTGCAATGAGTAAAATGACCAATATACTTGATATAGCCATAACTTTTACATTTTTTGATGTAATACTTTGATACTCAGAATATATAGACATATTATAAATGTAGACAAGACGACATTGTCAACATGCATATGCATGCACGTGCGCGCGCATGCAATGCTAAATATACTTGATATAGCTGTAACTTTTAAACTTTTTGATGAAATGACTTGATACCAAAAATATGTAGATATATTAATAGTGTTGACAAGATGACACGGTCATCATGGACATGCATGCACGTGCGCGCGCGTGCAATGCGTAAAATGACAGATATACTTAATATAGCCGATTTTTTTTTATCTTTTAATGAAATTTGAATATAAAGATGTATTAAAAGTGTAGACAAATTGACATGGTCATTTTGTACATGCATGCCCGTGCGCGCGCGTGTAATGCGTAAAATACCCAGTATACTTGATTGCCTTATTTAATGAAGCTTACAGGGAATAAGACACCAAAAGGAAGTTGGGGAGCGTTTGGGGAACATCTGTAACGGTCCCCGTTACAATTAATACTAGTTTGCTTGTAGAATTGTTTAAGTGCTACACTCTTGTATCCCTGACCTTCATGTACACAATGCCTCTGGTGTCCCTGACCTACAATGCCTCCGGAACGGGGGTGAATGCGATTGTATCTTCCCTTAAAAACAACTTCAAAATATCATTTTTGCAAGAAAATAAATTGTTTAATTATATGTTTAAAGTATCATGAGTATTGCTGCAGATTTTTTAACTTAATACTTAAGAAAAATGGTTTTCAGAATGTACGAGAACCTATCATTAAAAATAAATCTGGCTTAAAGGAATGGATACGGATCCCCTCCCGACCTAGGCCAACCCCCTTTTCAGAAATCTCCTGACGCTCCGGCGAGTTACAAAATCTGTAGTGATTTTGAAAGTCACTACACCGCAAAAATAAATCTAGATCCCCTACTCTTTTATATAATTCTTCACATCTGCAAAGCGTATGTCCTCTATGTAAGAAGTTCCAGGGGTTCTGTTAATACAAACAAAATTAATGAATGCAGGTTAAAAGTGAATGTTATCATATTCTATATAGAGATCTTTTATCACCCTGTAGGACGGGTGTTCTGATTGTGTGTGACGGAACAGAAGTCTATCGGCCCTGGATTATTTACATTGGTGACACAGGGGTATTGTGTGGAGAGATTTAGAGTTCTAAATGTTTCTGATTTCTGTGTAAACTTTCGTCAATAGGTTTCACTTCATATGAAAAAAGAGAAAAACATATTGCATTCATGACATAATTATTCCTCTTGCTTCATAAAGCGAAATTTATACAAAACAAGACAATTTAAAGGAAATTTATTCACATACTACAATATTTATTTTTTTAATACAAGTATTCAAAGTCGTGCAAGTTAAACATATAAAAATATTGATAACTTCTTTTTAATTTAATCGCTGGCTAGTGTGTGAAGTTCATTAACTTCTTGTCTGAGGTAAACTAGCTCGCATTCCCTGTGCCTTTGGTGTAAGGATTTTAACTAAAACACACAAAGAGATCACTGCAGCGCGTCAGTGCGCTCTACAGAATTAAACTCTGACAAGACAAAAAAACATCATTGTTTTATCAACGTCATCGAGGCATGACCAACGACACAAACTAACAATGGTAAGGATCCGGAATTCTTTTGTTTTCACTTGAAATTTTTCCTTTTCCCTTTTCTTACGTAGATCGGCTCTATCTTTATGGTTCTGATATCTTTTAGCAGAAGAAAAATGTTTTTAAAAAACTTTTTTATATACATGTATTTGAAAACGTGTGCCGTTTAAAATTGTGCTTCATACTTTTGTTTGTTTGTTTTTATTTTGTTTTTGTTCAATTAAAGTTACTGGTTTTAAGACATGGATTAATCTCAATTGTTTTTGAATATAACAGTATTTAATTTACAGGAGTGCTTTTTTTTATAGAAAGGCTGGCGGAGGGGGTTGGGTGAGCGTGGGGATAAAACATTTAAATTTTTATTCTTACAGAAATGTATATTATTCGAAGAGTTCATTACTTCAAATCCTTCATAATGCACTATTTCTTATGTACTTATCTTTGTCATATTTTTATTATTCTTATCAAAGGAATGCACTTCTTACAAAAAAAAAAAAATAATGGATAGACTACTGGTGGTACACATATATTGCTTGTATGACAGTCGGTTCTGTCAATTCACCTATATATACTGTACTTATTTCTGTTTTTTTTTCTGGTGTATTGTATACAAAAGTAAATGTTGATTGAATATAAAGTGAACTGATCGGTGTATAATCGTGATGCCATAGTGTAAAGGAAAAAAGATTTTTTTTCATTTAAATATAAATCTGGTTTGTTTACAAAGGCCATTATATATATATCTATTTGTAAACTGATGTGTTTAGCTATGTAAACATAATAATGATATCAAAAACTCCTTGGTCTTTTAAATCTGAAAGATCTTAATTAAAAGAAATTAGTTCCTTTGTCAGTGATCTATGAGGCGATTGTGGATGATTGTGTGTGTACGGAGGTACAATAGGACTAGATCGGGGGCACCTGCTAAATCATCCATCTTCTTTCCTCTCTCTCTATAGAAATCTGTATTTTCGTCAACCTAATTGAAGAAAATCATGGAATCAAATTTGTATTGCTATTAAAGAATATATAAATAATTTGTTTGTGTTAAAAGAGAACTCACATTACTGGTTGTAAGATAATGTATAAGACTTTTTTTTAATGAAGAAAATAAATTTCGAAAGAAAAAGCAGTCAAATAATTTATCAGCCGACAGAATGATTAAATTTGATAAAAAAAAGTTCCTTTGTATGAATTGCATTTTTTTTCACAGCCATAACATCATTTTTCCTCTTCCAAATTACAAAACAAAATATATATACCTGACATTTCATTACTTATCAGGCGGAAAAGAAAGCCAAAAAGAAGAATGGTCCACGCCTGGAGTTGACTAAGGAGATGAAGGCGGATCTCAGGGAGGCATTTGATGTATTTGACGCTGACGGGTCGGGGACGATAGATGCTAGTGAACTCAAGGTCAGAGTTCAAGGTCAAAAGCTTGCTGATCAACGTTGTCTTTTATTATTTAATTAAGATATCCTTACCAGAAATTAGCAGTAGATGTGAATCATTAGTCATACAAATAAACAGACAATCAAGTGAACCCTTTTTTTGGTAATTCTTTCTTTTCAATTTCCCAGATTTTTTTTTCAGTATGAGGCTGGCACGTAGTATAAGGGGAGGAGGGGGGAAGGTTCTTGCCCCTCCCATCCACTTGTCCCCAAACATAATCTTGTACTGTTAGTTTATAGTATGAAAATTTTCATTAAAAGGCCTTCCCCCAGCTTTTTCTTGTAAGATAGTTTGCAGTCTCCCCCCCCCCGCCCCCATTTAAAAAAAGATACTATGTGCCTGTGAGATTCATGCAGCTTTTGTAGAAAACATGCAGGGATTTTTCCACATGTGTTTATCCGTATTACTTAAGGTAAAATAAATGACTGAAACCGGGCTGGGGTGGAATCTAAATTCTGTTACATCCTGTCGATTGATCCTGCTGCGGTGTTTCGTCACTTTCTTTGCTAGCTAAATCTTATTTTTATCCTAAATTTCAGATAGCCCTACGCGCTCTTGGATTCGAACCCAAGAAAGATGAAATGAAGAAGCTGGTGGCAGAAATAGATACCGAGGGAACTGGTGAGTGAAACAGAGGTGGAGAAGTTTAAATATAATATAAAATTTGCGCGTGATTTACACTTGAACATTATAACAGTTGCACAATGTCATGATAAAAATTTATACTTGAATATAAATATATTCATAGAGCATGTAAAGCTAGTTCAAGTGCATAATATTCACTGAATTTTTCTCTTTTTTTTTTAAACACATATTTAGAAATTATGTGTATGTCATATGTTTTTCATAAAGCTTAGAAGACCCATCTTCCTAATGTCAAGGTTTTGTGATATATCGTTCCCAACAAGAGTCCTATTTAAAAGTTGGGCTTGTGGTTATAAAACATGACGTTATGGTTAATTATATACCAACCAATGAGAATTTATCTTTCAAATTCGTCATTTTCAACAGACCAAACTTTTGTGATTGTGGGGAGAAGGATCTTCTGTAAAATAATCTCCGATGTTTTATTTGAGGTAACTTGTCACAAATACTACAATATTCGCACTTTCCATTTTAAAGACAAGTCATATTTGTTTACAAAACTTTTAAACTTCTATAAAGGCTGTTTTCTGATTGGTTCCCAGTCCTAGACCGGGAACAAATGAAATAGTAGCTTTTTATTCCGACTTAAATAGCGACATTTGTCAAGGATTTGTGTTGAGAAACGATATCACAAAACCTTGACATTGTGAAGATGTAGAAAACAAGACACTAAAATACATATTTTAGATACCATCCTTGCTGGATGTTGTCAATGACCGTGTAAGACTTATAGCCGCCTTAATAAATAAATCACCTAATTGATAATTAGAAAGCAATGACAATTCCTCGCCATCATTCTCTCTTTGCTGTACTGTACAGTCTGTGATTTCCCTTCATATCCCAGAATGACCGATTTTTAAGGTACATGTGCTTTCGCAAATATTTTTCTGCTTCATTTATGACTGATATATTCTTTAATTCTTAATGACAAATAAATAGGAGACTATAGATGACCTGTCTACTTAATGTTGACATTGTTCTCCTTTCTCTCTCTCTCTCTCTCTCTCTCTCCGATATTGACGATGTTTGATGATTGAAAGTAACAAAATCAATGTTTTTTCTTAAATTCAATTTCGATTTAAACCTATCTTTTGTGATTTTCCACTCATTACCAGGTATCCTCGATTTCGATGATTTTTTAACGTTAATGACGAAGAAGATGACAGAGAAAGACGACACCGAGGATCTACAGAAAGCTTTCTGGTTGTTTGACGAGGACGGGACGGGGAAGATTTCCCGCGCTAACCTGGACCGCGTGGCCATAGAGCTAGGGTACGACCCCGACAAGATGCAGGACGAACTACAGGTAAGCGATGTGGGAGAGCACTGTTGATTAGCAGGAAAGTGGAGGGAAGGGGGAGGGGAGGGCAAGGGGCAGGAAACCTCAGGGAGTTACATAGTATAAGTGAAGAGAAGGGGGAGAGGAGGAAAACCTTAGGGAGTTACAGGGGCAGGAAACCTCAGGGAGTTACATAGTATAAGTGAAGAGAAGGGGGAGAGGAGGAAAACCTTAGGGAGTTACATAGTACGTGGAGGGTAGGGGAAGGGGCAGGAAAACCTCAGGGAGTTAAATAGTCCTTGTGGTCATGTTAAATTAGCGTCGGAGGGGAATAATACTAGCTTGAAATCTTAACATGCACCGTCACCCTGTTTAATTGCTATTAATTGATTTTGTGGAGAGAGTTGGGTTTATGGGGGGAAAGTGTTTAAATGAGTAGGTAAGAAGTGTCCAAAATCAGAATTGTTACAGAGGCAGAACAACGACGAAAATTCTAGTCAGGGATCTACAAAAAATATTAATTGATAAGAAGTAGGAAAACTGTTTTAGTATACTAGTAGCTCAATCAAAACCTGAAAGGAGCTCTTGCTTTCTGAGGAGTTTGTTGTACGGATTGCGGATTTATCTGTTTTAGGAAAGGATTCTTGGGGTGGATCATTCTGTTTAAGGAAATAATTGACGGGGAGGTTCTATCTGTTTTAGGGAATTATTGACGGGGCGGATTTACATGTATCTGTTTTAGGGAATGATTGACGGGGCGGATTTATCTGTTTTAGGAAATGATTGACGTTGTGGATTGAGATGGAGATGTTTTAAGGAATGATTGACGGGGCGGATCTATCTGTTATAAGGAATGATTGACGGGGCGGTTCTATCTGTTTTAGGGAATGATCGACGAAACAGATATTTCTGTTTTAGAACATGATATTTCTGTTTAAGGATATGATTATTAATAGAACGGATCCATCTATTTTAAGGAATGTTTTGACGGTGTGGATCTTTCTGTTTTAGGAAATGATTGACGGGGCGGATCGAGATGGGGATGGAGAAGTCAATGAACACGAATTTCTCAAAATGATGAAGAAGACTTACACGTGATGTCATAAAATCCGGAAGTTGTCACATTACTATATCAATTTTACGACACTCCCAATAACGTAAAAGTGCTCCCATTGTGTAACTTTATTTTGGTGCTTAATAAATTGCATGACATAGAAAGAAATGAATAACTGAATAAATGTATATCAAAGCATTTAATTTGACTTGCTTCAATTTTTTCCCCTATAAATTCAAAAACTCGTTCAAAAAACGTATCGATTTAATTGGCGTTTGGTCTGTTTCTCCCAAGGTATGTGCATTAATTTGGCTTATGTTTTTTTTCTTGTGTGTGTGCATGTGGAGAGAGAGAGAGAGAGAGACGAAGTACTACCATACGACGTTAAATAATAGTTATTTAAATGACAGTAAAATGAAGAAATTTAAACATAACGTGAACATAGAAAGTAATTGAAATAAAATCTTCAAGTAATGGCGATCACGAAGTGTGAATGAACCATAACAATACATGACAGGGTTCACTCAAGGAGTACAGCAGACCTCGGAATGTACAGAATAGTGTCGTGATTTACACAATGGTAAGTATACTGGGTATTTAATAATTTCGAATCAAATTTGTGATACTTAAAATTTATGGAAATTTTGTACATTTAAAAAAAAAAAAGAAGGTTAATCCACAGTGGATTCAAGTAAAAAATTGTGTATAAAATTAATATAATGCAGTGAAATACAGATTGTCTAATAACGAGTAAGAAACTATAAACAAGTCTTTGTTTAACAAACTCATAAAAATATATGATAACTAATTAAATTCATTTCTGTTGACTTAACGTCTCAACACGATGGAGAAGAATAAGATACACACATGTACAAAGCGATACAAAGAAATGCCAAAATATTTTCGAATGATTTACAACATTTGTTGAATATATTTTTCATTTCAGTTTAAGTGAGAACATATAAGTACGCTCTGTAGTCTTTTCATGTTGATTGGAATTAATAAAAAAGTTAAAACTAGAAAACTCAAATCTTATTTGCAATCTTTTTGTATTTACATACAAGAATATCCTTTTGAAATGTTTCATCAAACTAGTGCCGCGGAGTACGCGAAGCAAAACTTGGACAGGGAACTAGGCTAGCGTTTGTCCTCCTTATTACTCATGACCGTCTTCCTTGGAAGACGGTATACAGAGTTGAAGTATTTTACAGCCTTCGGACTATGCACCTCCTCTCTTTTGTGATTGGTAAAAATTGCATGATGAGAAAATTTTCAATTATTTCAGGGAGATGATTTTCTGATGATCTAATTTTCGTACGACTTAACAATTTTTCAAGATTTTCAATCGTAAAAAAATATGACAAAACGAACAGTGAAAATTGGCAGTAATTAATTCGAAATAACATGCTAGTTTTTTTTTTTTTATAGCAATTACCATATTACTTTATTTTCATTGACAACAGAATTGATCTTTATTGCATGCAAGCATTACAGCCTGTATGTATTCTTTTTCCCTGTGTTTTGCACTGTCTTTCTAATCCCGGCAACACTCGGCAACACCTAAGCCGATTCGTACCTCATCTACATATCGAGGTTTGCCGAATGATCTCTGCAGCAGAGTCGAAGTTTACGGAGACAACGGAGCTTCTGTTAACTTTTTCACTTGGTAGCTAGGGCTTATGTCAGGAAAAAAACTAATAAAAAGCCAACTTGAAGAAATTTTCAAGAATTATACGGCCTGATATGTTTAGGTCAGTTTACTGTTTAAGGTTGTTGCTAAAGACGGTAAGCTTTTTTTTTTTTTAAAAAAAAAAAAAGCTCTACTTGTTATTCTCCTGTTGTTCAAGACTTTTTTGTCATAAATTAATAAAAAAGGTTGGTATAAAATGATCTCTTATTTAGGCTTCCTCCAATCAGAAAAACTCAAAAATAACTCGGAAAACCCATCTAAAATTGACAGAAGAACAAGAATTGGACCTTCGGGAAGCCTTTGACATATTCAGTAGAGGCGGTGAAGAGAAAGGAGATGGTACGATAGATGCCGAGGACCTTAAGGTGACGTCAAAGTTACTCGATCACTGTTTTCATGAATATAGCATTATTTACAGAAATACTAGTAGGTTTACCCCTTAAATGGAAAATAAAACGTAACGGTTTCATGTTATATAGCTGTTTTTTCATTTCTCAGTCTATAATTATATCAATAACAAAAATCAAAAAAGTACCAAGTTTTGAAATCGAAAGTTAAGACTTTATTACACTATAATCAGAAAAAGAACATCTACATTAGACAATATTATTCAATCATTTATAGCAAGGAAATATAAGAATCTTGGTTAAAAGAAAAAAAAACAGTTTATTTTTAAAATTTAAAATCTGCTCAGTATACAAGTATTATCTATCAAATTGTAAATTGACAATTTATTGCACAAACATTCATGTGCTGTAAAACCGAACTGACATGCATGCATGCATGAATACAAATATGAACAGTAATTTCCACTTGAGTGTTGTTTATTCAGATTGCATTGCGAGCTCTTGGTTTTGAGCCGAAACAGGACGAAATCGGAAGACTTATCGCTGACGTAGACAAAGATGGAAAGGGTGAGTATCATCTCAAACCAATCGAACACTACCCTGGACGGCTCGATAAAGAATTCTCGCTATATAATTATCCTATAGCTAAGTCAATACCGTAGGATAACTATCCTTATCTTTACACATTAAGACAGGAAAAAAAATGATGCCTGGATTGATATATATTTTTGGACCTATTTTGGTTGTAAATGATGCAAATATAAAATTTCTGAAATATCAAAAAATTGTAAACTTTCTGTCAAGTTCAAAATTCTCTCTGCAAAAATCCTTAAAAATCTAAAGAACTTTTTATCAATTTATAGGACATACATGTATTTCTGAAACTTTAAACAAAATCTATGCGGTTAAACGTAAACATTTTACTAAAATGATTTAATTTTTATTTTCATGATTTATGAAAAAAAAAATTGTTTGTATCATCTGTCCTTGACTATCAATGATGATCTCTCACAGTCGTGTAAAAAACCTCTGCTGGAATATCAAGCTACAATCAATCAATCAATCGATTTCATGGCCGTAGGAACCGGGGGGGGGGGGTCACGGGGGGCCGTGCCCCCCCCCCCAATAATTTTGCCGATATATAGATTACTATAATAAACATTGATACTATATGTTTGTGACCCCTCAATAAAAACGTTTGATGACCTTTTTTTTGCCCCCTCAACTGTCAACTGAAAAATGTATGGCTGTGCCCCCCTCCCCCCCCCCCCAAAAAAAAAAAACAAACTGAAACTGCTTCCTACGGGCCTGGATTTACACAGGGACCTAGTATATACTAAATATATATAGGTCCCTGATTTATTTCTTAGCATCAATTAAAGGTAATCGATTGATCATTCTAAGATTGTCCAATGCAATGATTTACAGCACTGTATATATTCGAAACGGACTTAACGGCAGGGGCGTAGCTTCCATTGTGGCAATGAGGCAACTGCCTCACTAGATTTTTCACCACCATCATCCCTTCCCATAATCAACAATACGTTGCAGATTATATGTAAAATTAATGGCATTTCTTTTAACATTTTAAGCAGTTCTATAATGTTGAAGTTTTAAAGAAATAAAAGTTTAATAAGATGCACTTTCACCTTTAAATGCTTCAAAAGTTTTAGTAAACATATTTATTAACTCTTTTACATTCTTTTACAATATGTAGTATCATGCTGAAGTCTTGAATAAAGAAACCAGTACAACAAATGAAATTTTATTGCATTTTAAAAACCCCAACTCCATTTCTGTCGGAGTGACCCCCCCCCCCCCTTCCCATGACACCACCCGGAACCTGCTGGGGGCTTAAGGCGGCCCCAGACCTCTTGCTGCTACATGTATGGTTTTGCCTCACTAGAATTTAAAGTCAAGCTACGCCCCTGAACGGCCAAATAAACCCATTTCATAGCCAATAGTTCTTTGTGTTTAGGTTTGTTAGACTTTAACGACTTTCTGGCCATAATGACGAAGAAAATGACCCAGAAAGACGAGACAGAGGATCTAGAGAAAGCATTCCAATTGCTGGATCGGGACGGAGACGGAAAAATTAATTCCGGCGATCTTAAATGGGTGGCTTCCGAGCTTGGTTACTTTACAGGAACTATGGCCGAGGAACTCCAGGTAACGGAAATGCTGGCCAACACCGGTATTTATATTATATTTTATATTCAATTCAGGATTTTCTAGAAACTGATTTATATACAAAAAAAAAGTTTAAAAAAAAAACGAATGTTAATCCTGAGAAAAAATGGCGCAGACTTAATCAATATCACTCACTGATAATATCCATCACTGACAATGACGAATTATACATACATCAAGTGATAAACATGCGGTCAGCGGCAGCTCTGTGCTATGTAAATCAAAAAAAAAAAACTTGTATTGATCGTGGATTCTTTTATACCTCTCCAAATTTGATTTTTTAAGGCATTTTAAAATCATTCTCTAATCATGATCAGAATCATTATGTAGAGTTATTCAATTTGTTCTCCAAGGTACAAATGCCATGTTGTGCTTTCTCCCGCCTTTAATTTGGATTTCCTTGGGAGAAACATACATGTATACATAAACCGACATTTTGAGATTTTTTTGTTTTTTTTTTTTTAGGAAATGATCGATTTTGCTGATCGTGATGGTGATGGTTTGGTCAACGAACGGGAATTCCTCAAATTCCTTAAGAAAACCTCGTTTGATTAAGCGACTTATATGTACATGCCAACATTTTTGTAAATAAAGCTAGCAATTGTCCTTGTTTTTGAATGCTGTTTAATTCTAAATGTTGTCTTTACCACGCTATAAGTGATGATAATGTCACATGGTTACATTTGGTTAAAACAGGTGCTTCCTTGTGCCTTGCGGCAGGGACATGTAGCATGCTATGTTGTTTATGAATAATAGAAGTACATGTCATCAGAGACATATAAAAACCATATATGTCTCTGATGTCATGTGGTTGGTGGATGACATATTTCTTTTATGGGACATTAGAGGTCATAGGTATCCAAGGCAGAAGTAGAACATGTCACATAGTATACTGGTATGAATTCAGAGTGATATTTCACAGAGTAAGATTTCTGTATTTCAGTTCACTCGAACCCAAGTTAATATGCCAAACTATAATATCTTTTAAGACATAACATGCATAAGGTACATAGTTATTTCAAAATACAGCAAAACAAACAAGTGTACAAAGTTATCTAGCGTGCTTTTAGTCGTTAGTCATGGATACAATTTCACAACAGAAGTTAAATATACAAAATGAGCATTAGTATTCCTGATTGCGACATTAATAGCACTTCTGGATGTACTTCCTTTGTGTAGGTATACAAAAATGAGCTCCAGTATTCCCGATAATGACAATTAACATCTCAACAGTATAGATATACAAAAATGAGCCCTACAATTCCCGAATACGACATTTAGTGCCTCTGCTGGTACCTCCTATAGTTTAGATAAACCAGACCTGTTTACCCGTATTGGTGTCTCACAGTATTTTTTTTTTAGATTTGTCAGTGAGATTTGGCATTTGTCAGTAAGATTTCACTTCCCTTCGATTTCACATATATTACTAGAGAACATCTACATTTCTGATTACCATTTCTGTCATTTTTTTTTTAAACCACCGCGTTTTGCAACCAAACATCACTTAAGTGTTTGAAATCTTTTTTTTCTTTTTTAGGCGATTAAAAAGCGTCAAACAGAGGCAGATCATGCCGAAAACTAACTGCTGAAATCGAAACGAACGGATTTCCGATTTCTGTATTTTCATATAATAGCAAAACGTGAGACGTAATTTTGGACTCAAAATCCGTACAAAATAGGACAAAATCGCAAGAGTAAACAGGTCTGATATAAACAGGAGCTTTAGTATTTCTGATTTCGACATTTAACATTTCTGGCAGTACTACATGCTTAGATATACAATCGCAACTTCTCGGGCCTTTCCGACAAGCAGAAAAACAACCTCGAATGTGCTTTCATACATGTATGCGTCCATGACTTCCCCTCTTTTCATAAAAAAATGAAATAAATGTAGGGAGATCTCTTATCTATTAAGGAGAATGAAGCTTATAACGTTATTGAATGTAATTATATTACTAAAATATACTACAGAAGGAACACTCAACTATGTCTATCCAATGCTTAAATACGAAGCGACTTCATTTTGTATAAAATCCGATATTGTAATTTCATTCGAGGTGTTTTCCGAGCTTGCCGGAAAGGCCTGAGAAGATGTTATGGATACAAAGATCCAGCATTTCTGATTACGACATTTAGCATTTCCGGCAGTTGTTTACAGCATTTAACATTTCTGGCAATACTTCCTACAGTGTAGATATACAAAGGCTGCGTAGGTATGGTTAGTACACATGTCCGTGTTGTATTCATCACAGTTAGGAATCGTGTCCTCACACACAACTACAATATGTAATATACGATGGAATATAAAAATCACCGACACGCAACGAAAAGTTCAACATCAATAATATGGAACTTAAAAAACGTAAAAAAAAAAAAGCCATTTAAACATTTACCTCGAAAAATATAACCGAAAAATGTTTATTGGTCACATGGATATTTGATGTTAAAACTGGATAAATCCATCTCACCCCCAAAATGCAAGTTCGTCTTTTCAATGAACCTTAACAATTTACTCACAGCAAAACTTATGTTGTCATTGAACACAGTCCATGAAATAAATCGCTCACCTGAATTACACAGCTATGCTCATAGTTATCAGACGCCAAGGAAGAAATAGCGCGCAGACAAATAGATGATATATCCATGATTATGGTGACATTTATCTGAGACACAGGGATAAATAGCTCACCTGTATTATATATATCTGTGGTTATGGTGATAGTGACCAAAGACACGGGGATAAATAGCTCACCTGGATTATATATCTGTGGTTATGGTGACGGTGAACAAAGACACGGGGATAAATAGCTCACCTGAATTATATATCTGTGGTTATGGTGACAGTGACGAAAGACACAGGGATAAATAGCTCACCTGGATTATATATCTGTGGTTATGGTGACAGTGACCAAAGACACGGGGATAAATAGCTCACCTGAATTATATATCTGTGGTTATGGTGACAGTGACCAAAGACACGGGGATAAATAGCTCACCTGGATTATATATCTGTGGTTATGGTGACAGTGAACAAAGACACGGGGATAAATAGCTCACCTGGATTATATATCTGTGGTTATGGTGACAGTGAACAAAGACACAGAGTTCATGTTTATGTCCACAGTAATCAGAAGCCCATAATAAAAAGCTCATCTTAGTGATATTATTATTCAAAACGATGGCTACAGCCTACAGTGTATGGAGGCCTCTGATTAAAAGCTCTCCTGAAGACACAGCTCATGATCATGGCCATGGTATATGAAAATGCAGGAATAGATGGCTCACCTGGATGACACAGTCCACAGCTTTTTCTACAGTGATCAGAGGCCCAGGGATAGTATACACTTGTTGTATTACAGATATCAAACAGGTTATAGGAACTACAGCTAGTATTGACCGAGTCGATACAGTCATCAACTACAAAGGAATCATAGTATTTCTTCTTATAAACCGATTGTAAATAATTTGAAAATAGACATTTCATTTTTCGCCAAAGAGCAGGGTCAGAATGCATAATTCTCCAGTGTTAATTTGCCTTCATTTCACTCTGTCCGTATAGATATAATTCACCTCAAACAATCACTCATAACTTTTTTTCTAAAACCTTCTTTTTCATATGTTATAAACGAGTAATATCATTTCCAAGATATGACGCATACTAAGCTCTTGTTCGTTTTACAAGTAAAAAAAAAAATCTTGCAAAGAAAGAAATGAAATCTTGTAACAACCTACTAGGAATGTTTGTCAGCGGCGAACTGCTACTGATTCCAGTATTGTTCAATAAAGTGAGCTCTGTCTGTAAATGAGTTGATGAAACTAACGATGTAGAACTTGCCAGAGTTGTTGAGTGTGTTTGATTTAAGTTTCCAGTAGTTTGGTTTGATACAGGAATTGTGACGTATGCGTGTGTTTGTTCAGTTTTTCCAGTGGATTTGGTAGGTAAAGAAATTGATGTACTACTAGTGGTGGAATTTACTGGAGGGAAAAACTTCAATTGAAACTTAGGCCTATAGAACTAGCCTACACGGATTTTATAAAAATTCCGATTTTCAAGAGTAAAATGCCGAATCAAATCATGGCAAGATTACCCATGTTTCAGCGATAGTGTAAACGTGTAGGAGAAAAATTAACAGAAAAACGAGAGAGAGAGAGAGAGAGAGAGAGAGAGAGATCACCTCTATGCTACTTACTGGGACACAGTGAACAAGTCCTTGGACACGCCTTCCTAACATCTGTCATTGTTTGACATCTGTCTTTTAATAAGGTACAAAACTGATCCTGGTCAGCACATACATCAACTAGAAACAGTGATGCTTTAACAATAGAATTTGTTTCATTGAAGGATTAGTACAATGTACTTGCTTAAAATTAATGCTATACACAAATTAAATAGATATGTACATGTATCATTTAGTAGCTTTACCAGATTGGTTTCTATGACAACGATTATTACACAAATTTCCTTCACAACAGCTGGAACAAAACGGATTGTCTGGGAACATCTCTAAACTTTTACATTTCTACAAAAAGAGTGGCTATCATTACATTTTTGAATTTTAAATTTTGTGTTCTTCAGGGAATTTTGATGAATCAAAAAATTACTACTGAACCTAATGCTTTAAAGTTAAAAAGGCACTAGTTTATATCACATTCGATAATCTTCCTTCTTGTCAAGATTATGATAAGCGTAAATACATTACGGTAACCGCATACGTACGGTCTCCCTGAGTGCACAGCCCGAAACCCAGTGATAGAGGGCGCTAGTGTCATCATGAACCAGACCAATGTAACATGCCTGAAATGAAATGTCCAACCTTTAATTTGACACAGTCTAAAATCTGATATAAGAAAATGCGTGACACTTTTAGATCTTTCGAGGCTTATCCCAAGAATAGAGTTTAATGTAAACTGATCATATCCTAAGAGTAGAATTTAATGTAAACTGATCATATCCCAAGAATAGAATTTAATGTAAACTGATCATATCCAAAGAATAGAGTTTAATGTAAACTGATCATATCCCAAGAATAGAGTTTAATGTAAACTGATCATATCCCAAGAATAGAGTTTAATGTAAACTGATCATGCCCCAAGAGTAGAATTTAATGTAAACTGATCATATCCCAAGAATAGAGTTTAATGTAAACTGATCATATCCCAAGAATAGGATTTAATGTAAACTGATCATATCCCAAGAGTAGAATTTAATGTAAACTGATCATATCCCAAGAATAGGATTAAATGTAAACTGACCATATCCCAAGAATAGATTTTAATGTAAACTGGTCATATCCCAAGAGTAGAATTTAATGTAAACTGATCATATCCAAAGAATAGAGTTTAATGTAAACTGATCATATCCCAAGAATAGAGTTTAATGTAAACTGATCATATCCCAAGAATAGGATTAAATGTAAACCGGCCATATCCCAAGAGTAGAATTTAATGTTAATTGATTATACCCCAAGAGTAGAATTTAATGTAAACTGATCATATCCCAAGAATAGAGTTTAATGTAAACTGATCATATCCCAAGAATAGAGTTTAATGTAAACTGATCATACCCCAAGAGTAGAGTTTTGCGAAAGCAGGTTGTGTATTTTTTCTGCAATAGTTGTTTCCTTTAATTCTCGTATTAAAAACGATTACATTTTATTGTGATTAAGTACATAAGTACGTAATATTGATATGTTTGGAAGAGCCCACTGTGTAAGAAATCTTCCTAACACTTGGCTTTTAAATTAAAACCGGTTCTAACTAGTTTAGAGTTAATGACTTGATTAAGTGAAATGGTTTTCATAAGAGTCATTCGATGTAAATATTGTAAGCTAACAATATCATTGAAGTAGAGCTTAGTAATAACTTAACACATGGCCTTAGGAACGTGCCCCTCAATAATTTTGCAGATATATAGATTACAATAGTAAACATAGATATGAGATGCTTGTGCCCCCTCAATAAAAACGTCTGATGCTTTTTTTTTCTTTTGCTTGTCAAGGAATATTTGGTAGTTGATGACCCTTTTTTTTGCCTGTCAGGAAATTTTTGCCCCCCTCAACTGTCAACTGAAAAATGTATGACTGTGCCCCCCCTCCCCCTCCCCAACTGAAATTGCTTCCTACGGGCCTGTAACATATGTCTGAAGCAGACGTTAATGTAAACTAACCCGATCAACGGAGCAGAGCTTAATGTGATCACAACTTTCTGGATTTGATTGGAAGTCACAATCGTAACAGAGGGTTCCCGAGTGTTCCGGTAGAACTGTAAACAAAGAAAAATAGTTTTTAAAGTTATAATATCATACATTTATTGACTTGGTTCGAGAGCAACATGCGTTTTGTCGGAGCCAAGAACCAAACAATTTGGTTCGAAGAGTTGACAAAACGCATTTTGCCCGAGAACACAGCGAATAAATGTTTTGTTATACCTTTTATTTTATCTATTTATTTATTTTTTGACATATTTGTATCTTGAGCTGGCTTCCATGATGTAAATTTCCTTTACCCGCACCGCGGTTAAACTCATTACCGTCGAACACCAACGGATGCATCTGATCCCGCCCACAGTGTGACGTAAGCGGTTCAGTATATCTGACTGGCAGATCCAATATCTTCGCAGTCAAACATTTATTTTTTTTATGACCGCTCAGTAAAACATTGTAAATAGACTTTTTTTTAGCATAGAATTATATAGAAATTAATTTTTAAAGGTAAAACAAAGCTACATGTTTTAGTCTTAAGTCAGAAATATAAAGATGCAGGATAGATTCATTATTCTGTGCACATGAGTCCCATAAATTTTATCATTTTATAGACAGGCATATATCCGATATATTGCAAAATATAGTAGTACTCATCATATATTATAATTTGACCATAAAGTCTATTGTAGATTTTAAAATTTGCTTTGAAGTGAAAAAAGCATTTTCCCATACAATCCTAAATTAATTGTAACTGCATTTTCCCCTAAAATTGCCCAGACTGTAGATTTTCCAAAAAATTGCATGTACACTGATGTCAATGTAGGCTACACACGGTATGATAGTAAAGGATTTTTCTATTGTAGTCCCCCCCCCCCCCCCGCGCCAAATAACTTAAATTATTTTAATCATCATAATTATAATCTATAAACTTAATTATATATGATACATAAATCCTTGTTTGCCCTAACCTTGACTTCCACACAACCCTTTACCATTACACACCACGGTATTATTGCAGCAGGCTTCACACACAACTGAATTGTCAGGGCCGATAACTCTGACAGTCTTACGCCTAGTCGGTATCATGTTACAGCTCTGTGAGAATATACAGTAAATCAGAAATACAGAAATATCTGCAAAATTACAAGTCTGCACTGCACACCAATTATAGAAAGAGGTTAACATCAGAATTCTGAGAGGAAATAAATTCCTTTGTCAATATTAATAAATCATACATTTAGGTAATGATGAGTCAAGACTAAAACAACTAGATGCTGTCATGAGACAGTAATACCCGCACTAAGGTGTTTGCCTCTAAATGCACACTCCTTCATATTGGGCTTACCAAGGAAAAAGTCCAAATAATTCTATAATTTACACAGTACATGTATTCGTCAAATCGAGCATAAAATGCTCAGGTGACCATGTGACCCATGAACCTCTTATACGCATTTCATATACTTAATTCATTACCAGTCTGAAATATCAGAATTTAATTAATGTTGTAAATTAATTAGGTTTTAATAAAAAGGGGGGGATATAAATTTTTGGCCCATAATTGGAACTTTTTAAATTAAATTTATCTTCTCAACAACAAATAATATTATTTTAGTACAAAGCGTTTTTGATGAATTTATCAAAATGTGCAAACTTTTTTTAGTATTTGATTAGGCAAAAACCTCCTTGAAAAGCCATACCCAATCAATTTATATGTGCCCCCCCCCCCCCCCAATACACACACACACACACAATTTGCCTGTTTTTGGAAATAGGCCTAGATGGCAAAGTTATGTTAAAACATCGTTTGTTATGATAATTTAAAATTTGTTCTTGTACTGTACATGTATGTGAACACCTTTTTGAAAATTTCTACATCACATTGGGCTTGCGTCACCCTACCAGTACTAGTACTAGTTTTACCATTATCATTTTTAGATTGCACATGCCATGTGACATGGTGCAGTGTTACATGTATATCAGTGGAAATTAATTCATTTTGTGTTTTAATTGGATTATATTTCATGAAGTTGACAGGACCTATGACAGTCGGTAAGTACAAGTTTAAGTATAGATTGGGGTAAAATAAACCAAAATGCAAATGGTTAGGTTAAAGTTTAAAAAGGATCAAAGATCATCGGCAATCTCCTATGCAGAGTTGTCGTTCGTTTCTCTCTCAGACACTGAATGTATGAGCCGATCGTAGAGAGTGGATCATCGATGCCACAATAGACGAATTTCACATTCTGAAGAGTTATCTCCCGTTGTCGACATTACATTCAGTTACAGGCATAGATCCGGGAATTTTTTTCCGGGGGGGAGGGGGGTCCACACCTCGGTCCAAAAAAATTCCAGCCCAGAATTTCCTGAGGAGCAAAATAAAAAAACAAACAAACAAACAAACAAAATAAAAACAATGATGGTGGGGTCCATGTTTTTAAAGGGGGAGGGCATCCAAAGTCATTTTTTATTTGCTTCTGTAAATCAGTATATAGTCCTATTTAAATAACTCTGCAAATTCCAGGGGGGGGGGGGTCCAATCTCCCTAGCCGCTCCCTGTCCCTGAAATGACAAATGATCATGCGACTCCTAAATAGTAGAAAATTTTTCCATTTGACTAGACATAATTTTGTTTCTTGTGTTATTATGTTATGTACATCTAATGGTTTAAGGTTATGAACCCTTGAGGTCATCCCCACTCTCTTGTTCATAATATGACTACATCAAATTAAATAGAAGTGCATCAATGATAAGATTACTTGACATTTCATTCATGAATTTGGGTCAACCTAGAATTAGGAATGAAAATCATTCAAAGAGATGGACCATTAAACTATTTGTATGTATTCACATTTTTTTTTATGTCAAACCAAAGTATTAGACTAGTTTGCATACATGAACAAACTGGGGTCTGGGATGGGGAAGGGGCAAGGGGAAGGAGTTATCTCTTTACGTCTTAATTAATTGTTGAAAATTCCTAAAATGAATGTTAACCTTAAATCCGACTTGTACGTCTTCATTATTTTTAAGTGGTGGTGTCTCCGTATGAGTGAAAAATTCCCAAGAGGGACATTTAACAACAAACAAACATTAATGACTTAAAAAACACAATATACATGTACATGTTTATTAGTCAACAGATATACTTCTGATCATATCTCTAGTTCTCCCTTGAATCAGAAATGATGATATAAATATTTTAAGAATGATTAAGAGTTGAAAAGGTTGTGCATTTTAAAATTCACTAAGCTCTGTGGTTGAATTAGCTATACCAGTTTAGCTTATTTTGCTACTCAAAGCACCTTGA